GACAGTGAGAGAGAGCAACCTAACGTAGGGTCTTCCTTTTGTTGGTTCACCCCCCATATGGCCACTGCGGCTGGCGCAGCGCTGATCTGAAGCCAGGAGCCAGGTGCTTCCTCCTGGTCTCCCGTGCGGGTGCAGGGACCAAGCACTTGGGCCATCCTCCACTGCTTTCCCGGGCCACAGCAGAGAGCTGGATTGGAAGAGCAGCAACTGGGACAGAATCTGGTGCCCCAACAGGGACTAGAACCCAGGGTGCTGACGCCGCAGGTGGAGGACAAGCCTAGTGAGCCTCAGCGCCGGCCGCTAAATAACATTTTTTAAAGACACAGAAAAATTAGAGAAGATATTCTATGGCATAAAACCAATCAAGTAAATTATGGAATGCATTAAACACTACAAGAATTCAGTAAGAACAAGCCAAACAACAATTATCAAAGTGTAGACACATAAGAATGGACGTTGGATAAAAGAGAAGACCCTTCAGAGGCCAATCAGTATTTTTTTTTTTTTTAGACAGGCAGAGTTAGACAGTGAGAGAGACAGAGACAGAGTTATAGAGAAAGGTCTTCCTTCCTTTGGTTCACTCCCCTAATGGCTGCTATGGCTGGCGCTGCACTGATGTGAAGCCAGGAGCTGGGTGCTTCCTCCTGGTCTCCCATGCGGGTGCAGGACCCAAGGAACTGGTCCATCCTCCACTGCCTTCCTGGGGCCACATCAGAGAGCTGAACTGGAAGAGGAGCAACCAGGACTAGTACCTGGCACCCCAACCGGGATTAGAACCTGACACTGGCTGAGACCAATCAGTATTAAAGAAGTAATTTATATCACCAATGATCATTGAAATCCAAGCTAAAAGAATGATAAAATATAAGTTCATACCACTTAACACATGTTAGATTCACATAAATTATAAAAGTCAAACAATATCAAGTGCTGGCAATGATATGGAAATTTTCATGTATTGCTGGTTAATATGAATAGATTGAACAATTAAAATCTCAAGAAGTAAAAACTGTGCATATTTCACTTTCTTTGAATATTCACTGCAGTTATCCCATTCCTTTTTATGTATCTCAGACTCTCTTGTCTACTAGGAAAAATGTACAAGAATATAGATGCATTATTGTTTATAATGGCCAAAGATTGGAAACAACCTAAATCTTCATCTATAGGAGAATGAATAAATGTAGCAGGAACTAAATTGTAATAGAATAATAGTTCAAATGAGTGAAGAGGAACTCCAAGTTTCAACATGAATAAATATAACAAAACCAGCAAATTTTGAATGAAGAATACAAAAGTGAACTCACATTATGATGTGATACATATGAACTTTAAAGTTATACAAAACATTTCATGTGTATGAGGAAGACTTAGAAAGCTCGTGGGAAAGTGGAATTTAAAAATAATGCATTTGTTCTGTGAATTTTTGAAGCACACTCATACATATAAAATGTTCACAGGAATTATAAGCACTATATTTATCACTTCTTGTCCTTTTGGCTAAGATCAAGTGTACAATAGTGTTACCCTTTGGGGTAAAGGAGAGAAAGAATGGAATGAAGAGGATTTTGTGGTATATTTTTGTTATATCAGTACTATTTATTCATGAGGGAGGTTAGGTGGATACACAGATGCCAATGATATCATTATCAAATTTTTATTATTTTAATATTTCAAATTTGACAGTTATAAATTGAATGACTAGAAATTATTTGATAAATTTATTTGGGGGAAAGGACCATGTGAATTTCTGTTCAGGAAATAAGGGTAATTCCTTCCTACCATCAGCAGGCTGTGAGTTTAGTTTTCCCTAATTATATGAATGGTTTAGCACTTTCATCAATCCTTTGAAAGCAAATTATATAAGCTGACTTTTCCTCTAGAAAACATAGGGTTGAAATTTCAATTCAGTCTTAATTACTGACAATCATTGTACAATTGATCATATTTCACTGGACCTTAGTCTTCATGGTGAAGCCAATATTCATAATTCATAGTAAATCATAACTTCTGTCACATTTTATGCTTGTTCTGTTTTATTATATTCCTCTGTTTTTCCTAAGGAGGGATTGTTGATGTCACTAAACTGGACACTGTTTTGCAAAACATGGGAATGAAGCTTACAGAAATGGAGAGAAAAGATTTAATAGAGAAACTGCCTGTTGATGGTGAGCACGTAAATCCTTGAACTAATCAGGATAACCTGAGGCTGTCAATGTCTATATGGTCATCTCTGAAAAAGTATATTTGCCATTAAAATATTTATAAAAACTTAGAAATGAAGTCAGAAAGGAAATGAGGTGAAAGTCTTTCTTGTCATTTTATTTACATGTGTCAGCAACTCTACCTTCGGAAACAAAAGAATACAGATCAGGTGGACAGGATTATAAAAATGAGTGAAACACAAACATGTGGGGGCAGAGCAACATGAAAAACAGTCTGAAGGTTAACGCAGAAAAAAATGGGACAATGAAAGAAAAAAGAGCAGGCCAAAGATGAGAGATTATTTATAACATGATGGTGTACACATTCCATAGCCATATAATGGTGCTACCTCACTTTCTCAGAGCCAACAGCTGTCAAACCTTTAAGCCATGATGTATGGATTTATTCCTTATTATGAAGCTGCATAATATCCCACTTCTGAACTCAGAATCCGTGATCCAAAGGCCATGTTCTCAGACATCTTGTTTTTCTACTTACTACTTGTTTAATTTTTATTTAGTGAAGGATTAAGCTTATGATTATTAAAAATTAATGTATGTCATTGTACAAATTATAAGAAAAAAGGAAGAGGAAAGTTATAGTGGGAAGTATGATTATGCAGTTAAAACTATATATATGAAATATATGAAATTTGTTCCCTTTATAAAATAAAAAAGTAAAAAAGATCCAGAAGCAAACCCCAAAATATGGTTAAAATCTAATTGTGACTGAAGTATAGTATATCAATAAAAATTTTATGCTAATGAAAGAAACCTTCCACAAAAGAGCACATATTGTATGACTCACCTCATATGAAATGTCCAGAATTGGTAAATCTATAGAGACAGAGTATAGATTGGATTTCCTGGGACTGGAGTTGGTGACTATGGGATATTGGACGGAAGGTGCAGTGATGAAAATTTTCAGATATTAGACTCAGGTGATGGTTGCGGAGTTGTTTTCTGCATGCTTAAAAGCATGCAACTTGCACATTAAGTAGGTGGATCTTATAGTGTGGGAATTATATTCATAATAGTTCAGTATATCTTCCAAAATATAATAATGGCCTGCTTGATTTTTTTAGATACAGGAGAAAATGGAGAACAAAATTCCTCTCAGCCTAGGTTTAGTAATACTGTTGACAACTGATGCTTTCTTCTGGTCACTTTTGTTAAAAAATGGTTCAATTATTGGGAATGTTTTTCTGTCATAATCTTAGTATCAGAGTTTCCCAATTATATGAAGCCTTATAAATATTTATCATTTATAAATAGGAAAAATCAATAAGGTATTTTGTAAATGAACATTTTGTAATCATTTTTCATCCAATATAGGAAAATATATCTGAGATGCTAGAATATCTTGGATTTCTGAGTTAATTCTATCTATGTAACATACTTTCAATGTAATGTATTTCTAAAATAGATTTTACAAATAAATGTAGAGATTCTACTTTATAAAATATCTCACATTAATCTCTGGAGTAATCATTATTTAAGTAGGATAAAGGAGTAAGAAACTCTATGTGGGGGAAAATTCAACAACTACTAAATATCAGCTCACTACATAAGGAGATGATTTTTAAATTCCAATGGAAGTATTATATATAGTACATGACAAGTTGTAACTCCTGATTCTTGTGCTTGATTTAAACAGTAGAGAGTTTTCCATAGCACAGAAGCCATTAAGTAGACTCGTTGGAAAAACTGACTTAATTTTGTAAATCAATCTTGATTATTAAAGGTTTACCTTCCTATATTTCCTATAGCTAAATGAACCAAAGTTCCAGTGCTTATAATCTAGAACTTCTAGCTTCCCAAGAGGAATAAACATGGACAAAAATTATAGGCTCTATAAATATCATTTTATTATTTTATATTATTTTTAATCAGTGTCAATGAAGTATATTTGATTTACATATTTTCTTAACAGCTATTCAGAAAGTTGATATGAAAAAGTTAATGGATGAAATGAAAGCTTTTACTGGTGAGTAATAAATTACTCTAACACTAAATTATCTAATACTGTGTTAATTTTGAAAATACTTTTGCAGTTTATCCTACGAGTATAGTTTGTTACTTTTTCATCAAATGTATCCTCTTAAAGACTTATACTGGACTTTATCTATATTTAAAAATTTGATTAAAAATCTATTTTGATAAACAGTTTAGAGTAAATAAGAAATTAAGTGAAAGCTTTAATAGAGATCAGAATATTCATATTAATTTCATCATAAAGGAAATAATCATATATTTAAGAGCAGCCCCAATGCTAATTTCCCCTGCCAGAACTGTAAATTTTCTGGACAAGTGTAATTTTCTGGACAATCTTGATAGCAAAATTACTGCTCTGTTGCCTTAGAGGTACACAAATCCATCGTTAAAAGATTATTTCCTTCATTAAATCAGGGTTGAGGTTCTTTTTGTGGTTCCCCAATAATTATGTGTAAGTTGTGTATGTTTCTATTTGTTCACTACTTCAAGTAAAAAGTCATACAGCACAGTTAATGAAATGTTTATAATTCACAGTCATTAGAGGTCCTCAGAGTGGTCAAGCACTAACATCCCTGTCTTTTGAAAGGAAAAAAGGTCGATGCCAATGATCTGCCCAACGTTCTGGGGAGCATGGGGATCGAGCTCACAGAAGGAGAATGTGCAGAACTGCAGGAAGCCATTCCCACTGATGGTGAGCCCGACGAATGCCAGTGTAGCCTTTCCAGGGAGCTTGGTATTAAGGGTCATTGATAGCAATTTTATAATGTTGTTTCTTCAGTTATTCCTTCTAAGAGGTGCTGAAAATGACCAGGGAGAGGTAAGTTCTCTATCATGTCGATTTAATGCGGGAGTCACCAAGCTCTTGAACTATCAGAGTTGACAGAAATGTAACCATGTTAAGCATACAGGTTACTGAGGTCTGAATGATATGAAGGAGAGAGCAAGAGATTATTTTTTTAAGATTTATTTATTTGAGGGCCCGGCGCCGTGGCTCACTTGGTTAATCCTCTGCCTGTGGCACACACCGGCATCCCATATGGGCACCGGGTTCTAGTCCCAGTTGCTCCTCTTCCAGTCCAAGCTCTCTGCTGTGGCCCAGGAAGGCAGTGGAGGATGGCCCGAGTGCTTGGGCTCCTGCACCCACGTGGGAGACCAGGAAAAAGCACCTGGCTCCTGGCTTCAGATTGGCACAGTGCCAGCCGTAGCAGCCATTTGAGAGGTGAACCAATGGAAGGAAGACCTCTCTCTCTCTCTCTCTCTCTCTAACTCTATCAAATAAATAAATAAATAAAAAGATTTATTTATTTGAAAGGCTGAGTAACAGAGAGGCAGAAGCAGAGAGAGAAAAGTCTTCCACCCACCGGTTCACTCCCCCAAATGGCCACAACGGCTGGAGCTGAGCTGATCTGAAGCCATGATCTAGCCACAAGAGAGCAAGAGATTATTTTAAGAACGGGAAAAAGGAAAGAAAAGAGACAGACAAGAGTTGAGGTCATTTCTGAATAATGATAGAGTCTCTCCAGTGGTTTCCTCAGATGTCAAACACTATACACATTTTTGTCACTAAGTTTTTCTTTTAAAAACTAATTTTTATTTGATGAACATTAGGACAAAATTCCCAGAGAAGGCATTAAATTTTTTTCTTAGGGCCAGTTTTGTAGTGTAAAATGTAGCATCTCTGCCTGTGATGTCGGCATCCCATATGGGTACTGATTTGAATTCTGGCTGCTCCACTTCTGAACCACCTCGCTGCTAATGCACCTGGGAAAGAAGTAGAAAATGACCCAAGTCCTTGGGCCCCTGCACCCACGTGGGAGACTTGGAAGAAGCTCCTGGCTCCTGCTACTTGGGGAGTGAACATGTGGTAGAAGATCTCAAGATCTCTCTTCTTTCTGTTTTTCCATCTCTCTCTGTAACTGTGTCTTTCAAATAAATAAGCCCTTAAAAAAAACTCTATTACTAGAATTATCCAGTTGCCTTATAGCTGTGTGACCATCCTATTCTTTTCTTTCTCATATAAATTATGCCTTTTCTTACAGCTGCTGGAAAGATGTATCAGAAGAGATTGTTGGATGGTGTGAAGTCTATGAAAGGTATGTAAGAAGCATGACTATTAGAAAAATATGCTACATTAACACATGCATTTATACAACTAGTTTTAGTTGTATTTACATCTTTATATTTAGATTTCTCATTTCATTACATTCATTACACCATACTTTCATGTAATCACCCATTATTTGACATTTCAAGGAGTCCTTTCATTATTGAATATTTCTAAATAGCAACTTCAGAGAATCACTTGATCTCTATACAGACAGTATAATACAGAGAATAGTAGATACTTGTTCTCCAAATTTACCTATTTTACAAATAATCTTAAAATGATGTTTAATATAATTTTATTCCAAGAATTAAGAGTCTTCATGTTATTTTCTATATGTTCTTTCCCAAATGTCTTTTAATTTTATATATATATATATGGCCATACTGCTTTTCCCCCTCTCCTCTTGGCACTCCTTACAATAAGAGAAGACAAGGGTGTAGGAAGGGAAAGAGGAATGGTTATAGGTTCTACTTCTTAGTACAGGGTGAGTGAAGTCTCTTGCAGGTATCAGTGGAACTCATGACATTCTATACCTTTGGAAAAATGGCAGTCAGCAATATTCTTTGGGGAATTTTGTAGTGAATTAGTGAATGTACTGTTTTTTATACTCTCATAGAGCAATACATTATAATTTCAGTGTACTTTTTATATGTAGCCATAATGCAGAACATTGATGGTCAGAAACTCCAAGTATCACTCTCAGCTGTTGCATGACTTTGTTCTGGGTACAGGCCTGCTCAGTGTTCTCCCTGTGTGCCAGTGGGGACAGTTCTACCATTGGTATGAATATTCTAAAAACTATTTTAAAATAAGCTTCTCTTGCAGTGCAAAGGAAAAAATTGCATTTTCTTTTTTATTTTTTAAAAACTTTTATTTAATAAATATAAATTTCAAAAGTACAACTTTTGGGTTATAGCGGCTTTTTCCCCTCCATAAACCTCCCTCCCACCCACAACCATCCCATCTCCCACTCCCTTTCCCATCCCATTCTTCATTAAGATTCATTTTCAATTATCTTTATATACAGAAGATCAACTTGATATATACTAAGTAAATATTTCAACAGTTTGCATCCACATAGATACACAAAGTATAAATTACTGTTTGAGTACTAGTTTTACCATTAATTCACATAGCACAACACATTAAGGATAGAGATCCTACATGGGGAGTAAGTGCACAGTGACTCTTGTTGTTGATTTAACAATTTATACTCTTATTTATGACATCAGTAATCACCTGAGGCTCTTGTTATGAGCTGCCAAGGCTATGGAAGCCTTTTGAGTTCCTTATTTAGACAAGGTCATAGTCAAAGTAAAAGTTCTCTCCTCCCTTCAGAGAAAGGCACCACCTTCTTTGAAGACCTGTTCTTTCTACTGGGATCTCACTCACAGAGATCTTTCATTTAGGTGTTTTTTTGCTTGTTTGTTTGTTTTTTTGTTTTGTTTTGTTTTTGTTTTGCCAGAGTGTCTCGGCTTTCCATGCCTGAAATACTCTCATGGGCTTTTTAGCTGGATCTGAATGCCTTAAGGACTGATTCTGAGGCCAGAGTGCTGTTTAGGGCATCTGCCAATCTATGTAAACTCCTCTTTTGACATTTATTAATTAACACTGTAAGTAACAACTTTAAACACAGTTGGAGTCCCCTAAGTGATTCTTCAACTTTAAATATTTTTAAGTTGTTCTTAATATGATAGGAGGTGATTTACTGAGTGAACCATATAAGACTATTCAATAATATAAATAACTTGTATATATGTCTTTCTTTTTTAGCATTATGAAATGCATACAAAATAAAAATTTATGTCTCGATATATCAATATTTTGAAATTATTTATGTTTTCTTCATAATTCTTGCTATTTCTTTCTTAAGGAGGAATGGTTAAAATCAATAACCTAGACAATGTTCTGAAAAACCTGGGAATTGAACTCACAGAAAAGGAACATGAAAGTCTGACAGAAAATCTGTCACTTAGTGGTAAGAATTATAGATAACAATTGGGTTTCAAAGGAATTTACAATTATGGACTTATGTAAGGAAATACGTATAACTAGTGATAGTTCATAAGACAAAAATGGCACTATTCAATGATAAAGGAAAGCTGATCCTAATTTAAAATAGAGCATTTATTAGTTTGGAGGCTAAAAGAAAAACTTTGTATGACACAAGTTAAGCAGTTTATTTGAGAATTAGAGGTTTAACAAATTAGGAAGCACTCAGACTCAGAAAAGCAGAGATATTGAGCATCAGGCTTATATAGGCTGAATGCACAAGCAAAGTAAAGGTATTATCTCATTGGTTATAGGTGGGCATTTAACTCATTTTGATATTTCTGGTTACAAAACTAGTGGCTGTAGTGATTGGGTGGTGGTAGGCTGTTTGTGACTTTTTTTAAAAAAGATTTATTTGTTTGAGAGGTAGAGTTACAGAGTGAGAGGGAGGGACAGAAAGGTCTTCCATCCACTGGTTCACTTGCCAAATGGCTGCAACAGGCAGAGCTGGACAGATCCAAAGCCAAGAGCCAGGAGCTTCTTCCAGGTCTCCCATGTGGGAACAGGAACCCAAGGACTTGAGCCATTGTGGGGAGCAACTGGGAGCAACTCGGACTGGACTGAGTTACTGGAATTAAGACTTATTCTATGGATCTGCTCTCCCACAATATGGCGCTGGGAGAGGAGAAAACAGCTTCTACGCAGCTGCCTCTTGCCAACTTGAGTGATGACCTCCAGGAGCTGATCCTGCTCCTGATTGGAGGAGAGCAGCGTACTCGGCGTGTGGGCAGGCGAGTTGGGATTGGCGGAAGAGGACTATAAAGGAGGAGAGAGACAACATGCACCAGGAACATCTAAGGGGAACACCTATGCAGCCCCCGAGAGAGCCGGCCGGCGGTGTGCCGCTCCCCTGCGGAAGTGGGGAAAGTGGCAGGGGGAACCGCCCTTCCACGGAGGTGGAAGGGACGGTAGCCAACCCGGGAAGAGCCAGCAGCAAACCCGGGGAGGGCCGAGCAGACAAAAGAACAGTGCAGGGTCCTGTGTCGTTCCTCCACGAAGAGGGGGAGCGACAAGCCATCTTCTACTGCTTTCTCTGGCCATAGCAGAGAGCTGGATCAGAGGGAGAGAGACAGAGAGACAGAGAGAGGTCCTCGATCCGATGTTTCACTCCCCAATTGGCCACAATGGTTGGAACTGTGCCAATCCAAAGCCAGGAGCTTCTTCCAGATCTCCCATGTGGGTGCAGGGGCCCAAAGACTTGGGCCATCTTCCACTGCTTTCCCAGGCCACAGCAGAGTTCTGGATCAAAAGAGGAGCAGCTGTGACTAGAACTGTTGCCCATGTGGGATGCCGGCGCTTCAGGCTAGGGTGTTAACTGGATGTGCCCCCACTACTACTTTCAAATTAGGAAATGCATAGGGAACAGGGTGAATGTTTTAGGATAGACAGTCTCCTAACTACAGTCATCTTCAACCAGTTCTATTCTTAAATGACCAAATGACCATTGCTCATTTCATTTTTACATATTTTCCCAGGGAAATATTACTAGAATAATGTTATGCTGAAGACTACCCTGAATATTAGATTAATATAGTCACAATTATACTTCTTAATATCATATTTAAATCATTTTCATAATTTCTTACGTTATATTGGTTTCTCTTTCAGTAGGTTGAATTATGGTTTTCCATAACAGAGCAAGAATGTTTTTTATTATCCTGTACTCCTCATTCTCCCTGTGTTCCTATAGCTCATTAATTGCCAAATGAAGTCATCAATATGGGATGCTGGCACTGCAGGCGAGGCTTAGCCTACTATGCCACAGCACTAGCCTTGCCTAAAACTCAGTCCTGGTATCCCACATGAATGGCAGGAACCCAGGAACTTGGGCCATAACTACTGCCTCCCAGGGTCTACATGAGCAAGATGAAGTCAGTAGCTAGAGCTGGGTATGCAACCTTTGTAGGAGAGGGAGAGGAGAGGAAGGAGAGAGAGGTGAGAAAGGAGAGAAGAGGAGGAAGAGGAGGAGGAAGAGAGAGAGAGAGAGGGAAGGAGGGAGGGAGGGAGAGAGGGAGGGAGGAAGAGAAATTGATTTTTCATCCTCTGGTTCACTCCTCAAATGACTGAAATGGCCAGGGTAACTGAAATGGCCAGGTCTGAGCCAGACTGAAAGAAGAAGCCAGGAATTTTATACAAGTCTCTCCCATGTGGGTGACAGGGTCCCATGTACTTGGGTCATCTTCTACTGCTTTCCCAGGCACATCAGAAGAGAACTGGATTTGAAACGGAGCAGCCAGGATTGAACTGGCACTCATATGAGATGCTGACATCATGGGCAGCAGCTTAACCCATTGAGCCCAGCACTGGGCCTGAGGGACATAAAAATCTTAACTGCTAGGCTAAGAATCCACCCCAGAGCCCGCATTTTTTTTATTTGCACTCAGTCCAATGCACTTAGTTCCCATGGGTTGATTTACCTTCCTGATACTGAAACATAACCATGTTTCCGTAACACTCTACCTTTGACTAATGATTTCTTTTCCTTAAAGATAGAAAGGTTGAACTATTTATCCAAACCATATACATATATTGATATCAAAATATTGAGAACTCATATCATAAGCTGTTCCGAGTTAATAGTAGAAATAAATTAATAGTAGGGGCCAGCACTGTGGCAAAGCAGGTAAAGCTGCTGCCTGCCTGCAGAGCCACCATCCTATATGGGTGCTTGTTCTAGTCCCAGAAACTCCACTTCCAATACAGCTCCCTGTTCAAATGCCTGGAATAGTAGTAGAAGATGGCCCAAGTCCTGGAGCCTCTACACTCACGTGGAAGACCCAGAAGAGGCTCCTGGCTCCTGGCACAGCTCTGGCCATTGTGGCCATCTGGGGAGTGAACCAGCAGATGGAAGATCTTTCCCTGCTCTCTCTGCCTCTGCTTCTCTGAAACTCTGCCATTCAAATAAATAAATCAATCTTTAAAAATAAAATAATAAAAAAGAATAGTAGCAGTAAAAGTTTAAAAAATGAAAAATAGAATCTCACTGTCAACACAAATCTTTGAAAGAAGCTTGGTTTAAACTAGAAATAAAGGCTAACAAAAAACAAACCAACATCAACTCATAGGAGTATGAGCATTAGATTTAAGAAAGCAGTGTGTTTAGTCAGCTTTCCACCTACCATAGAATGGATTCTTGCCATCATTGCATCTGAGTCTTTGATTGAATCATATTAAATTGTGAGTGGATTTTAATAGCTTTTTTTTATCTTATCATATTGTCTTTTCCTAATTATGGTTTTTCTTACAGCTAGTGGAACGACTGATCTAAGTAAATTGCTGGAAGCAGTAGAAATTGTTACAGGTTAGTTAAAAGTTACTATAAATCTAATGTCTTCATTTTTATACTAAATAATTTTTATATAGCACCACATTTTTCATTGTCTTTTTAATTCTTTTCCTTTGTCTATATTGATCAGTATCTACCTAAAATTATATTTTAGAATATCTGCATTGTAGTACTATTTCAGTGCTAAGTAGTTCTGGTGGCAAATTCCTTTGTATGTGGGATATTTGCCAATAATAGTCACTATTCTTGATTTTGGGTGCCAAAAGTTTAGTACAGTAAGAGATATATTAAACTGTTATAAAGGTGAGATAATTTTTTGAGGAATTTTTATTATTAACTTTAAATTTGAAAAACAAAAATTGTAAAGTAGTAAATAAAATGAGTTCTGATATATCCCTCATCTAATTTCCCTTTTTAGCATCTCACATTAATGTGTTTGTCACAATGAGCTACACCAAACTTCTGGTATTGCTTTTATCCAAACTCCTTTTATCCTTACCAGCCTATTAACCAACATTCTGTGCTGAGATGAGGTTGTTTGTTTGTTTGTTTGTTTAGTTATTTAATAATTTATCTCCCAGGTGTAAGGAAGAACATGCAGTATTTGTCTTTCTGTGTCTGGCCTATCTCAGTCAACATAATGTACTCCAGTTGCATCTATTTTCCTGCAAATAACAGCACTTCATTCTTTTTTATAGCAGAATGTATTCTGCTGTAAAATCTATATATGTATATATGTTCCACACTTTCTTTATCTGTTCATGTGATGATGGGTACCTTGGTTGATTCCTTCTTTGGCTGTTGCCAATAGTGTCGCTAAAAACATGGTGGAGCAGGTATCTCTTTAATGCAGTGAGTTCATATCTTTTGGGTACATACTCAGGAGTGGGATTGCTGGATCATATGGCAGTTCCATTTCTAGTTTTTAAAGAAATCGTCATACTTTTTCTACACTGGCTGCAATAATTTATATTCCACCCAGCAGTGTATAAGAGTTCCCATTTCTCCATATCTTCATTGTCGCTCCCCCTCTTCGTGGAGGAACGACACAGGACCCTGCGCTGTTCTTTCGTCTGCTCGGCCCTCCCCGGGTTTTCTGCTGGTTCTTCCCGGGTTGGCTACTATCCCTTCCACCTCCGTGGAAGGGCAGTTCCCCCTGCCACATTCCCCACTTCCGCGGGGGAGCGGCACACCGCCGGCCGGCTTTCTCGGGGGCTGCACGGGTGTTCCTTCAGCTAGATGTTCCCCATAGATGTTCCTGGTGCATGCCGTCTCTCTCCTCCTTTATAGTCCTCCTCCGCCAATCCTAACTCGGCTGCCCACACACCGAGTACGCTGCTCTCCTCCAATCAGGAGTAGGTCCTGCTGTTTATTAGTTGAACTGGAGGCAGCTGTGCAGAAGCTGTTTACTTCTCTCCCAGCGCCATATTGTGGGAGAGCAGATGCATAGAATAAGTCTTAATTCCAGTAACTTAGTCTAGTCCGGTTTGCTCCCCACAGATCCCCCTTTCTTTTTATTTTTTGGCGTTGATACGCGCCTGTCTTCGGTGTCCCGCGGCACACACTCTGCTCTACTTGCTAGAGTTGCCACAGGCTCTTACAAGTCCTATCAATCAGGAAAACCGAATCCGGGTCCTCTCTTCGCCATTGTGAGGAGGTTTTTAGGCGCTGATGCGTGCCTGTGTTCGGTGCCCTGCAGCGCATGCTCTGCTCTGCTAGAACTGCCTGCAGGTGTTTACAAAACCTATCAGGCAAACCGAATCCAAGCCTTCTCATTGCCGTATTGTGGGGGAGACTTATTAGTGTTGGTTTGTGCCTATCTTCGGTGACCTGCAGCTCATACTCTGGTCGAGCTGCTTGCTGGCGCTTACCGCCTTAAATCAGGCAGACCGAATCCAAGCCTCCTAATTGTTGCATTGTGGGGAAGCTTTACTGATGTTAATTCGTGCCTGTCTTCGGTGACCTGCGGCGCATAAGCTGCTAGCCGCCGCAGGTGCTCATTGTGCTCATCGCCTCACTTAATCAGGCAGACCGAATCCAAGCTCTCACATTGCAGTGTTGTAGGGAGGCCTTTCTATTTCTCTATTTCTCTATCTCCGGGCATTCCTATTTCTCCCATTTTACTTCTATCTGCCAACATTCCCATTTCTCTCACTCCACTTCCAAACTTCTGTTTCTCTTATCCCCGCAGCTTCCCGCTGCCCGCCCCGAGGCTACTTCTCGGCGGCTTCCCGGCTGAGCCGCTTCAGCCCGCGCCTCTCTCATCTGCGCAGCTTCCCGGCTTTGCGCGGCTTGGCTTCGCACGCTCCGCGGTCTCCACGCCCTTCGCGTCTGCACCACGGCCTACGCCAGCCCCGTTCCCTATCTACTTGTGCCCCGCACGCTCTCTCTGCGCACGGCAGCCTCCGCGAGTCACACAGCGTGTAGCTTACGTGTCCGCCACTAGCATTCAATCTAAGTTCCCCGGGCTAGCCTGGCGAATTCAACCCAGCGTACGTCTCCGCCCCACGGTTTGGCTTCCCGTCCTTGGTTTCCTATCCAAGCTAGGTTTCCTATCCGAGTCACGGCACCATTATGTCGCTCCCCCTCTTCGTGGAGGAACGACACAGGACCCTGCGCTGTTCTTTCGTCTGCTCGGCCCTCCCCGGGTTTTCTGCTGGTTCTTCCCGGGTTGGCTACTATCCCTTCCACCTCCGTGGAAGGGCAGTTCCCCCTGCCACATTCCCCACTTCCGCGGGGGAGCGGCACACCGCCGGCCGGCTTTCTCGGGGGCTGCACGGGTGTTCCTTCAGCTAGATGTTCCCCATAGATGTTCCTGGTGCATGCCGTCTCTCTCCTCCTTTATAGTCCTCCTCCGCCAATCCTAACTCAGCTGCCCACACGCCGAGTACGCTGCTCTCCTCCAATCAGGAGCAAGTCCTACAGTTTATTAGTTGAACTGGAGGCAGCTGTGCAGAAGCTGTTTACTTCTCTCCCAGCGCCATATTGTGGGAGAGCAGATGCATAGAATAAGTCTTAATTCCAGTAACTTAGTCTAGTCCGGTTTGCTCCCCACATTCATCAGAAAATGTACTGTCTTTTGCATAATAGCTATTCTGACAGTGGTGAGATGATATCTCATTGTAGTTTTCATTTGCACTTGATTTGGCTAGTGATATTGAGCATTTTTTCATATATTTGTTGGTCATTGTATTTTTTCTTTTGAGAACTGGCTATTGAGGTCCATTTCTTAACTGGATTACTTTTGTTATTGAGGTTTTTGAGTTACTGATCTGTTCTGAATATTAATCTTTGTTGGATGAGTAGCTTGCATATATTTTCACCCATTCTTTGGGATGTCTCTGTACTCTATTGATTGTTTAGTTTGCTGTGTGGAAGCTTCTGAGTTTCATATGATCCCATTTGTCTAGGTTTGCTCTTATCATGTGTGTTTTGGGGGTTAGCACCTACAATATCCTAATTTATAGGACATAAACTGAATCATTATATCTATTTTACTAAGAGTGAGCTTATATTTCTATCAGTTAATGAGATTGGTGAGCAATTAATATATTTTATTTGTATATATTCATATAATAAGTGTAGTTGGAACAGAACAGATGAACAGACAGCATATCTTTTTAAAGTATTAGACCTTTCTCCATACTGATGTATGACCATTTTGATTATATTGAAGGAGGAGAAATTGATACTGAAAATGCTCTGGAGGAAATGGGAATAGCTCTCACAGAGAAGGAACATGAAGAACTTATAACAAATCTATCAGTTGATGGTAAGCATTTCAAATAATAGTATGGTCTTAAAGGCAGCATGCATTGTTTATTTTGTTAGAAAAATAATTTAAAATTATTTGGAATGAATTATCTCATACTTATTGGAGAGACAGACAGACAAAAAATAAATGTAAATTCTAGTTTGTTGACATGAGTTACTTGGGCTTATGACTGCACTTGTAGACTGAGAAGGAGGAAGGAAAGAAAAGGACTTAAACAAAAAAGGAAGACTAGACTAAAAATGCATGAATATGTATAATATGATCCAATTTGTATGTTTATAACACATATAATTCAAGTATTATAAAAACTTTATAAAGAAAGCAAAATGAATTCTACTGATGGGCCAGCATTGTGGTATAGCAGGTTAAGCTGCTGTCTGCAATACCGGAATCTTGTGTGGGCACTGGTTCAAGCCCCGATTGCTCCACTTCTGATCTAGCTCCCGACTAATGCACCTGGGAAAGCAGGGGAGGATGGCCCAAGTGTTTGGGCCCCTGCACCCACATAGGAGACCTGGAAGAAGCTCCAGGCTCCTGATTTCAAATCCATCTGGCTCTAGCTGTTGCGGCCATCTAGGGAGTGAATCGGCAGATGGAAGACCTTTCTCTCTGCCTCTGCCTCTCTGTCACACGACATTTCAAATAAATAAATAATTCTTAAAAAAAAAAAAAGATGGAGAGAATGAGAGAGTGGATAAAGAGAGAGTGGGGTTAGCCTGTCCTGACAGATAACAAGGATTTGAAACCAGGCTTCATTCCTTTTGAGCAACAAGCAGAGTCCCCTCTTTAACTGCTTGTGTTAGGGGAAGTGTAGAGCACCACAAGGACTTTGATAAGGTGGGGGGGGGGCATGCAGAAAGGCTCCTTGGTGAAGTTTACACTGCATTGTCTTAACAGTTTGGAATGTCCCCGGTGTGGGGCTCTCCTGGGCAATAAACATTCCACTGGTTTCACAATAACAACTGAATAAATTTGGTATATTGATGGTGTTTCATTTTTGTATCTTAAAAGTAATTGGAAACCTTCTGAGAAAAATTACTAATACCCTTTACCTTAAATTGTGCTTTTGCTGCCTTGGTGAACCTCCACATCACTCACTTTTGTGTGGCTTGATTTATATTTCTGTAGATAATGGAAAAGTCTTCAAAAATAGATTACTGGATGGTTTGAAATCATTTAATGGTAAGTGAAAAAGGAATGAAAAACCAGCTTAATTGAAGAGAGAGAAACATACTCTTTCCTATATAATAAATTGTGAGTTTTACCAATTTACTTAATTATTGACATCACTCCCATATTCCTAAATAGAAGTGTGTGTTCGAAAAGTATATGTTGGAGTTCTGAAATTTCCTATTTGATAGAAAAGAACATAAAAATATCTTGGGAATTTAGTAGGAGTTGAGACTATCTTAGAAAGTAAATAAAAACAAGCCCATTTATTAGTGAGAAAACTAATTTTTGCACTTCTATCAGTTGTTAGTAATTTATTCAGCCTCTTTTAATATTTATAAGCTATAAACTCACCACTGTGATCCAGCCAAGGAAAGAGATTCAGGTTTTCTCTCCATTATTGACCCCCTTTTTACTACAGAGCATAGACATTCCTGCTAAAGCTGGTAACCTTAATATATAGAAGTTAAGAGCTTTGGGTCCATCAGATTTTACTCCTATTTCCCTTATTTTTCCAAGGAGGGTTTATTAATGTCAATAAGCTTGATTCAGTTGTGAAAAACATGGGATGTAAACTCTCGGAAGAAGAAATTAAGGATTTGAAATGCAACCTGCCCACTAATGGTGAGTGTTTAAAATATTTTTAAGATACTCAAGAAAAATCCAGGATTTCTGTACAAGTGTCAATTCTTCAACCCATTAAACGCTTATTAGGCCTAGTCAGGCATTTTTTAATGGCTTAAGAGAATTCAGAATGCAATAAATAACTAATTTTGTCTTGTATATATATATATTTTTTTTTTTTTGACAGGCAGAGTGGACAGTGAGAGAGAGAGACAGAGAGAAAGGTCTTCCTTTTGCCATTGGTTCACCCTCCAATGGCCGCCACGGCTGGCGCGCTGCGGCCGGCACACTGCGCTGATCTGAAGGCAGGAGCCAGGTGCTTCTCCTGGTCTCCCGTGGGGTGCAGGGCCCAAGCACTTGGGCCATCCTCCACTGCACTCCCGGCCACAGCAGAGAGCTGGCCTGGAAGAGGGGCAACTGGGACAGAATCCTGTGCCCCGACCGGGACTAGAACCCGGTGTGCCAGCACCGCTAGGTGGAGGATTAGCCTAGTGAGCCGCGGCGCCGGCCAGTATATAATTTTTAATTGGTTCATGATGCAATTTATATCACTTTGTTATAAACAGGGATTGGAGCTCATTCAAGTTAACTACAAAATTGGGGAAATAAAACAAACTAGAGGACAGAAGAGAGTGAAAATACAATGAAATAAAGTTAGAGGAAATGAACATGATAAGGAAAGAATGCTAAGGGTGGGGAATGATTTAAATATCACCAACTACCACTTAAATTAGCACTTCCACTGCTACTAGTTCCTCTCCATCTAGGAACTTACCTTTAGACAAGAAGACAAAAAAGTGATGAGAAGACAAAACAGTCAACAAGAAAAATAGGTTTGACACACACTTCTTCACTATTGAAGGCATAGCAGAATCTATGTCCTAAAGCCAAGGGCAATGAGAGACTCAGGCCATTTCTGGTATGTTTTCTTCACGAGTATTTTAAAGAATTCATCTTTTAGAGTATCCATATCCATATGGATACTCCATTAAGTTCATGGAAAATGGAATTAAAAGATAAGTTTAGGGGCTAGCATTATGTCCCAATGGGTTAAGCCACCACCTAAGATACTAGCATCCCATATGAGTGCTGGTTTGAGTTCTAAGTGTTCCATTTCCAATCCTGCTCTCTGCTGTAACATCTGGGAAAATAGCAGAAGATAGCCCAAGTACTTGACCCTTGCCACTCGTGTGGGAGACCAAGATAAACCTCCTGGCTCCTTGGTTTGCCTGGCCTAGCCCCACCCATGGCCATGTGGCCATTCGGGGAGTGAAACAGCAGATGGAAGAAATCTCTCTCTCTCTCTGTCTCTCTTCTCTCTGTCTCTCCCTAATTCTATAACTACCTTTCAAATAAGTAAATAATTCTTTTTTTTAAAAAAAAAAGATAAATTTATTTTGGTGCAAAAAAATTTTTTGAACTCCATGCATACAAGGAGTCATCAAAAATTAATGAAAATGTATTATGAGAAAATTATGTATAGATTTTAAAGTTTTTGCACCAAAATAAACTTGTCTTTTAATTCCATTTTCCACATCTTCCTGAAGCACCCTTGTATATGTAAATATAAATGGTGTTGATAATGTTCAATATTTTCAATATTTTGATGGTGACAGTGGGTACATAAATCTGCACAAGTAATAAAACTATATAGAACTGTGTTGGGGCCAGTGCTGTGGTGTAGCGGGTAAAGCTGCAGCCTGCAGTGCCGGCATCCTATATGGGGGCCGGTTAGAGTCCCAGCTGCTCCACTTCTGATCCAGCTCTCTACTAGGGCCTGGGAAAGCAGTGCAGGATGGCCCAAGCTCCTGGGCCCCTGCACCCACATGGGAAACCCAGAAGAAGCTCCTGTTCCTGGCTTCAGATCAGTTGCAGCCAATTAGGGTGTGAACTGGTGGATGGAAGGTGTCTCTCTCTTTCTCTCTCTCTCTCTCTGCCTCTCCTTCTCTCTCTGTGTAACTCTTTCAAGTAAAATGAATAAATCTTTAAAAAAAAACTATATAGAACTTAATACACACAGAGTCATGCAAATAAATACATGTAAAACTAAGAATCTGAATAACATTGGTGGGCTTTATCAATGTTAATATCTGCTATGTTTTAAACAATGCATTATGCTTTTTATTTTAATTTTATGGTTATATATCAAGAAAGAGATATACTTTTTGAGGGATGAATTGCTTTATTAATTTAGTGACTCTCAATCTTTATTTCTTTATTAATTTAAAAAAAATTTTTAAGGTGAACTAATTTCATGTATTTCATATTTATGGATTTTGGAGCATAGTAATGCTTCCCAGCCTACCCTCCCTCCCATGCTTCCACCCTTCCTTCTCCTTCCTTTCTTATTCTCTCTTAATTTTTATAATGATTTACTTTCAATTTAATCATAAGATTAATCTGGTATTGTGATGCCTCTGACTTTGTTTTTTTTTTAAGATTCCTTTATCTATTTTGGGTTTCTTGTGTTTCCTTATGAATTTTGGCATCATTTTTTCTAAATATTTTATATCTATTTCTTTTTTAAAGATCTGCTCCACCCCACTAGCATGTCCTTTCCATGGAGAGGCCAAGATGTTCCCAGAGCTAGCTGCCCTTGGGTGCTCTGCCTTGAGCCCTGGAGCCTTAGATATTTTGAGAGGCTGGAGGCACCTCACAGTCCTACACTGACGCCGAGGGCCCTGTGAACCCTCCCAGCCAGACTCAAAGTCAGCGAGGAGCATTGCTTTTCCCTCTGGTAAAATCCCCTAGTCTCACACACAAGAGCCACCACAGCCTCTACTAGTATCAAAATGGCGCCTTCTCCCCCCCAGTTGCAGGGTACCCTTTTGGGTTACTGGGGAGAAAGAAACGTACTTTTTTTTTTTTTTAAAGATTCATTTTATTTATTTGGAAGACAGAGTTACAGAGAAAGGTAGAGACAGAGAGAGAGGTCTTCCATCCGCTGGTTCACTCCCCAAATGGCTGCAACGACCAGAGCTGCACCAATCCAGAGCCAGGAGCCAGGAGCTTCTTCTGGGTCTCCAACATGGGTGCAGGGGCCCAAGGACCTGGGCCATCTTCCACTGCTTTCCCAGGCCACAACAGAGAGCTGGATCAGAAGAGGAGCAGCCGGGACTCGAACCTGTGCCCATATGGGATACCTATGCTTCAGGCCAGTCCTTTAACCCACTGTGCCACAGTGCCGGCCCCGAAATGTACTTCTTTTCACTAGATTAGGCAGGCACCTTGCCCCCAGCTAGGGCTCCAGGCCAAACTCAAAAATAGTGTGGTCTGCAGTATTATCCCTCAGGCAATAACACAGGTGGCATGGGCTGCCACAGTCTGCTCTCCTCCCTCTCTCCTTAGTTGACATCTCCTCCAGTTCCTGGCTGCAGGTGTTGTGTGTGGCTTCTCTGCTTGTTGCCCGGCATCTGCATGTGCTCTGCTCCTGCACAGCATCCTTCTTCCCTCTGTAGAATTTCCTCTGCAAACGTCTCTCCAGCTCTCCCCTGGGAATGTGCTTCTTCAGCTTTTCTTCTGCCATTTTCCCCTGTCTAAAGCAGCGCGTCTTGTCCCTAGTATACTGTGGTTTATATGTCTTATTTTTAAGGGAAGCTGGGAAAAATAGATGAAACATACCTCTCCATTTTTTCTTATGATTTTGTGCTGGTATTCAGTTAACCAAATAGAATTTTCAAAAATATTATGTTAAAAATAACTTTTGCATTTAGTCTATTAGCCTCCCATGGTATGATAAACCAATATATATATATGCAAACCACATATCTGTATCTGTATCTGTATCTATATATCTATCTAAATATATATCTGATGTCAAAGAATTGTCTTCAAAGTGATTAAGAATTTTACAACATCCAAAGGAATTAATAAATCTGAGTCTACTAAAATAGAGAGAAGTATTTAATAAGAACTTATTATATGGGAAGATTATTTTAAATTTTTATTTAATTTTTAAAGATTTATTTATTTGAAAGAGAGAAGGAGAGAGAGAGAGATGTTCTGATCTTCTATTTGCAAGTTCACTCGCCAAATAGTGTCAACTGATGGGACTGGGCCAGGCCAAAGCCAGGAATCTAGAACTCTGTCTAGGTCTTAAATGTGAGTGGCAGGCGTGCATATACTTGGGCCATCTTCTGACTGGATGAGACACAGAGCAATCCAGACTCCAACAAACACTCTGTCTGATATGGGGTACTGACACAAAAGCAGCAGCTTAACCTGCTGGGCTACAATGCTGGTTCCAAGATCATTCTTAAATTCCAAATTGAAACATTATTAAATAATATGTACCAAATTGAAATCCTGTTGTTGTGGTCTGATCTAAATAAAATTTTCCAGGATCTTAGAGCTAAAAGTAAACCTTTGAAAAAAAGTGACTTTTTAATCTTATCTCCTGACTATTTAAGGTTTGATAGCCTGTAAAAGAATTAAATCACAGTTATATTGATGAAATAACTAAACTTTTTATATTTCATTTCTTTACTCTGATTATTTCCCAGCAAGAGGGTAGAAACAGAGAAAATTGTTGAAATGTATATTGCTAGAATATTTTCCATTCACAGTAAATTCCTAAGTCTCATAATGATTTCTTTTTATTATTTGCATTTTTTCTTATAGTAGATGGGAAAGTTGCAATGAGTGAGTTGTTTGATGAATTAAAAGCTTTTACAGGTAAGTGAAAAGATACTGTATTAACAAAACCTTCAATCTTTACATAGTAGCATAGTTTTAAGTATTCCCCACTATTCCATTTGTCAGTTTAAGCTTTTAACATTTTCTCATAAAACACATGCTTCTATAATCCTATAGTTTACTTTTAAATGTAGCATCTAAGTGTCTATAAATTTATAACAGTGTGAACTTTCTAGAATTTTTATACTAACAATATCATTCTCTGTTACATTATTAATAGATTCTCAAATAAGAATAGATCAAGTAATAAGATAAGACTTTTATTGTCAGTATAAAGAACAAATAAATATTCAGAAAATATTGAAACTATACAATACTCTCTGGTAAGATGTATAAATGAATTGTTTCTGATTTTTAACCAGTTATTCAGGTAGAATTTATTCTCTTCCACTTTGACTCATCTTCAGATCAGTCATACCTTTCAACATTTTTAAGTAAACATGTAAATTTGATATATCACTCCTCTTAATTCCATATAGCTATCTGTTTTATTATGTCTGAAACTACCTCAAATTAGGAGGAAACTTGTTTAATGTTATTACATTGTTTGAAACAATTATTCTATTAAATTCTTGAATAATAATCTTTTATATTTTTCAAAGGAAAAGAGATTGATGTGCAGGACCTCTCAGATTTTCTGAGTAACATGGGTATTGAGCTAACAGATAAAGAACAGATAAAGCTGCTGAACGAGCTGCCAGTTGATGGTGAGCCTTATAGATGACTCTATTCCCTTCTTGAGAGCTTTGTTTTATGGGGCTGTAGGTTTTTGTTTGTTTGTTTTTAAGAAAATGTTCTCAGTTTACAGTCCTAAAAAATTAAAATGATTAGAAAAAGTAAATTTTATGTTATGTAGATGCCCTTTCATTTCTTTTGCCCAAGGCCACAGAGCTTAAGTAAATGTTTTACTATCATATCCTCTGACCTCTGACAAAATCATATTAAAAAAGGAAATGAAGGAAAAGTGATGAGGTGAGAGATTTTTAGAAGAATTGGGTGGAAGGAGTCAACAAAGAAACAAAGTGATAGCAGCATAGCAGAGTCTATTAACAGCTGTCTTCAGTGTTAAAAATTGCATAATGTCACACTGATAGTTCTCATTTTTATTTTTTTAAGTTAGAGGATGAGATTAGAGCATATTAATAAATAATAAAATTATTTCTTAAATTATGAAATGTATGTATCTTCTTATGAGCATCTGCAGCACATTTTGTTTGACATAGAGTGTGTTTCGCATTGCAGCTTCTGGGAAGATCTATGAAAATAGATTGTTGAATGGTGTGAAGTCTTTCAAAGGTGAAAAACAATATTTAAAGTTTAAATTAATGTCATTAATCAACATATTCTCTAAGAATTGATTTTTAATTAGGTCTTTCATTTTACATTTAGTTTCCTAAGTAATGTCCCTTCTAAAATCTTTATAAAAGGTCTCATAATCTTTTATATTTTTCAAAACTAAACCCCCTAAGAAATACATGAAGACAACATTAGGTAGCTATTTTGAGAATTGACTAAAAAAATCAAAGACAACCAAAGATAATTCCTCCCCATTGTCAGAAAGATTAGACATTGTTTTCTAGTAGAATCAAATCCATTAAATAAGATTCATTAATGATTTCTCTAAACAGAACATATTTTTAGCAAAGTTGTATTAAGAAAAACTGTCCCTATTCCTAGTACTTAGGAGAAAGAAAGAGAGAGAGGGAGAGAAGGAGAGAGAGAAAGAGAAACACAATGGAATGGAGTAGGGGGATGAAGAAAAAGTTGGAAACCTTGCCATTTGACACCTATTGAGAAGAGTTTCCTGCCACAGAAGGAATGCCTCCTAAGATTCCCAGGCCTTTAGGACAGCAGGATTATTTCTTGAAGAAATTAATGTGGAAGTTACCCATGATATTTCTCATTTTATAATTTACTATGTGTTATTATCCACTAAATTAAGTGTCACTTTAAAAATGGTGCTCTTACTGCAGGAAACTGAACTTGTCAGTCTTTCTGTAGTTCTCTTCTTCCTCTGTCCCAGGGGGCACATCTTATGTACCTTCTTTAGTCCCTAGTCCTCCTGTTTTACAGCTTTTAAAATATATCTTCCTCTCCATGTACTCCCAGCCTCAATTTCTGCTTCGGCTTCCCAGCATTTGTAGTTAAGCCTTCCCTGATATTATCATAGGTGGATTAAAAGAGATAGCATATATTCATTTTCATTAAACAAATAGCTTTCTACTTAAAAATAATCTATACTTATACTCTTTTCACCCCATAGGAAAACCACACAGTGCAATTTCAGAGTTTCAGTGGAAACAAGTACTAGTTTTCTAGCATTGAAGAATTTTCTCAAAATCCTTCTCTATGTTTCATTAGTTGCCTTTAACTTCAGTTATAAAATTCCTTTATAAGGTATTTCCTGGGTATAGTTTCACCAAGATAAATTTAAAATTTGTAAGAAAAATGTTCATCTAAATTTAGTTGTCATGATTAGAGGCAATATTAATTACATGGAGAAAAAGATGATATTTTTCCTTAATCTTATCATTTTAATAGTAAAACATTTTAATATATAATATTAACATATTTCTAATATTTAACACATGTATTACATCTTAATTTTCTCACTTTCTGTCTTTTTCTAAGGAGGGAAAGTTCAAAAAAGTAAAATGGATAGTGTTCTAGAAAACTTGGGGATTAAACTCACCGAAAAGGAGCTTGAACATCTAGCAGCTAAGTTGCCAGTCAATGGTGAGTACTAGTTATTACTATGATTTTCAATAGAGTTTTCGCTTATAAATTTAAATTAGAAGATTTTGAAAGAAGAATTATTCAATGCTAAAAGGATATTTCTGTTATCTCCAAATAAGCTTTATACCCCTTTGGTATTATCAAGTCCTTCTTGAACCCCAATAACTCAGATATTTACTTTTAATACTGTCCCAAATTTCCTATAAGCTTTATTCATTTTTTTTTCTTTTCCTCTCTGGTTGTATATTTTCAAATAATCTTGATTTGAGTGACCAGATTCTTTCCTCTTTTATTCTATCCTGCTAATGAGAACTTCTATTGCATTTCAAATTTTCTTAGTATACATTTCAGCTTAAGAATTTTTTTTTAAATTGTTCCATCTCTCTGTTAAGATTTTCTGTTCAAGTATTGTATAATTTCATTCTTTTTGTTGAAGCTCATTGAGTTTCCTTAAAACAGCCATTTTGAATTATCTGTCAGAGTCTGCAGATGTAATATGCTATATGATCAGTTTCTGCTACCTTATTTTCTCCGTTACGTGAAGTCATGGTTCCCTGAAAGTTCTTGATGTTTGTTACCATACAATATCACCTATACTTTGAAGTACAAGGTGTTATTCCATTCTTCATAATCTAGATTTTGTTTGCCTGGCCTTCCAGAAATTCTAAGTATTATGCTTACTTTCTCTGAGCTTATGGACTAGATGACACCCTATGCTAAAGTTTGTCATAAATCCACTGTTGTATTATGTTTTTTCCATCATGAATGATGCCTTAAGCCCAGATTGTCTCAAATCCATAGTGAATCTTGTTAAGAATTAACTGAATCAGCCATTTTTAAAAAAGAATGAAATCCTGTTTTCTACAACAAAATGGATGCATTGTACAACTATTTTACTTAAAATATAGGGTGTCATCTGAAGACTAGAAAATGGCCCCTTTCCTTAACTGTTCTCTTGTTCCAGGGGACAAATAACCTTTCACTAAGATATTGTTAATTCCTAGACTCTATTAATTAATAATTCTGTCAATAATTTTAAAATTGTAAAAGATAGTAGAGAAAATTTACTTGGGCAAGGGTCTGCTTTATTGTATTTGGACTTTGGTCCCATATCTTTGACATTGTTTGTTCCTTACTCATTATCTTTACTTGTAGATGCTGGGAATATTAATTTCAGTGAATTGATGGAGGAAGTGAAAATTATTACAGGTGAGAAATGAGTTGCTATAAATCCAAGACTTAGATTGTTAACACTAAATAATTATTTTGTTGATGTCTTTATTTTCTTCTTTTACTCTTATTTGTATCTAATCACTCAAAGTTGTACATTAGATTATCTATATTAACTATAACTATCTATATTCTTTATAGTGTTTTTTTTTTAAGATTTATTTATTTATTTGAAAGAGTTACACAGAAAAAGAGAGGCAGAGAGAGAGAGAGAGAAAGGTATTCTAATCCGCTGGTTCACCCCCAAGTTGGCCGCAATGACCAGAGCTGCGCTGACCTGGAGCCAGGAGCCAGGAGCCAGGAGCCAGGAGCCAGGAGCCAGGAGCTTCTTCAAGGTCTTCATGTGGGTCTTCCTTGAGCCGTCTTCTACTGCTTTCCCAGGCCATAGCAGAGAGCTGGATCAGAAGTGGAACAGCTGGGACTAGAACCAGCACCCATATGGGATGCCAGCACTGCAGGTGGTAGCTTTACCTGCTAAACAGTGCTGGCCCCTACAGTGTTTTTCAAAAGTGTAACATCACTACTCTGTGCTTTAAGAAAGTCAAATTATAAATTAGTAAAGTAAAATTTTGGTAGAGATACAGGTAGTTTCATAATTTGGATAATAACTAGTACACTGTATAATTACAGAATTATTTAGATCAGTTATCTAAAATTTTCAAAGTAAAATGAAATTGCATGTTTTTAATTGGGTAACAACTTACTAGGATCAAGTAAAAAATTTTTGTTTTTAAAAATCCATAAAAAGTGGTTAGTAGGATGGGCAATCTTATGCCTTTGTTTGTCTAGCAGTCTAGACATTAATGTTGAGTTGTTATAGCTAATTTTTAAAAAATTTTTCTAGTCATTAAATAGTACACAAGTTCCTCATCTGTTTTTATTCTGTCCTTTTTGAAGGAGGTGAAGCAAGTATCAGGGAAATAAAAAGTGTTCTTGGAAGTATGGGCGTAGAGCTCACAGAGAAGGAAGACTCAGAATTGGCGAAAATGTTACCTGTTGATGGTAAGCATTTCACATAGCAATACAACTTTCAAAGAAGTTGATACTATGTTCTCTTTATGAGAGCTAACACTCATTTTGATTGCCAAGGAAAGATTAAGAACAAAGAAAATTTAAAGTTTTCTTGAAACAGCCATTCCTGTTCATTTGCATATCCATGGCTGCGGTTGTGCTACACCAGTAAAGCTGATTAGTGATGACATAAACCTTATGAGCCACAAGGCCTAAAATATTTATTTCCTCGTCCTTAACAGAAAGAATTTACCTATCCTTCTTTGACGTATACACTCAGATTACAAAGAAGTGTATGCTGGGCTGAAGCTTAGGTATATTTTTAGTTTTATTTAAGTATTTGAACCAATTCACATTCATTTTAGCAATATGTATCATCATAAACAGTAAGTTTTTGTTGAAGCAACAAATAACAAAAAAAAAAAACAGTGGCATAAAACATTAAGAGTAATTTTGCTTAAAATGCATGTGCATTTTGGTTAGCAGGGGGTTCTGCTTTTTGTTACTTTAACCAAAATACCAAAGAGAAGCTTTGTTCAAAAACAAAAACTTATTTAAACTGAAGCTGCAGGTTACAGGATCACTCAGGTAGTCTGGTATCTGATGGAGGATGGATATAGTAGTACAGAGGAGTGATCACATGGTGGGCAGGAGGAGGAGAAAGAACAGTTAGGGAGAACTGGAACTCAAATAATCAAATTTCTCATGAGAACCACCATCCAAGGGCATGCCCCCAATGACCCAAAGACCTCCTATTGGCCTCACCTTTCAAACACCATCATTAGATCAACTCTATACCATCAACCAATCATTAACATCAAGGCATCAGAGCTTAAACATCTGCATGAGTTTTCGGGAGTCAAATTTACTGTCGTACCCATTGTAAGGCGGGCACAACGCACCAAACACCAGAGTAAGGGAAAGAGTTTATTGGGGGAAACCCGACAGACCAGAAGGAAAAGAAGGAGAAGGAAGGCCGGCGCCGCGGCTCAATAGGCTAATCCTCCGCCTAGCGGCGCCGGCACACCGGGTTCTAGTCCCGGTCGGGGCGCCGGATTCTGTCCCGGTTGCCCCTCTTCCAGGCCAGCCCTCTGCTGTGGCCAGGGAGTGCAGTGGAGGATGGCCCAGGTGCTTGGGCCCTGCACCCCATGGGAGACCAGGAAAAGCACCTGGCTCCTGGCTCCTGCCATTGGATCAGCGCGGTGTGCCGGCCGCAGCGGCGCCGCCTGCGGCGGCCCATTGGAGGGTGAACCAACGGCAAAGGAAGACCTTTTCTCTCTGTCTCTCTCTCTCACTGTCCACTCTGCCTGTCAAAAACAAAATGTTCAATGTATAGGAAACATCAGATGGTCAAGGGAAAGAGAGAGAGATCCAGAGACAGAGATGAGGAAACGGAGAGAAAGAGAGCCAGGTGTTCAGGAACAGGTCCTTTTAAAACTTTTCGGGGGGGAGGGGGAGTGACAGGTAGGGAAGTAGGAGCAGCGAATCCCTTTAGGATGGGGGTGGGGCTGACACTGGTGGTTGGGCCATGTGGCCATCTGGCTTCCAGCCATGGCAGTGGGGGCTAAGGCCTAGGATGGTGAGGGGACTGCGCCATTTTACTAACTGCGCCCATACTACCAACCAACATTTGGTTTTCTCAAATGTTTGCTAAGCTGGTAAGTGTGAAATGTACTATCTTTATTTACCAATATTTCATAAGCATTTAAGCAATTTGTGTTTCCTCTTTTGTAAAGTACATATTTTGTCTCTTGTCCAACTTCCTATTGGTTTGCTTCTATTTTTCTTGATAATTGGTAAGAGATTTTTTCTATTCTAAGGAGGCAGGAATACTTTTTCTGAAAAAGGACAGAGAAAATATTTTAGGCTTTACTTCTTCTTTTGCAACTATTCAACTCTACAACTTTTGTTGTAGGGCAAAAGTACCCATAGTTATTATGTGCACAGTTAGGCATGGCTATCTTCAGTAAACCTATAAAGCCAGGTGGTAGGTCAGTGTCTTACTGGCCATACTTTACTGACCTCTATCATAATGATTTTTTTTGGTTACATGTGTTTTAAAATATATTTTCCCAATTTTCGTTTGGCTTTACACTTTCATTATGATGCACCAAAGTTCTTAAACTATGTGAAAATTTCCTTTAAGTTTGCACTTTCATATGTCTCTTTGATGAAGTCTTCAAAATATCCTTCTATATTTTTCTTCTAAAAATTTAAAGGTATATCTTCAGTCAACCTGAATATCATTTTTTTAAACTGGAAATCTGTTGCGTATTTAGTCAAATAGAGTGTTCTCAAAACTTAAAAACCCAATTTTGTTCCCCAATTCTACTAAGAGGTTTAATTCTGGAATGTGAAATCAATAAATCAATAGAAGTGTCCTAAAAGTAATTAAAGAGGCATATAAGGAAATGAAAATAGAAATTAAATACTTTTTCAACATAGTTATGGCTAATATTTAATTGCCTTGAATGCCAAGAATAGAAAGACTAGTCATGTGTTTTTATTCTTATTATAAAATAATAAACTTATTTTATAATAAACTAGAAATCATAAAATTTATCTTTCTGAAATTATGACTTTTGTGCAACTTTTATGAATCTCTAAATCTCTTTGACTTAAATTGTTGCTTTTCTTACAGCTGATGGAAAGTTCTATCAGAATAGGTTGATGAATAGTGTGAAATCTCTTAAAGGTGAGTGAAAAACAGAATAATGGAGCCGATATTAATGTGTGTTCTGCCTATAATATCGTATGAGTCATTGAATTGTCAATTCTTCATATATATGTTATATTTTCTACTTATATATAGTTTCATGTTGTGCCTCATCTATAGATCTGCTACAACATAGCATTAATCTTGGTTATTCTCCACGGATTGAAGTCTCATTTTCCTCTACAATTTTTGAATCACTCGTACAGGAGAAAATAAAATTTAAGTGTGTACGATGAATAGCAAAAGAAATGACAATGGAGGTAGAAAATAAAATCTATTTGAGAGCTAGACAAATGAATGTGAAAGATCAGAGTAGAAAAATAAGTTATCTGTACTACTCAGGATCATTATATTAAGGATCTTAGTGATTAATTCACTGAGTATATATATATACCTTTAAAAACTTGCTGTATGGCTGGAGATCCCCAAAATAGCCTGAGCATAAATGCTTTTACTTTCACTTTATTATTGACCCTTTTTATACACTTAATTGGCTGCAATGAATCATGACTCTTACATCAAAAAAAAGCTGTAATATATGGAAAATAATTATTTTTGCACATTTTGAATTCTGTCAATGAACTTTTGTCCCCTAAGGAGAAAAGATTGATATCAATAAACTAGACACATTGCTGGAAAACATGGGGATGAAAGTTTCAGAAAAGGAACTTAAAGATATTGCAGAGAATCTACCAGTGGATGGTGAGTTTTTAAGATATAATTGAGCCCCCAAGAACACATAGCCTTAAATCTTTCTAAGAACTTCAAAAGGCTTGTCTGGAAACAAGGTATCATTTAGAAAATCATGAAGAACTTAAAATAAAATAAGAAAATAACAAAATATTCGATAATTTCACTTAAACAATATTTTTCACTTAATATGCTAAAAATTGCTGAGAATCTGGCATGAAACATTACCATGCCAGAGAGGGAAAAGTACAGTTGGGGGTCTGAGGACAAGGAGAGGCAGGTGGTGAAAATATATTGGCCAGCATAGGTTTTTGACATTTCCTTTTCTTATTCCCTTCTCTTATTAACTTAGCAGCTTTGTTCCTAGACCAGGCTGTTGGGCTCTAGTTTATATGTAATTATGAACTCAGATTTTGAAATTAAGGCAATAATGAACTGAAGTCAATATGATAAGTCATAAGTTAAATCTCAACTTAAATCAACAAATGTAGGGAATACTCCAAAGCAAGCAGTATTGTTTTCATGGGACAATCTCCTATCTATCTCCCCATTCCTGATGCTTCTCACTGTTACTGGTTTTTCTCATTTTGATAACCTTTTTATCTCAAAAAATGTACTTAATTATTTTTGTGCTTTCCAGTACTCTGTAAAAGTAACATGAGAGTTATATGAACTTTTGGAAAACTTATTTGCTTATAACTTACATTTCTACTGAGATATTTGGAGAATAATTGTAGTTGACAGACTACCAAATTTCAAGAGGAGGTTGTTTTTACAATTAAAACTTCTTTCCCCTCCACCCCCTTTTTTTAACCACTGAAAACTTCTCTGGCATTAAGCGAAGGGGAAAACAAATGTCTTATTTAACACAGCAATCATCCAAATAATCATATTTATAAACTTAATTTAAAAATTATTTAAAGCAGATAGGTACCTGGAGCAATAGACAAAATAGAGAGCCCAGAAATAAACCATTGCCTATATAATCAAATGTTCTTCAACAAGAATGCCAAAATCATAAAATAGGGAAACAGACTCTTCAATAAATGTACTGGGCAAATGTATCCATACCTCAGGAAAAAATTAACTCAAAATGGATTAAATATCTAATTGAAATTTCTGCTAAACTAGGATCCTTTTGCTTTTTATTTGTTGAACTCCATTTTCTAGAGCAGTAAGTCCTTGACTGCAATGCAAATTAAAGATTATCTCAAAAGTGAAGGGGAAAAGGGAGAAAGGGAGAGGGAGGCTGAGTGGGAGGAAGTGAAGGGGAGGGAGAGAGGGAGAAAGGGATATTCTCAGAAATGTATCTATAAGCTATATTGAACCTGTTAAAAACTACAACAGAAAAGGGGGGCCAGCACTGTGGCATTGCAGGTAAAGCTGCTGCCTGCAGTGCTGGCATCGCATAGGGGCACTGGTTTGATTCCTGGCTGCTGTACTTCCTATCCAGCTCTCTGCTATGGCCTGAGAAAGCAAAAGATGGCCCAAGTCCTTGGGCCCTTGCACCCATGTGGGAGACCAGAAGAAGCTCCTGGCTCCCACTGTTAGGGCCATTTGGGAAGTGAACCAGTGGATGAAAGACCTCTTTCTCTGCCTTTGCCTCTGCCTCTTTGTAACTCTGCCTTTCAAATAAATAAATAAATATTTAAAAAAAACTAAAAAGAAAGAAAAAAGACCTAAATGTAAGGCTTAAAACTATAGAACTCTTAGGTTAAAAAAATAAATCAGAAGAAAAACTCCATTATGTTAGATTTGATTAATTTCTGAATATGACAGCTAAAGCACAGTCAAGCAAATGTAGGAAAATGAAACTATATCAAATATTAAAACTTCTGCTTATCAAAATATACAACTATCAGAGTGAAAATGCCACCAAAGGAATAGGAGAAAATATTTGCAAATAATGTGTCAGATAAGATATATTATAAAAATATGTAAAGCACTACAACTCAACAATAACAATGAATTTTAAAAAAGAAAAAAATTACTGTTGGGGCTGCTGTTGTGGCACAGCAGGTAAAGCCACCGCCTGTAGTGCTGGCATCTCATGTGGGAGCCAGTTTGAGCCCACATGCTCCACTTCCCATCCAACTCCCTGCTAATTTACCTAATAAAGCAGTGGAAGATGGCACAAATACTTGGGTCCCAACACCCACGTAGTAGACCCAGAGAAAGTTCCTGGCTCCTGGCTTTCAATTGACCCTGCTCTGGCCATTGCAGCCATTTGGGGTGTGAATCAGCAGATGGAAGATTCTATTTCTCTCTCTCTCTCTCTGTAATTCTGCCTTTTGAATAAAATAAATTTTTCATGCTTCAATAAATGTAGCAGATGATAACTAATTCTATATTTTGAAATACTATTCATAGTTAGATAGCCCCCATATCTTCCTTCCCTGTATTGCACTGATGAGAAATCCAGGTTTGCAGATTCTCCTTGCAAGTACTTTCTTCATTCACTGAGTGCCCGAATACTTACAATCCACACCCAAGGTATTGAATCTGAAATCACTGAGATCTGGGAGTTGACAGGGCTCTGAATTCCAGAGTTTTCTAGACTGTAATGGAAAAATAGGTGATATTCAGCCTTGCAAAGGATCAGTGACTCCCCTCAGGTATAGAGTGAGAAGTCTGAAGGAGAATATAGGCACGTGCCATGGATCCTCTCCTGGGCATAAGAGCAGAACCAGTAAGAGATAAACTGTGACTCTCACTTCTTTGCAAGATAAGAAAGAAATGGAACAGATATCTAATACCTGAAGCTTTCCAACTGCATCCTGAGGGCCTGGATTTCATCTCACCTTTGCCAAAGCAATAGCACAATTTTGAACATTCTCTTTTTTTTTTTTTTTTGACAGGCAGAGTGGACAGTGAGAGAGAGACAGAGAGAAAGGTCTTCCTTTGCCGTTGGTTCACCCTCCAATGGCCGCCGCGGTCGGCGCGCTGCGGCCGGCGCACCGCGCTGATCCGATGGCAGGAGCCAGGAGCCAGGTGCTTTTCCTGGTCTCCCATGGGGTGCAGGGCCCAAGCACCTGGGCCATCCTCCACTGCACTCCCTGGCCACAGCAGAGGGCTGGCCTGGAAGAGGGGCAACTGGGACAGAATCCGGCGCCCCGACTGGGACTAGAACCCGGTGTGCCGGCGCTGCTAGGCGGAGGATTAGCCTAGTGAGCCGCGGTGCCGGCTACAATTTTGAACATTCTAAAGGGAATGTTAATAATAAGACTATCAGTGGGCTTTTCAGCAAAACCATAGGACAGAAAATAGTGGATTGATATTTTCAAAAAGTTGAAAGAAAAAGTAACTTCCAGCTGACAACACTATACCCAGCATTCCTTTCCTTCAAATATAAGGGGGGATTTTAAAACAATTCAGATAACTAGAAGTGTAGAAATTTATCAGCAGGAGACCTGCCTAACAAGAAATGCTAAAGGGAGACCTTCCAGCTGAAGAGAAAAGAAGCTAATTGGTAACATAAAAACATATGAACGTTTAAAACTCACTGATAAAAGCACAGAGTCAAACCCAGAACACTCAAATACTGTAGTCGTGGTATGAAAATAAAATATATCTCCACTCTGAAAATTAAAAGATAAAACTATTATAAATAAATATAACTGTAATAATTTGTTAAGGAATATAAATTTTAAGGTAAAAAGATAAAAACTATTATAAGTAAATTTAACTAATAATTTATTAATGGATATAAATTATAAAATATGTAAATTGCTACATCAAAATATAAAATGTGGAAGAGTGATAAAAGTGTATAATTTATGTAAGTGACCAAGGTTATCAGTTTAAAATAGCTTATTGTATGTATAAAATGTTTTCTGTAAACCTCATGGAAACTGCTAAGCAGTTTCCCATACTAGATAACACAAAAGAGAAAGTGAAAGGATTCCAAGCACAGCACTACAGAAAATCATTGAATTATAAAGAAAGAGCTCAATAGAGGAAGACAGGAGCAAAGTGAACAATTAACAAAATTACAGTAAATCCTTATATATCAATAACAATGTTCATTTATACATTCAATTATTGTTTATAGCCATTGTCTATATTCCCTAGCAGAACTAGGGTCTTTTTTGCTTTTTACTTGTTAAACTTCTTATTTGATGAAGTATTAAGCCTGTTTACTATAATGTAAATTTAAAATGTTATCTCAAAAAGTAAAAAAAAGGGTAGAAAGAAGGATGAGGAGGGAAGTACGAGGGAAATATTCTGTTCTTTGACTTGTATCTACAAATCATATTGAATCTTAAAAATTAATTAAAATAAAAAATATTTTAAATGTAAATAGGTTAAAGTTTATGATCAAAAGTCATAGAGTGGCTGAACTGATATTTAAAATAAGACCTAACTCTATGCTGCCTACAAGAAACTCAATTCAGTTTTAAGAATACACAGGGACTGGCGCTGTGGCGAAGCCAGTAAAGCTGCTTCCTGCAGTGTTGGCATTCCTTATGGGTGCCAGTTCGAGTTCCAGTTGTTCCACTTCTGATCCAGATCTCTGCTATGGCCTGGGAAAGCAGTGGAAGATGGTCCAAGTCCTTGGGCCCCTGCACCAGTGTGGCAAGACCCGGAGGAAGCTCCTGGCTCTTGGCTTCGGATTGGCATAGCTCTGGCCGTTGCAGCCAACTGGGGAGTGAACCAGTGGATGGAAGACCTTCCTTTCTCTCTCTGTCTCTCCTTCTCTCTCTGTGTAACTCTGACTTTCAAATGAATAAATAAATCTTTAAAAAAAAGAATACACAGAGGGCAAAAGTGAACATAAGAAAATATATCCCATGCAAAGCAAAATCAAGAAGACCAAGAGTAGCCATATTTAGATCAGACAAAATTGCTTTAAGCCAAAAGCTGTGAAGAGACAGGCCTATATAATGACGAAGGGGTCAATTATTAAAGAAGACAAGCAAATTTTTTTCTAGATCATGCTTACAAAGTGGCTAAAAATGTTAAAGCACTAGAATATATAAGAATTTTTGATTTGTTATCATGTTCCACAATTTCTTAGTGATACTGTCATGTCACATTTACATGCATTTTTTTTTTTTTGCAGTTGATGGTAAAGTGAAAATAAAAAAGTTGTTGAATACAATGAATGTTTTTTCAGGTGAGTAAGTTTAATGTAAAACTGAAATTCTCATTCTGTTATGTTTAAAATGACATTTTCCAAGTAGTGGATTACTGACTTTTAACTCCTTGCTTTTTCTTATTTCTGATGAGTTATTTGCTTCTTACACCCTATGATTTGGTATTAGATTATAAAAAAATCTTAACACTTTACATGTTTCATCTTGAAACCAGTTGTAATGTCTCTGAGAGTATTTTGCTAGTGTTTTACCACATCATGTAAATATCCAAAAAAAGCCACAGAAAATGTCAAGATGAATTTTGGAAGACTTAAGGGTTTTTTTTGTCACTATGCAAAGAAATCCATGTACTTTGTAAATCAAAAGAATAATGCTTGTAGAATTTTCTGACTGATTGATTTTGCAAACACTCTTTTCTACAATTTTTCAGGCCTTAAGAATTGGAAAATTAGTTTTTACAACTAATAAAGAATATTGTCCCTGTCTCCCCTATTGATTTTATGTAGATTGGTATTATTTTAACATTGAAATTTGTTTAATTTGTGCATCATGCCATACAGGTGTAATAAGTACTTTGTTGTTTTTCTAATAATCAATGTTGTTCTCTTTTCAAAGATGAAAATAAGATTGACATAAATGATCTGAAAAACACTCTAGGAAGCGTGGGAAGTGAGCTCACAGAAGAATTCCTAAATCTTCAGCAAACTGTACCAGTTGATGGTGAGCCATAAAGTGGCACAAAAGGTTTCCAGAGAACTTGACTTAGGGAGCTGTGTCAGAAGTTTAAAACTTTCCTATATTAATTTCCTCTGGTAATTTCTAGAAAGAGTCAATTCAGCTACAAGCCCTTAGTGCTATTAAGGACTATATACGAACTTTTGCATTACACAAATAGAAAAATGTGGAAGAAAGCAAATGGGATAAGAAGTTAACTAGAATAATTAAGAAAATAAAAATAGCATGTGCTTTAGTATGATAGAAGTTTACAGAATGTTCATGTATATTATACATGCTGGAGATGGGGACTCACTAATAATATGTTGATTTATCACATAGCAAAAAGTTTCCATTCTCAAATTCTATGTATATTTGAGAATAATGTGGGAATGATATCTAAGGCAAACACTGTTTTTGAAAATTCCATTAATCATGGTGCATGCATTACTGTCTCTAATAATATCATTTTATTTCTGGAATGAATTTACACCTTTTATCATGCTGGAATAGTATTTCAGAGTAGATTGTTGAATGAAGTGAAGTCTCTCAAAAGTTGGTAAGAAGACTGATAAGAAATCAAGACTGTCAAATGCTCATAGTTTATAATAATTATATCTTTGGATTGGAAATCCTACATGTTATATTTAGATAATTTGTAATTTGTGCTTTTTTTAAAGTATATCTATAGTTTAACAGCTCATGTCCTAAACATACCTTTGCATAAGGCCAAATCTTTTTGAAATTTCCCAAATTTTACTCCAAATGAATTATTTTAGAGTTTGGTATTTTAGAAGAAAAGCATTAAAATTTTTAAAAATATGATCAGAAGCAGCAGTAATAATTAACTTGAAAGTTTAGGAAGCACAAATAGACCTTACTTACTATTGCTCAAAAGTATGAATTTACAAAGTTATTTAACTCTGTTAAGTATTTTCAAATGTGAGCTTGACAATAGAGTTTAAGGATATAAAGTCTGATTTTAATTCTTCTATTCACTTTATCCTCTTAAGCAAATCTGATTAAAGTTTTGATATTTATATTATGAATAGAAATAATACAAGTATATGAACCATATTGTATTTTTATGTTTTACCTTGTTATTAGTACATAATCATTAAATATAGCAATAGCATATAATTACTAAAGTAATATTTATTGTTTTCAAATCATTCATATTTTCATGATCCTGACTTATATCTTTGCAAGGTGGGAAAGTTAATGTTAATAGCATAGACATAGCTCTTCAAAACGTGGGGATCAAACTTACAGAATCAGAACTGAAAGATCTGGCAGAAAATCTAACAGTTGATGGTAAGCATCAGGTCTTTTGTTATGTCTTTCCTAAATTTCTAAACTGGTTTATAAAATTCATCAAATTGTTAGTTCTAAAATTATGTTTGTCAAAAATCCTTTTGTGGAAAGCATGAAAAAAAAAAAAAAAAAACCCCTGATCTCATTTTTAAAATCTGAAGTCATTAACATCTCAAAAGAGATAAGGCATATCTCTTAAGTAATGCTAAGATGACTAGTTAATCAAAAACAATGGTTAAGGGACAGGATAGAAGTTGAGAGAACAAATTGGAAGTGTCAAAAGAAATCATAACCTCAATAAATAATATTATTCATCCAGTCCCTTTGACACTCTCACTTATCACACATAGACTTCCAAATCTCTATCTCTTTTCCAGTTTCTATTTTACACCTCCAGACTTATATATTTACATTCAATTTGAACTAACCACTGGAAAGATCCTTTGGGAATTCAGTCTCAATAATTGAAATCCAAATCCATTTGCTTTCATCCCATTCTTACTTTTGCTCCGATATTTTCTTCCCAGTTGATGACCACTCACCACCTGTTTATTCAAATCACCACCTCCCTACCATCTTCTCCCTTGTTTTCAACATTCTCTTAAAGGTCTCTGGCATATTTCTTCAATTTATCTCTAATTTATGTACCTCTACTAATGATGGCTGTATTTCAAATCCCTGTCATCTTTGGTTTATATAAATATAACTAGTAATCTTTTTTTCTCTTAGTAGTGCAATGTCTGTGGATTGACTGAGTAATTAACCTAAAATTCAGCTAATTAAGATTAATAATCACATTACTTTTCAGTGACTTGTCATGACCTATCTGAGAAAATGCAAGTACATTAAAAAAAAAAAAGGATTTATTTATTTATTTGAAAGGCAGAGTAACGGAGAGGCAAGGGTGGGGGAAGAGAGAAAGAAATTTTCCACCCACTGGTTTATTTCCCAAATGGCTACAATGTCTACAGTTAGGCAAGTTAAAGCCAGGATCCAGGAGGTGCAGTGGCCCAACCACAGTGCGATCCCCAGTGCAAGTGTTTTTACATGCCAGTCTTGGCTCTCTAGGATCTGTTTTTCCATATCCATTTTTGGCTTATTTTTTGGCAAAAGTCACATCCCTTAACATTCTCTATAGTTCTATATGTGTACAATACACAGTTGTTTTTACATCTTTAATTTTGTTCATGCAGTCTTCTCTTCCTATATGGGTTGTATACTCAGTACACTTGGAAAACTCCCATTTATTCTTATATTCCCTCCAAAGAAACCTTTTATTTAATGAATACAAATTTCTTTGGGAATATAGTGATTCTTCCCACCATACCCGCCATACTACCCACATGACCACTGCTCCTCCTTCTCCCTCTCCCCTTCCCAATCTCATTCTCCATTAAGATTCATTTTCAATTAACTTTATACACAGAAGTCCAACTTATACTAAGTAAAGATTTCAACAATTTGCACACACACACAAACTGTTTGAGAACAAGTTTTTTTTTTTTTAAGGCACTTTAAAGATTCATTTATTTATTTGAAAGTCAGAGTTACACAGAAAGAAGGAGATGTAGAGAGAAAGAATGAGCGGTCTTCCATCTGTTGGTTCACTCCCCAGTTGGCCATAATGGCTAGAGCTGTGCCAATCCAAATCCAGGAGCAAGGAGCTTCCTCATGGTCTCCTGTGTGGGTGCAGGGGCCCAAGACCTTGAGCCATCTTCCACTGCTTTCCCAGGCCATAGCAGAGAGCTGGATTAGAAGTGGAGCAGCCGGGTCTCGAACTGGCACCCATATGGGATGCCAGCACTGCAGGCTGTGGTTTTACCTACTACTTCACAGCTCCGGTCCTTGAGAATGAGTTTTACAGTTAACTCTCATAATACAACTCATTGAGGACAGAGCTTCTGCATGGAAAGTTAGTGCACAGTGACTCCTGTTGTGAAATTAACAGTTAACACTCTTATGTATGACATCACTGACCACCTGAGGCTCTTGACATGAGCTGCCAAGGCTATGGAAGCCTTTTGAGTTCACAAACTCTGTCAGTATTTGGATAAGGCCATAAGTGAAGTGGAAGGTCTCTCCTTCCTTCTCAAAAAAGTACATCCTTTTTTGATGGTCCCTTCTTTCCACTGGAGTCTCACTCACAGAGATCCTCATGTAGAACAGTTTTTGCCACAGTGTCTTGGCTTTCCATGCCTGAAATGCTCTCATGGGCTTTTCAGCCAGACCAGGGTGTCTTAAGGGCTGATTCTGAGGTCAGAGTGCTACTTAAAGCAACAGTTATTTTATGAGTCTGCTGTGTGGACTGCTTCCCATGTTGGAACATTTTCTCTACTTTTTAATTCTATCTATTATTATTAACAGACCTTTGGTCTTATTTATATGATCCCTTTAACACTTAATCCTAACTATATGACCACTCTAACTCTTAATATGGTCACTTCAATACTTAAAGTGTCAATTTTACTTCTACAAATTTCATTTTAGCTTCTCTATTAATTATCACAGAGCAGGGAGAACATATGATATTTGTCCCTTTGGGACTGGCTTATTTCACTGAGTATAATGTTTTCCAGAATCACCCCTTTTGTTGTGCATGACCAGATTTCATTTTTTTTTCACTGCTGTGTAGTATTGCATAGTGTACATATCCCATCATTTCTTTATCCAATTGTTAAATTCCTTTTTACTTCCACTGGGACCATGTTTCTGTGATTCTGTATGCAGCACATTCTTAAGCGTCTTTTCCAGGGCTGGACAAATGGTGACAAATTCTTTCAATTTCTGTTTGTTATGAAAGGCCTGTATTTCACCTTCATTCATAAATGAGGGTTTTACAGAGTATAGTATTCTGGGTTGACAGTTGTTTTCTCTTAAAATTGGAATATATTTCTCAGTTCTCTCCCAGCCTGTAGAATTTCTGATGAGAAATCAGCTGTGAGTCTAATTTAATATCCTCTGAAAGTATCTGGCACTTCTCTCATGCACATTTTAGAATCTTTTCTTTATGTTTTACTATGGTGAATTTGATTACAATTTGTCATGGTAAAGATCTTTTCTGGTCATGTCTATTAGGAGTTCTATGTGCTTCCTGTACTTGGATGTCCCTTTCTTTCTCCAAATTGGAGAAGTTTTCTGTTGCTATTTCACTAAAAAGGCCTTCTTCCTTTTTAATTTTTTTATTTAATGAATTCATTTTTACATAGATACAACTTTAGGAATATAGTGCTTCATTCCTCCATATCCCCCACCCCGCTCCCATCCCACCTCCCATTCCCTCTCCCATCTCCTTCTTCATTATGGATCATTTTTGGTATGACTTTATATACAGAGGACCAACTCTATGCTAATCATAGATTTCAACAATTTTCTCCCACACCCACACACAACATATAGAGTACAGTTTGAGGAGAGAATTTGCAGTCAATTCTCATATTACAAATCAATAGGGACAGAGGTCCTACCTGGGGAGTAAGTGCATGGTGACTACTGTTGTTCCTTTAACAATTAACACTCTTTTTTATGATGTCAGTGATCATCCAAGACTCTTGTCATGGGCTACCAAGGCTATGGAAGCCTTTTGTGACCATAGACTCCGTTGGTAATTGGACACGGCCATAAGCAAAGTGGATGTTCTCTTCTCCCTTCAGAGATGCCTGTCTCTAAAAAGGCCTTCTAATGCTTTCTTTCCACATCTTCAGGAACTCCTACAACCTGTTTATTGGGTCATTGATAGTATCCTGTATATTAACAGCAATTTTTTTTTTAATTTTCTAATTTCTTCCTCTTGTGTTTGGTCTGGTTGTATAATTTCCTGTGCTTTGTCTTCTAGGTCTGATATTCTTTCTTCTGCTCACTGATTCTGTTGTTAAGGCTTTCCACTGCATTTTTGTTCTTTTGAATTCTTCATTTCCAAGATTTCATTTTGATTTCTGTTTAAGATGTTAATTTCGTGGGAGAAATTTTCTTTTATGTCGTGTATGAATTTCATCAGTTTGTGCATTTTTTTTCTGATTACTTCTATGTAATCTTTTTTTAACTTTTATTTAATAAATATAAATTTCCAAAGTACAGCTTATGGATTACAATGGCTTTTTCCCACCCATAACTTCCCTCCCACCCGCAACCCTCCCATCCCCCGCTCCCTCTCGCATTCCATTCACATCGATTCATTTTCAATTCTCTTTATATACAAAAGATCGATTTAGTATATATTAAGTAAAGATTTCAACAGCTTGCACCCACACATAAACATAAAGTGAAAAATACTATTTGAGTACTAGTTATAGCATTAATTCACATTGAACAACACATTAAGGACAGAGATCCTACATGAGGAGTAAGTGCACAGTAACTCCTGTTGTTGACTTAACAAATTAACACTCTTGTTTATGGTGTCAGTAATCTCCCTAGGCTCTTGTCATGAGTTGCCAAGGCTATGGAAGCCTTTTGAAATCGCCGACTTCTATCTTATTTAGACAAGGTCATAGTCAAAGTGTAAGTTCTCTCCTCCCTTCCAAGAAAGGTACCTCCTTCTTTGATGGCCCGTTCTTTCCACTGGGATCTCACTCACAGAGATCTTTCATTTAGGTCTGTTTTTGGTGTTTTTTTTTTTTTTTTTTTTTTTTTTGCCAGGGTGTCTTGGCTTTCCATGCCTAAAATACTCTCATGGGCTCTTCAGCCAGATCCAAATGCCTTAAGGGCTGATTCTGAGGCCAGAGTGCTGTTTAGGACATCTGCCATTCTATGAGTCTGCTGTGTATCTCGCTTCCCATGTTGGATTGTTCTATCCCTTTTAAATTCTATCAGTTAGTATTATAGGACACTGGTCTTGTTTATGTGATCCCTTTGACTCTTAGACCTATCATTATGATCAATTGTGACCTGAAATTGATCACTTGGACTAGTGAGATAGCATTGATACATGCAACCTTGATGGGATTGTATTGGAATCCCCTGGCACATTTCTAACTCTACCATTTGGGGAAAGTCAACTTGAGTTTGTCCCAAATTGTACATCTTCTCCCTCTCTTATTCCCACTGTTATATTTAACAGAGATCACTTTTCAGTTAACTTTAAACACCTAAGAACAATTATGTGTTAATTACAGAGTTGAACCAATAGTATTAAGTAGAACAAAAAAATACTAAAAGGGACAAAGTATTAAGTTGTTCATCAACAGTCAGTACAAGGGCTGATCAAGTCACTGTTTCTCAGAGTGTACATTTCAATTCACCAGGTTTCCTTTTTGGTGCTCGGTTAGTTGTCTCCAAGATATGATATTTGTCCCTCTGGGACTGGCTTATTTCACTCAGCATGATGTTTTCCAGGTTCCTCCATTTTGTTGCAAATGACCGGATGTGCTTTTTACTGCTGTATAGTATTCTATAGAGTACATGTCCCATAACTTCTTTATGATCAATTTTTGAATTCCATTTCTAGCATTTCCTTAGTCTCTTCATCTTTACAATTTAGCATTGAAGTGTTGTGTTCTTTTGGGGGCAACATGTTGTCTTCCTTATTCTTATTTCTTGACTTGGTTTGTTTGTTATTCAGCGTTTATGGAAATACTTATTGGTTTCTTCTTCTTCCTTTTTTTTTTTTTTTTTTTTTTTTTTTTTTTTTTTTGCTGTGGTGGCTTTTATCTTTGTACTATGCCTTTGTAGATTAGTGGAGTGTCTGCTTTTAGTGAATACCTAGAGCTGTCTTGGGTGTGGCCAGGGAGCTCTGTTCAGTTCTCCAGGGTGAAGGGCATGTCTAAGGTGACACACTGAGGTTTGTCGTGGTAAATTTTCTCTTTTTTTTAATCAGAGGGGAAGTGAATTCTGCTCAGCTGAGCTCCTCTCCTCAAAGGAAACCAGTGCCTGAGCACTAGCCCCATTGGGTGTAATATTCATCTGCTCTGTCCCAAGGACCACACAAAGGATCTGTGCAGTCCTCAGTGTGAGCTCAGATTCCCCAGCAATGTCCCTCACCAGGTAACCAGGGAGCCCTGTGTGTGTGGAGCCTCCCAAAGTGACTGTCAACAGTTCCTTCCACACCATGAGCCCTCCCATAAATCCTCAATTTTTTCACAGTCCTGGCATACAATCCTCCCAGTCACAAGCACCCAGCTCCCTATCGGTTCTCCCCACCAGACTCAGTAGTCTCCATTCAGCTGGTTGTTGGGTGCAAATATGAGCTTGCACAGCTGTTACATATGTCCAAAGTGGAGCCTGCTCTCTATTGCCTTGTTACGGGATGCTGTTGCAGGGTGATAGGGGAGAGAGAAATGTGCCCTCCTTTTTTTCTCCTTTGGTTTGGCAGGTACACTATACCCCATGGGGCTCCAGGCCAGATTCCCTCAAGGCTCTTCCTGCAGCTTTATTATTAGTGGCTTGGGCTGCTGCAGTCTGGTCTCACCTCACTCTCCAACACTGGTGCATAGGCTCTCAGCTACTGGGGTCCTGAGTTGTGGGTGCCTACTCTTTCCCCATAGGTCCACTGTGTCCCTCTAATTTGCATAGTTTTCTCTGCCGCTTTCTCCTTAACTCTTCCCTAAGACTGCACTCTGTCCACTTTTTTTGAACTATCTTCTCCTAGACTAGAGCAGTAAGCTCCCACCCTACTCCTTCATATTAATCCCCTTCTCTATATTTTTCATTTATTCTTTTACTCAAATCCTCTTTGGGAACTTTCCATTCAAATTAAATATCTGTTCATGATTCTTTTATAACTTTTTGCCTGTATTTAATTTCTTTTATAATTTTTTGTAATCACATGTTTGTATTTCTTTCCTTTAAAAAATATTTATTTGAAAGATAAAGTTACAGAGAGAGAAGGAGAGACAGAGAGATCTTCCATTCACTGGTCCACTCACCAAATGGCAACAATGGTGAGGGTTGGGCCATTTAGCCAAGAGTCAGGAGCTTCATCCTGGTTTCTCACATGGGTACAGGGACCCAAGGACTTGACCCATTTTCCATTGCTTTCCCAGACATACTAGCAGGGAATTATATCAGAAGTGGAGCTCCTGGGAATTGAATGGGTGATCATATATGATGCTGACCTTCACAGGTGGCAGCTTCACCCACTCTCACAATGCCAGCCCCATATATTTCTTTTGACAGTTTGTAAGAGCTCCATTCAAACACAAGTGTCTTAGATACTTTTCTATATTTGTTATCTACTATAGTATCTGGTATATATTTTTATGTGCTAGAAATTTTTGTCCCTATTGTTATAATAACAATAATATAACATAATTTTGATTAAAATGGTACCACTTCTTTGTCTCTATATGTCAGGGTTTCTTATCACAGTTCTTACAAAAAGAAATAGAACTTTCTTATTGTATTATTCAAACCTAGTGGTCCCATGACAAAATAAACTAAACCCTGGAATGTCTCAACATATTTAACTTTTATAAATTCATCTGCATGGTCCCACTCTATAAGCAGACATACTTTCTACTAGATAAGCTAGATTGGATGATTTCCATCAGTTCCTACACGTTACCTCAAAGCCTCCATTCTCAGACACACAGACTCTGCTGTTGGTTTTGGCTCACTAGTCAGACTCATTATTCCATTTTTTTATGGGGTTTCTTCTTTTTCACTCCAATATATCAGTAATCTTTGTGTAAATTTGATTTAAAATAATTAACCAAATTCAATGAAGTTCCTCAACCCTTTTGCAAATCAGTGATAAATAAAGATGCTTGTAAGACTGTGTCATCTAATTCTGTTTCCTGATGCTATGTTATATCACATGTGATCCAGTTAACTACTTATTTTAATAATTGTCAGTTTATAAATTTGTCTTTCTCAATAACTGATAAGTTACTGGAAACAAATATTATTTTTAGTGTCTGGAGCCTAGAAAGTAGTAATAAATGAAATGTTTTGACTTATTTACGTATATACTGTTACATTGACTTTGCCTTTTTTCTAATTATTCTCTTGGAAACATCTGATTTTTTTATGATTTATTATATGAAAGAGAAATAGAAGAGAAGGAGAGAGTCAGTCTTCTATCTGCTGGTTCATTTCCTAAATGGCCACAACAGCTATGTCTGAGCAAAGCTGAAGTCAGGAGCCAGGAACTCCATACTGGTCTCCCACACAGGCAGCAGGTTCCCAAGCATTTGAGTCATCATCTACTGCTTTCTTGGGTGCATTAGCAGGAAGTTGGATTGAAAATGGAGCAGCCAGGACTGGAACTGGTACTCCAGTATGAGGTGCTGGCATTACACCATAACACCAACTCCTATTTTTTAAGATGCACATGCCAGGGATCACATACTACGAATATAAAACAAACAACAGAAAAAGACAACCTACTTCAAAGAAGTATAGCAGACTCAAAGTTTATACAACATAGCAGTCCCATCATAATATAATTCAGAATCATTTGACATATAAAAATACTAGGAAAATGTGATTAATTTCCAAGTAAAAAGACAATCAACACATGCTAAGCCTGAGATAACTCATTTGTTAGAATCATCAGACAAAGCTTTGAATCAGCTAGAGCCTAGGAAATGAATGGAAAAATAGAAGTTATCATCAGAGAATAGAAATTAAGAAAAAGAACCCAATAGTAAGAAAAGCTGCTAGAAGAAAGAAATAATGAACTTGAAGATAGTTCAACAGAAATTATCTAATTTGAAAAACGCAGAAAAACAGGTAAAAAGAAAAAAATGATCAGAGCCTAAGGGCACTGTGGGACATATCACAAGGGCTAATGTGTCACTGAAATTCCAGAAGAAGAAAAAAAAAAATGAAGTCAGGAAAAAACAGTTAAAGAATTAATGGCCAAAAATACCCCAAATTTGGTGAAAGACAAATTTATAGATTTAAAACTAGAGAATCAGTAATTTGAATAGCTATATATTTCTCATCACAAACCAGGAAAGCTAAAAGACAGTGGAACAATGTCTTCAAAGTACTCAAGCAAACTTGTCAATTCAGAGTACTTTATTTAATTTTCACTTTAATTAGCACATATAATTGTACATATTTTTCAGGTACAATGTAATTATTGAATGGATTTATGCATTACATAATGATCAGAAGGATGTAATTAGCATATGCATCACATCCTAATTTGTCATTTCTTTGTTATGAGAACATTCAAAAACCTCCCTTCTAGCTATTTTGGATTAGAAGTATATTCTTCTTTTTTTTTTTTTTTTTTTTTTTCCTGGTTTAATAAGGACTTGTTTATTTTGAGAAAAAGGTCCCAACATCAGGCTGTTCACAAAAATAACCCACAGTATCAACTTTAGAAAACAAATATTAAGACTATTACACTACTTTTTTTCTAGAGGATGCATTTGACATGCCAACTCTCATTCACAAAAATACATTGTTACAGTTGTGTTGAACAGCCCCACACAGCACTCGTATGTGGGGTAGCACACACTTCTAACTCAAAGCCGCTGGCAGGTGCTACTCAACTAAATGAGATGGCTTTTGCAGTTAGGGAAGCAACTACTGAGCTCATGAATGGGAAGAACTATACTCCCTGCATTAACAAGAGATTATTTTGGAGACAGCTGATAAAAACCATACATCCTTTTTATTGTTAAGTCATAAAGAGGTATCAAAATTAAAAGCAAAAATTACAGGGCAAGACTTAACAAAACTACTAGGAGCATCAAAGGAAGTGAAAATGGGACTAGGCGCAGGGCAATAGGAATTAATGAACATGGGAAGGACAAGGATGGGGCGAACAGTGAGCATGTGCTGAAGATACTAGGGGAGAGGATCTGGTGAAAATTTTGATCTTAGACAAGCGCCTAGGTAAAGAAATAATGGGATAAGATTCCTAAACCCCACTATGTGCTTAAGAGTCATCCTCGCCATTGGCGCTGTCTCTGTCATCCTCTCCTTCCTCAGCCTCTTTTTCATCATCCTTGATCAACTCCAGCTCCTTGTTTGCTCTGCTCCTTTTCAATTTTTTCCAGGCTTTCCAGCAGAGAATCCACTTTTTGTTTTATCTGGGTCAATTCCTTCTTAATGGCCTGGAGGTCATCTCCTTTCAACTTTCCAGACTTGGAAGAAGATCCTCGTTGTCCACTCTTAGAATTGAAACTTTTTCCCCTTCTTGAGGTGTTTCCTGATACACGCTGGCGTTTAGAGGGCACTACAGCCCGAGCAATAGGAGGAGGAGGAGGAACACGTGCTGGGTAGCTGTACATCCTGTCATAATAATCCCGTTGAAAGTCATAGTCCAAGTCAAAAGAGGAGCCGTACATCTCCGCTGCAGATCGTTTCACACCTGCTTTTCCTCGGTTCACTTTTGGCTCTGCAGCCAGATTAATATCTAAAACCTGGCCAGCAATCATTCTGCCATCCTCTCCTGCTACTGCAGCTCGGGCATTTCTCTCATTAACGTACTGAACAAAGGCAAAGCCCTTGTGAACAGAGCAGCCCACAATTTTGCCATACTTCGAGAAGATTGCCTCTACATCAGACTTCTTGACCACAAGAGTGTTGAGATTCCCAATGAATACACGGGAGTTCATGGAGCGAGGATCTGTCTTGTTGGTAACATTGCTTGCCATTGTGTTTGATGCTAGGGTCTTCACAAAGCCGAAAAATGTAGCTGAAGATCAAAAAAATCTCACTCAAGCAAAGTTCCACTAACTTATAAATTTCAAGTGATTTGTAACCAGGAGGGGGAGGGAGAAGAGATTCGATTCTGAATCTCCCACTCCCGAGTTCTACGTGGAGAGGCCGACCGCTGCTCGAGGTAGGCAACAAGGCCACAACCGCACCGTCTTCGTCTCCGCACAAAATCTAGAAGTATATTATTCTTAATTGCGGTTACCCTACTGCACAAAGAACTTTAGCACTTACGTCTTCTGTTTGTAACTTTGTCCCAGTTGACCAGGCTCTCCCTGGCCTCTCTTCCTCCCCCCCTTCTCTATTCTCTGGTAACCACAATACATTCTCTAATTCTAGATAGTCAGTGGTTTTACATTCTCTAATTCTAGATAGTCAGTGGTTTTAGATTCCACGTATGAGTGAGCTCATGTTGTATTTGTCTTTCTATGTCTTATTTATTTGGGTTAAGATAATATACTCTGCATTCATTGATGGTGTTGAGAATTACAGGATTACATTCTGTTTGTGACTGAGTAAGTATTCAGGCCTCTCAGGGAAGTTTTCCAAGAGTCTCATAACAGTACACATTCTCTGAATTTTATTTACTGAGCCTGCTGGTTTTTCTAAGCTCTGAACTTCTTGAAGGCAGAGTATGCTTTGGTTATCTTTGTACCCTACAGTTTAGCATATTGTCAAATATTAGCTATATACTCATAACTTTAGGGAAATGGTTCTTCCCTGAAAGCTTTCTTTTCTTTTATTTTTTTAAAGATTTTTATTTATTTATTTGACAGGTAGAATTACAGACAGTGAGAGAGAGAGACAGGGAGAAAGGTCTTCCTTCTGTTGGTTCACCCCCAAAATGGCCACAACGGCCAGAGCTGCGCCGATCCGAAGCCAGGAGCCAGGTGTTTCCTCCTGGTCTCCCATGTGGGTGCAGGGCCCAAGCACTTGGGCCATCCTCCACTGTCCTCCCAGGCCACAGCAGAGAGCTGGACTGGAAGAGGAGCAACTGGGACTAGAACCCAGCACCCATATGGGATGCCGGCACCGCAGGCGGAAGATTAACCTAGTGCGCCACTGCACAACCCCCCCCCCCCCCCAAGCTTTGCTCATCACATAAGCCACACAGGCAAGTTTTTAGCACAATCTAATCTGAGTCTGTTGGATGCTCCTGAAACACGGTGGCTAAGTAATTTTGTGATGAACACCCATCAGCAGTTTCTTATCTGCCTCTGTACTTCACAGGAGACGTGTTTCTCATTCATCTCCCTATTTGCAGGTGAACATAGGACCTCCCCCCTCTCTTTCTCAGGGTACAGAGGCATGTTTCTGTGTAGGTATAGAAAACTGGTTATAGCTTTGAGTAAGTTTGCAAGTAGCAGAAAATCCCACTGTGTGCCCTGTGTGTCACCTGGACCATCTGGTTCCGTGTTGTCCTGTGTGACTGAGAGGCTGGGATCTTACATCATATTGATCTTGCTTTTTCTGTGTAAATAATAAATTGTCTGAATCCATTTGGGATATTGACTCCTTACCAGCCAAATCTGAGGAAGAGCAGACAGCCAGTACAACAACTCCACTGGTGATCACTGTGACCCCATTAAATACCATGTAACTGCTAGTTGGTTGCTAAATAAAAAAAGTAATGGAAAACAAGAAAGTAGAGGAAATTTCGCCTATGATGAAATGAATGGAATCTCTAACTGTTGCATCAAAGATGTACCAGTCATGTGCCACTAGGCTTTACAAAATTGTGACAATAATTGAAAAGACTTTTAAAATAATTATACTAGGGGGAACAGCATTGTGGCTCAACGGTTGAGCCTCCACTTGCAATACAATAATCCCATAGGAATGCTGGTTCAAATACTGGGTGTTCCACTTCCAGTCCAGCTACAAGGGCTACTGATCCTGAGACAGGAGCAGAAGATAGCCCAATCACTTGGGCCCCTGCCACTCTTGTGGGGAACCCAGATGAAATTATGCATGCTGAGTTCTGGCTGTTGCAGCCATGTGGGGAGTGAAGCAGCAGTTGGAAGATATCTTTTACTCTCTGTCTCTCCCTCTCTCTCTTGTAACTCTGCCTTTCAAATAAATAAGCCTTTAAAAAACTATTATACTGGAAATGTATGAAAGAGTAGCAGAAGCATTATCATTGCCCTTTTACAATAATAGGTAGGTTAATAGGTATTCCATAACTGAAGGTTATAAAATATGACAAACATCAATAATGATTTCTATTTGTTTATAAAGTAGAATGACACCAGCTCTGAAGAGTATAGTATCTCTGGATAGACCCTATCATCTAGAACAGAATTTATCAATGTTTCTATAAAGGCCAGATAATCAGCATCTTATACTTCCAGGGCATATGATCTCTGTCATAACTACTCAGCTCTGCTGCCTACAGCACAAAATCTGGAGTTGACGAGACATAAACAAATGAGTGTGTCTGTGTTCAAAAAAAATTTTGTAAATAGTAAAATTTGAATTTTATGTAATTTCTATGTGATAAAAATAATATTTTGAGTTTTTCTACTAGTTAAAAATTAAAACAAATTCTTAGCTCTTGGGCAATACAAAATAGGTGCTGGACTTGATCTGGCCAATTAACCAAATTTCTGGTCTAAGGAATAGGACACTTCTTACTATCAGTGAATCTCTGAAATCTAACATTCATAAATTAAAGTTTGACATAGGGGAAAATGGGAAAGAATGAAATTTTACAATATAGAATTTACATACTTTATTTTCTGAGTCTGGATCAATTTGCTATTCTTATTTTTTTTTTATCTTATAGCTAATGGGAAGGTTAATCTTCATAAGTTGATAGATGGAGTGAAAGCTCTAACAGGTGAGAAGTTAATAAAAATCTAAGAGTATAAGTTTTGTTCAACATCCCTGTTTCTTTTGCAAATTGTCATTTATTTAATGTAGTGTTTTTTAATCTAATATGTTTAATTTCAAGGAGTTAGGTTTTAAATTATCTATATTTAGTATTAAAATTCAGATTCGTATCTTGGTAGCAAAATCTTTGTTGTTTGGATTTGACTTTAACATATTCCTATGTAAAGGAAAAGCAAATTCTAGATTAAATGAATGAATGAAAAAAAATAGTTTATATTAAAATATAGGTTATTTTTTATTTAAAGATGTTAAGAAACACTATCTGATATGATGACAATTATTTGGATAAGTCCTAATAAAATCTTTATTCTTTAGGAGATTTTTGTAAGCCTCATTTTCTTGGGTATTGATAGTCCACATATGACTGTGTTATCTCTAGTAATATGACGTGGATCATTTTGCTAGAATGAAGGAAAAAAGATCTATTTACATAAATATAACTGATTATATATTTATTTAGGTATGTGTCTATGCTCTTTATCAAGCAATGAAGTTTCTGTGAAACAGGATAAGATGATTTTTTCATGTTTTGGAGTAGGGTCATCCTTAAAATTCTCATATTATTTCATTTTGTGTCTTTGAAGGAGGAGTTATCGATATCAGTGATGTGGAAAATATTCTGGGAAACATGGGGATAGATCTCACAGAAAAGGAACGGTTGAAGTTACTGAAAAATTTGCCAGCAGATGGTAGGAACTTAAAACACTAGTATAGCCTTTAAGATAACTTAGTATTATATGAGTAAATTTGTAAAAAGTATTAAAACATTTCTGTTTGTTGAAGAAAGAATATACATCTTAAATACTTAGTATGATCCTATTGTACCTTGAGAAGTTCTGTCTGTTTTAGAAATTAACAAAAGGAGGCTGGTGCCACGGCTCACTAGGCTAATCCTCCACCTGCGGCACTGGCACCCCAGGTTCTAGTCCCGGTCGGGGCACCAGATTCTGTCCCAGTTGCTCCTCTTCCAGTCCAGCTCTCTGCTGTGGCCCCGGGAAGGCAGTGGAGGATGGCCCAAGTGCTTGGGCCCTGCACCCGCATGGGAGACCAGGAGGAAACACCTGGCTCCTGGCTTCGGATCAGCGCAGCACGCCGGCCGTAGCTGCCATTTAGGGGGTGAACCAATGGAAAAAGGAAGACCTTTCTCTCTGTCTCTCTGTCTCTCTCTATCACTGTCTAACTCTGCCTGTCAAAAAAAAAAAAAAAAGGAAAGAAAGAAATTAACAAAAGGAGCCAGTGCTGTGCCTTAAAAGGTTAAGGCCCTGCTTGCAGTGCTGGCATCCCATATAGGCAAAAGGTTAAGGCCCTGCTTGCAGTGCTGGCATCCCATATAGGCACCAGTTTAAGTACCAGCTGCTCCACTTCCAATCCAGCTCCCTGTTGGTGTGCCTAGGAAAGCAACAGAAGATGGCCCAAGTCCTTGGGCCCCTGCCACCTTTGTGGGAGACCTGAAAGAAACTCCTGGCTCCTGGCTTCATTGTGGCCCACTCCTGGCCATTGCAGCCATTTAGAGAGTAAACCAGCAAATAGAAGATTTCTCTCTCTCTCTCTCTCTCTCTCTCTCTCTATCTCTATCTCTATCTCTATCTCTTTCTCTCTGCCTTTCAGATAAATAAATAAATCTTTTAAAATTGACAAAAACATCAGTCATGAATTGTGTCATTAGGGGAAAATATTCATGTTTGAATTCCCTTTGAAAGACCAAAATAAGATAAGAATAAAAGAAAAATATGAGAGAATAGATCAATCAAAAAGAAATAATTATCCACCAGAATTTAGCTTCTATATTCTTACTGTACTGTTTCTAATTTGGCATTCCTAGGACACATAATCAATTGTATCTTCAAAAAATTCTGATTTTGTAGTTTACCTTAACAAATTTCTCCATGATACTCATATATCTTTGACCTAAATTGTGCGTTTTCTTAAAGCAGATGGAAAGATCTATCAAAATAGATTGATGAGTGGTTTGAAGTCTCTTAAAGGTGAGTGAGAATCATGATGAAATACAGAAAAATATGAGATTTCTCAAGCTTTTCATTTGTATTATACTTTATTCATATAATTGTGAATATTGTCACTGGTCATTATATGTTGATTTTATACTTATGTTCCTTCAAGGGGCCATTGTATTTGCTATCTTATTTTTGTGTCTTGTAAAGAAGGCTCATACTCTGTGGAATTTTTTTTCCACTTAGGGGAAACATAAATTAGCCTAAACTTGTAATGTTAAAAAAGGAGTAAGGATTGATTCCGTTATCCAGGGAGTTTGGTCATTAGTAGAAAAAAAAATCTGTATTTCTACACTGCCTGGCAAGGGGTCCATACAGCATTGTTCTTGATTCTCGGTGTAACTTAAAGGGAAGCTGTCACAATGTCCAGAACCCTTGGTGTCCTACAAATGAAGGAGGATGTCCTGAAATTCTTTGCAGCAGGAACTCACCTAGGTGGCACCAACCTTGCCTTCCAGATGGATCAGTATGTCTACAACAGGAAAAGTTATGGTATCTCCATCCTAAATCTCGAGAGGACCTAGGAGAAACTTCTGTTGTCACTTATGCCATTGAGAACCCTGCTGATGTCAGTGTTATATCCTCCAGAAACACTGGCCACAGGAAGTTTGCTGCCGCCACTGGAGCTACTCCAGTTGCTGGCTGCTTCATACCTGGAACCTTCACTAACCAGATCCAGGCAGCCTTCTGAGAACCATGGCTTCTGGTGGTTACTGATCCCAGGGCTGGCCCTTAGCCTCCCACAGGGGCATCTTATGTGAACTTATCTGCCATTGCTCTGTGTGACACAGACTCTCCTCTGTGCTATGTGGATGTTGCCATTCATGCAACAACAAGGAAGCCCACTCAGTGGGTCTGATGTGGTGGATGCTGGCTCAGGAAGTTCTTCACCCGCATGGTACCATCTCCCAGGAACACCCACGAGAGGTCATGCCTGATCTCTACTTCTACAGAGATCCTGAAGAAATTGAGAAAGAAGAGCAGGCTGCTGTTAAAAAGCCGTGACTGGGGTTGGTGCTGCGGCGCAGTGGGTTAAAGTCCTGGCCTGAAGTGCCGGCATCCCTTATGGGCGCCAGTTCTAGACCCAGCTGCTCCTCTTCCTATTTGGCTCTCTACTATGGCCTGGGAGGGCAGTGGATGATGGCCCAAGTCCTTCGGTCCCTGCATCCATGTGGGAGACCCGGAAGAAGCTCCTGGTCATCTGGGGAGTGAACCAGCAGATGGAAGACCTCTCTCTCTGTCTCTACCTCTCTCTGTAACTCTTTCAAATAAATAAAAATAAATTTAAAAAATCTCTTCTGAGATTATTTTAAAAAAAAATGTGACTGTAGAGGAATTTCAGCGTGAATCCATTGCCCTGGCTCCTGAGTTTACTACTACTCAACCTGAGATTGCAGATTGGTGTGAGGGTGTGCACGTGACCTCTGTGCCTATACAGCAGTTTTTTGCTGAAGACTGGAGTGCTCAGCCTGTCACTGAAGACTGGTCTACAACTCCCACTGCTCAGGCCACCAAATGAGTAGGATAACCACTGTGTTTTCTTAAACTGCTCTTCTCAGTCTCTGAAGCAAAAATGGAAATGAGGTTGATGGAAAATAAACAGTAGTTTCTACAGAAACAAAAAAAAAAGAAAAAATCTGAATGTTCAAATAGCAAAAATAAACTGTACCCAGTGGCAAAAAATACAAGATTTGTCATGTCCCCTATTTCATTGACCATATTATCTAGCCTAACTCCTATAAAATTGTGTTGACTTGTCCTTCAGACAAGGTTTATGTGAAGAAGTTTTACTTATTAAAGCCTCTGTTGATGCTATTTGTTATTTATGCCAAGTTTATTGAATCTGGGGTCTTGGTCCTTATGCTAAAATAAAAGGCACAATATTTAAGAATTAATAGTTTCATCGCTTTTATAAATTTCTTAAATTTTACTTTTATATTTATCTCTTTCACAAGGAGGGACAATTGATGTCAATAAATTGCACACAGTTCTGGGAAACATGGGCATGAGACTCACAGAAAAGGAACTGAAAGATCTGACACAGAAGCTATCAGTGGATGGTAAGCATTTGTATATACTGAGCCCCTCAGGAATATAAGAACTTTTAGACACTAATGTTTGATTAACTTTAAATTTCACTTGAAAGGTGGGAATACTGAAGCCTTTCCTAGCTTCCCTATTCACTTTTTGCAACTGATAAAGCTAACAGTTTTTCATTTTAGCTTGATAGTTATCTGATCCCAGAAAATGGACCTTGTGGCAGAAATTAGTATGCAGGTTTGTTGAAAAAACTCTTAAGACAATATCTGTAAGAGAATGAGGGAAACAAGATTGGACAAAGGAAGAAATTGAGTCGCAGTACAGTTGCTACAGAAGCCTCAGTTCATCCTACAGAGTGTAGACCTTTGTACCTTATATCCACCAGTCATTGGGTACAGACTACTCTCCAAAAAGGAATATAACCTTAGATGAGGCAACTTCCTTTGTGAGAAGACAATTCCTAGAGAGGGAATAAGCAGTGAGCCACCAGAAGTTACTAATTCTGACTGCTGGGGAAATGATAGACTTAGACAGAAGAGGAATAGCATCAACTACACCACTCTGATAAAATAATGAGAAAAGTGAATTTATATGTGGGACCAATCCTGATTGAATGAATCCATCTAGATTTGTAGTAGAAAATTCTCCTATTGATTCTTCCTATACTTCAAAAAACTAATAAAATTATAATTGGATAAGATTTTGATTAATAGGTAGATTTTGATCAAATGAAAATGGTCATTTTCTAATTAACAAGTCTCTGTGTCATAAAGTATTTTTTATTACTTATTGGGGCTCCAGCAATTGAATGTAGAAACTTCATGTGACAGAAAAAAAAAAAAAAACCTCCTAAAGGTATTATATTTCCAACTTTGATCTCCTTGAATGGCCAGGGGCTTAGAGCCCTTGAGTTTACCAAAACAGGAAACAGCTTCTTGACTAGATATCTATCAGGAAAGAGTTGTACCACTATTACTAAAAGATAGTTTTTGCTACAAGTATCCCCTGAAGCAGATAATATAATTCCAAGATTAACAGTTAACCTCCCTTGTTTCCCATCATCTTTCTATCAGCGATACCTACTTACTTTCAGTGAATATGAAAGCGAAATTGTACTAGCATGCATGGGTCATGCCGTGCTAACTTTTCTACAGAAATTCATACTGTTCTAATTTGATTTTCCATATCCAGGAGGAAAAGCTACACCTCACGTGCTATACAATTGTTTTTAAAATGTCTTAACATTTTAGTGATTTTATTTCTTTAGTATATCTATCCAGTAGTGGGATTACTGGATCATAAGGCAGTTCTATTTCTACTTTTTAAAGAGATTTATGTATTTGAAAATCAGAGTTACACAGAGAAGAGAGGCAGAGAAAGAGAGAGAGAGAGGTCTTCCATCTGATGGTTCACTCCCCAATTGGCCACAATTGCTGGAGCTGTGCAGATCCAAAGCCAAGAGCTTCTTCCAGGTCACCAGTGCAGGTGCAGGGGCCCAAGGACCTGGGCTATCCTCTACTACCTTCCCAGGCCATAGCAGAGAACTGAATCAGAAGTGGAGCAGCTGGGTCCCAAACCAGTACCCATATAGGATGCTGGCACTTCAGGCCAGGGCGTTAACCTGCTGTGCCACAGCTCTGGCCCCTCTACTTCTACTTTTTAAAACAAAATCTCCATATTGTTTTCTTTTTTAAAAAAGATTTATTTATTTATTTGAAATTCATAGTTACACAGAGAGAGGAGAGGTGAGGGGTGAGAGGGGTTTTCCATCCACTGGTTCACTCCCCAGATGGCTGCAATGGTTGGAGCTGCACTGATCTGAATCCAGGAGCCAGGAGCTTCCTTCAGGTCTCCCAGATGGGTGCAGGGGCTCAAGGACTTGGACCATCTTCTACTGCTTTCCCAGGCCATAGCACAGAGCTGGATCGGAAGAGGAGCAGCCGGGATTAGAACTGGTGCCTATATGTGAGGCTGGCACTTCAGGTGGCAGCTTTTCCCACTACGCCACAGTGCCAGACCCTCCATATTGTTTCCTGTTTTGACTGTACTCACTTTACATGCCCACCAACAAAGTATAAAACTTCCCCTTTAGGGTGCTGGCATTGCGGCATAGCAGGTAAAGCCATTGTTTGTAGTGCCAGCATCCCTTATGAGTGTCAGTTTGAGTCCTGGCTTCTCCACTTCCAATCCAGCTCTCTGGTATGGCCTGAGAAAGCAGTACAAGATGGCCCAAGTCCTTGGGCCCCTGCACCAGCGTGGGAGACCTGGAAGAAGCTCCTGGCTCCTGGCTTCAGATAGGTGCAGATCCTGCCATTTTGGTCAATTGGGGAGTGGACCAGCGGATGGAAGACCTCTCTTTCTCTCTCTCTCTCTCTCTCTGCCTCTCCTTCTCTCTCTGTGTACATCTAACTTTCAAGTAAATGAATAAATATTAAAAAAAAAACAGTTCCCCTTTCTCTACATCCTCATCAATATTTGTTACTTTTTGTCTTTTTGATAATAGCTATTCAGTCTAGAGTTAGGTAAGATCTTGTCTTCATTTGCATTACTTTGATAGGTAGTGATAGTGAACATATTTTCATATATTTTTGCCATTTTCACTTCTTCTTTTAAAAAGTGTCTATTCAGTTGCTTTTTAAAAAAGATTTATATATTTATATGAAAGTGTTACAAAGAGAGAGAGGAGAGCCAGAAGGGAGAAGGAGGGAGGGAGGAAGGGAGAGAGAGAGAAAATATGCTTCTATCTGCTGGTTTACTCTTCAAATAGCTGCAAGGACCAGAGATGAGTCAGGCCAAAGCCAGGAGCCAGGAGCTTCATCCATGTCTCTCACATGGGTGGCAGGGGCCCAAACACTTGAGCCATCTGCTGCTTTTCCCAGGCCATTAGCAGGGAACTCGATTGTAAGAAGAGCAGCCAGGACTCAAACCAGCACCAATATGAAATGCTGGCATGGCTAGTGGTGGCTTTACCCACCACAGCCCATTCAGAATCTTTGTTAAGATTTCTTAACTTGGTTATCTTTTTCTGTTCTTGAGGTTCGTTGTTGTTATCGTTGTTGTTATTTTTCCCTTTATATTCTGGATATTGATCCTTGGTTGGACATTTGCAAATATATTCCCCCATTTTCTCTATTGTCTCTTCACCCTGGTTTATTTATTTGAAAGGTAGAGAGACAGGACTAGAGATATAGAGACAAACAAACTATGTCAAAAGACTGGCAAAGCCACCACCTGCAAATACACCACCAAATACAGGTTATATGTGATGCCAGCATCCCATATGGGAGCCAGATTGAGTCCCAATTACTCTGCTTCTGATCCAGCTCTCTGCTAATGCACCTGAGAAAGCAGTGGACAACCCAAGTGTTTAGGCCCCTGCACCCAAATGTGAGACCTGGAAGAAGCTCCTGGCTCCTGGCTGTGACCTTACCTTGCCCCGTCTGTTGCGGCCATTTGGGGAGTGAACCACAGGATGGAAGATCTCTCTGTCTCTCCCTGTTTCTCTCTGTAACTCAGACTTTCAATAAATAAATCATTCTTTAAAAAAAATCATAAGTCCTGTCTTCTGTTCGATCTATTTTGTTGTTGAAGCCCTCAGATGTACTATTTATTTCTTTGACTGAAGCTCCAAGATTTCTGATTGATCTTTTTTTTTATTTTTTTTATTTTTTATTTTTTTGACAGGCAGAGTGGACAGGGAGAGAGAGAGACAGAGAGAAAGGTCTTCCTTTGCCGTTGGTTCACCCTCCAATGGCCGCCGTGGCCAGCATGTTGCGGCCGGCGCACCGCGCTGATCCAATGGCAGGAGCCAGGAGCCAGGTGCTTTTCCTGGTCTCCCATGGGGTGCAGAGCTAAAGCACCTGGGCCATCCTCCACTGCACTCCCTGGCCACAGCACAGAGCTGGCCTGGAAGAGGGGCAACCAGGACAGAATCCGGCGCCCCGACCGGGACTAGAACCCGGTGTGCCGGCGCCACTAGGCGGAGGATTAGCCTAGTGAGCCGCGGCGCCGGCCTGATTGATCTTTTTAACGATTTCTGTTTAATTTCTCAAATATATCATGCATTGTTTTCTTCATTTATTTGAATTATCTACCTGTATTCTCTTGCGTCTTCTTGAGTTTTGTTAGTGTCATTATTTAAAATTCTTTTTCAGGCATTTCATAGATTTTTTAAAAAATCAAGATCTATTTCTGGAGAACTATTGTATTACCTTGAAGGTTTCATTCTTCCTTGCTTCTTCATGTTTCCTGTGTTGATGTCTGTGTTGCTGTAACTGTTTCTTCTTCTTTATGTAGTAAATTTCATTAGAAAAGACTTTTTCATCTAGGTGGGATATGGAGCATCAGTGGGTATTTGCTTTGGCTTTGGTTTTATGTGAGCACAGAGGTGTAACCACTGTGTGATTTCCTCAGTTGTAATCAATGTCAGTAGTTTGAGTACTATAATTATTTAGACTACAGGAGTTCACAGGGGTAGTGGTATGGCTTTGCATTGGACATGGGCTTCCAAAGGTGAGTGTCCTTGGGCCCCACAGTCAAATGCCAATCACACTGGTGTTTGTGATGGCAGTGCCACATTCCTGGTTTTGTAAGACATGTAGGAGGTCATCACTAGGTCCCACAGTGATGACCTAAGTGATGTCAGAGCTTAAGGCATTGATAACAATGGCCCTGGGATGTGGATGGTCCTTCCCCAGGTCTTTCTGGGAAGATGTGGGTAATGCAACAATAGCCTCAGTACAAGCACCGGAAGATATGGAGGGTCTGATATCCTGTTTCCCATAGGGCAAATACAAGTTATGCTTGGTATTGTGAACTGGCAGGCATAGACCTGGAGAAGCAGAATGCATATAGGGCCTTCCCCAACTCCCACAGATGAGCACAGACGACTCTGGAGAATCTAGCATCAACAGTCACAGTCTGAGTGCTATAGGACACAATGAAGACCTTATCCAGCACCCACTGGGCAAGCGCAGATGACTCTGGGAATTGTGAACTGGCAGCAGCTGTAGTCCTGAAGGAATATGATGCTGATAGAACTTTCCCTAGTCCCATGGGAGAGTATGAATGTACCCAGGGTTTATAGAGCCAATAGTTATAACCCCAAAGCTGCAGAACATGGAGCATTCTTTATTCAGATCCCACAGGTTACGCCAGGAATAGCATACTGGCATCTGCAGAAGTGGAAATATGGGATGATGTGTCCTTTCTGAGGTCCCACAGGGTAAATGCAGATGACTCTAGGGATTGTTGCCCAATAGCCACAGGTTGCAGCAGTAAACTTACCTAGGTTCCATGGGGTCAGTGCCAGTTATGCTGGGGATCGAGCAATGGCAGCCATGAACCTGTAGCTGTAGGACACAGATGGAGCTTTCTCAACATCCCATGGGATGAGCATGGATGACTCAGGGTGTTATAAGACTAACAATCACAGTCTCAGAGTTTCAGGATACAATGGAGGATCTTACCCAGGGTGAGTGCAGGTAACTCTGGGGCTTATAACACCACCAACTGCAGTCTTTTTTTTTTAAGATTTATTTATTTATTTGGAAAAGTTACAGAGAGGCAGAGGCAGAGAGGGAAAAGTCTCCCATCCACTGGTTTACCCTCCAAATAACTACAACTGCTGGAGCTGGGCTGATCTGAAGCCAGAATCCAGGAGTTTCTTCTGGGTCTCCCACACAGGTGTTGGGGTGGGCCCAAGGACTTAGGCCATCTTCTACTGCTTTCCCAGGCTTTAGCAGAGAGCTGGTTCAGGAGTGGAGCAGCTGAGACTTGAATTGGCACCCATATATGATTCCAGCACTGCAGAGAACAGCTTTAGCTTCTAGGTCATGGCACTGTCCCCACCAGCTGCAGCCTCACCGCTGTAGGAGGCAGAAGGGACTGTTTCAGCTCCCACTGAATAGCCACTGTCCTAAATCTGTGGAACTCAGATGGGATAAGGCTTGTACTCCTGCAGCGGTGAGCATGGATCTGTGGAATGCAGATAGGGCCTTCCCCAGGACCAAGGTGAGCACAGTTGATGCTAGGGCTTGTGCTTGGTCAGCCTCAGTCCCTGAGCCAGGAGACATGGAAAGGAGCTTTCCCAGTTCACGATGGACAAGCAAGGGTGACCAGGAAGCTCATGTATTGGCTACTGAGAGCTCTAAGCTATGAGCCACAGAGGGGAATTTCCTATGTCCCTTTGGGGTTTGTGTGCCAGAGGCTGTAGGCCCTGAATCACGAGAGACAGAGGAATACTTCTCCAGGATCCACAGGGACAAGCAAGGATGACACTGGGATTTGATCCCTGGCTATAGAGAACCTTGAGCTGTGAGACATGGAGAAGGACTTCCCCAGTTCCTGGCAGGGCTTGTGTACCAGCTACTGTTCTCCAGATCTTGCAGAGTGAGCAAGCATGACTCTCGAGCTTACACACAGCAGTGCTGCAGCTGCAGGATACAAAGGGGCCTGTCCTCAGCCCCATGAGGTGTATCAGTTCCAGAGGCTTCTGGCAGTGTCCAGTGCTACCAACTGAAACCTAAGACAGAATGGAGTCCAGCAATGGCTGTGCTGTGGCAGCTCTCCAGACTGCATTTAAAGCCTGTGGGCACTGAGGAATTCTATTGCTAGGGCTGTTGGTCTGCAGTGATGCTGGTGATAGGGATCACGGTTTTCTAATTACTTTTCCTGGGAATGTAGAGTTCTCCCCTGGCCAGGCACCTGGAGTAGGAGTTGCAGTATGCTTTGTTCTGGTTTTCTAAGTCTCCATGCTGCTTAGGGCTTCCATCACCTTTTTACTGAAGTTCTCTCTCAGTGAACTGTCCAGAAATTGGATCGTAAGTCTTCTAAAATAACCATTAGTGAGACTTTCTTGCATTCTCTATTTAAATTGCTACAGCACCCTTTTCAGTATTCTTCATGCTTTTTCTCAGATTTATTTTTCTTCCTGGTACCTACCATCGTTTTTTAAAAAACTAAAAGTTTTATTGTTTGAAAGGCAGATTGACAGATAAAGAGAGAGAGAGAGAGATCTTCTATCCACTGACCACTCCTCAAATGCCCACAAAAACTGTAGTTGTACCAGAACAAATAAAGGAGCCCAGAACTCCATCCAGGTCTCCCATCTGGGTGACAGGACCCCAAGAACTTGAAGCGTCATCTGCTGCCTTCCAGGTACATTAGCAGGGAGCTGGATCAGAAGCAGAGGCAGAACTTGATTCCAGGCACTCTGATGAGGATGCGGACGTCTCAAGTTGCAGTTTAACCTGGTGCACCACAGTACTCCCTCCAGTTAAAATATGCTATATATTCTTTCATTTCATTACTGTTTCATTAGTATTTATAACTGTGGGTTACACAATAGGTATTACCAAATATTTATTGCATTAATATAAATCTGTTGACCTTCTACAACATACAAATTCCAGTTCAATTGAGTAAATTACACCACAGGTTATTCATAACTTAAACATATAGCACAAAGTTGTAAATTATTGAAGTAAAAATTAAAATTTTAATAAATTATATGTGGACTGAACAGATAATCTTTGAAATCCAGTTGAAACAAGGATAGGATAAGAACCTTATCAGGGTCTATTTCATCCACATTGCCAAAGTATCCAATCAAGAAAAACAATTCTATAGAAAAAGTAACTTACAATTCAATTTTTTCTGCTATGTATGTGATTCGCTAACTCAGAAGATACAAAAGTAATGTTATCATAGTCACTTTAACATTTAGAACTATCCTTCCTTCTCCATGATCTTGAGAGAAAGTTTTTAAAATGTGAAATTATATAAAATTCAAGCATATTTTGGAAAATTAGTATAGTCTTTTGTTAGTTCATATCATTTTTAGTACCTGTGTTTGTAACTTATACCTTATGTTACAGGTGATGGAAAAGTCAATCTTAAAAGTATGATGGATGAAGTGAAAAATTTCTCAGGTGAGTAAAAAGTTACTATCGCTCTGACATCTGTAAGTCTTAGACTGTACTATTTTTTATCTTACATGCTCTAACTTGCCAATCTCTGACTTATGAGAGTGTGGAGTTTTAACATTACAGGCATAAATATTTCATATTTAGAATCTTTGGGTGGATCATAAAACTGTCAAATGTCCATATTTTCACTTTCTAAGGAAAAAAAGTTCATATCTGTGACCTTCAAAGTCTTCTGAAAAACATGGGGATTGAACTGACAGATACAGAATGCTTAGAGCTGAAGAAAACCCTGCCAACGGATGGTGAGTCGTAACACTGGGCTTTACATAGAGCCCGGTTTTGTGGCTTTTTTGAGAATCTGTAAAACTTTCCATGAAATTTCCTCTAGAAGTTCTTTAAGTATATTAGAAAAGAAAGTTTTGTATTACATTTAAACCTATTAACTGTTAATTCAATTTCCCCTTTTTTCTTTTATTTACTGGAGAGGCACACAGAGAGAGAGAGAGAGGAGAGAGAGAGGAAAGGAGAGAGAAACAGAGAGAGGGAAGGGGAGAGTATGTGTATTTCTGTCCCCTGGTTTTCTCCCCAAATGGGTGCAATGGCCAGGGCTGGGCCTAGGCAAAGCTGTGAGACAGGAACACAATCCAGGTCTCTCTTATCGGTGTCAGGATCCCAATCACTTGCAGCATCATCCTGCCTCCCAAGGTCTGCATTAGAAAGAAGCTGGATTCAGGAGTGGAGCCGTGTATCAAATTAAGGTACTCCAATACAGGATGAGAGCATCTTAGGCCAAGCACTCACCCCTACATTTAATTTTTAAATCATCAATACCTTTAGTCACAAATGAAGCAAATATTTTAACTTAATATTGTTCATACCTAATTATAAAGCCTATAATTAGGGAAAGAAAGGAAAATGAGAATGCCAGACTAGTGGAAGGAAAGGAAAAATCAGAGACAAAATGGGAAATCAAAGTATAGTGAGGTTGTTAAGAGCAAAGCACTTTCTTTCCATATACAGAGATTCAAACCCTGTTTCCAATACTTAGTGCTGTTGTCACACTTAGTCCTGTGCATCTCAGTTTACTCATTTACAAAATTTGTGTAAAAATTAAGTGAGATAAATCATTTTAAAAAGTACATGGTAAATAGTGAAATGTCGATATAAAGGTTAGTTATTGTGCTACTGTTGTAGTTGTGACGATGAGGATGATTGGAGTGGTGATGGTGATGGTGGTGATGGTGGTGGTGGTGGTGGTGGTGGTGATAATGATGATGCTTCAGAATAGTTGAAAATGCACAGTTGGTTCAGATTATAAACTCATAGATATTTGTCACTTTAAAAAATTTGCCACTGAAAATTTGCCACATAAACTGATATTTTATAGAAAACTATGGAAAAATGTTTCTAGAATTATAAAATATAAAAGACTACCTTTGGGATGTTGATATAATTTTCATTCTGATGTGAATTTTCCTTTGTCATAGCTGCTGGAGAGGTGTTTCAGAATAGGATCTTGGATGGTGTAAAGTCTCTCAAAGGTGACAGTTTAAATATGAAATTCCTGAGTCTCTGAAACATTATATTGTGAATATTGAAAACTGATTCATTTGTTGTGCCTCCTTCAATATTTGTATTTAACATATAATATCCTCGGTTCTGTTTTTGGATCTACTCTTAAGTTATCACAAACTTTATCAAGGGGAAAAATTACTTGAGAGTTATTTATTTTAGAAATTTTTAACAAGTAACTGAATCTTAAATGACAAAAATATCCTCTACTGTTTCAGAAGACTATGAGTTTAGTTGCTTTAGCTCCATTTAAAAAGTCATTAAGAACTTTTTTACTATGTTCCATTATTATCAAGCTTAGGCTTAAATAAACAAGTTTTATTCATAACTTTTATGACTATTGACTTTTTAAATCATGAATACATCTTGTTTTTATCATTGTTTTCCATCACATTTCTTAGGTAATAAAGATCATTTAATAAAAGAAACAATGAATATACTTATATTTTTAATGTTTTAAAGTAATTTAATTTGTCTGATTTTATTTTGCCCTCTTTTTAAAGGAGGGATGGTTAATATCAATGACCTGAACAAAGTTCTTGGAAATATGGGAATTAAACTCACAGTAAAAGAACTTGAAGATCTTACAAAAAACCTCCCAGTTAATGGTAAGCATAAAAGATATAACATATCCAAGCATCCCTGTGCTTCAAAAAGTTAAATTCATATATCTGTTAGATATTTCTATTTATATATTCCCAGGGGTTATGAAGTTCAGCATGGCCAAAAAGGAATTCATTATTTTTCAATTGGATTGATTTCTAACTTTATATTATCTGGGCCTCTGATATATTTAAAGCCTATCACAATAAATTTGAAAGTGTCATCTCTCACTTGGGGCCAGAACTGTGACATAGAAGGTTGAGCCTCCGCCTGTAGTGTCGGCATCTTATATGGGCACCAGTTTGAGTCCCTGCTGCTCCACTTCCAATCCAGCTCCCTGCTAAAATGCTTGGGAAAGCGGCAGAAGATGTTACAAGTACTTGGGTTCCTGCACCAAGTGGGAGACCCAAAAGGAGCTCCTAGCTCCTGGTGCTGGCCTTGCCCAGCCCTGGCCTTTGTAGCCATTTGGGGAGTAAACCAGCTGATGGAAGACCTCTCTCTGTCCTCTCTCTCTCTGTAACCCTGCCTTTCAAATAAATAGATCTTTTTTTAAAGTGGGGTGTCATTTTCCTTCACTGTTTTCCCAATTAAACTTAATTTAACATCCTAAAAATTTTTTCAGTCCATCGCTGGCTGTTGCCACTGGCCCTTGGCATCTATGACTTTTGATCTGTTCCAGATGTTGCTGTCTCATCAACATTTGGTATTATCATACATTTAATTATTTGAGCATGATTAGTAATAAAAGGTAGCAAATTTTTTTACACTATGTTTTCTGATAGCCAGTGAGGTTATCATTTCATATACTTACTGATCATTTAGATTTCCTTTTCTGTGGATTGCCCTTTCATATATATTTTTCCAATTTTCTGTTGGATTATTTTCATTTTACTGATTAACTATAGTTGTTCATACATATATTCTTTGTTCTAATGATTTTTTTTTATTTTTATGTTATACATACAAGAAAGACCTTTGTGGATTATCATTGCATTTAGATTGTCATGTTTTATTGAACACAAGTTCTTCATTTTGATAGAGTTTAATTTGTCACTATTTTTCTTTATAATTTCTTTTCAGAAAGTTCTTCCTTATTGGGTCATAAGCGTTTTTTCTACTGTTTTTAGCATGTTAGCATATTTTTTTCAAATTAATTAATTTTATTTATTTGAAAGACAAAGGGACAGAAAGATAGAGATCCCCATCTGCTGGTTCATTGTCCAAATGTCCAAAACAGCCATGGCTGGGTAAGGCCAAAACCAAGAGCTGAAAACTCAATGTGTCTTTCACATAAGTGGTAGGTACCCAACTACCACTATTTCCCAGGATGTGCATTAACAGGAAGCTGGAATTGGGAACCAAGCCAGGACTTGAAGCGAGGCACTTTGATATAGGATGTGGGCATCCCAAGGGATTTCTTATCCCCTGTACCAAAAACCTACCACAGCATATTTCTTTTTTAAAAAAGATTTATTTATGTATTTGAAAGTCAGAGTTACAAAGAAAGAGAAGGAGAGGCAGAGAGAGAGAGGTCTTCCATCCGCTGGTTCACTCCCCATTTGGCCACAATGGTCAGAGTTGCACTGATCTGAAGCCAGGAGCCAGGGAGTTTCTTCCAGGTCTCCCATGCAGGTGCAGGGACCCAAGGACTTGGGCCATCTTCTACTGCTTTCCCAGGCCATACCTGAGAGCTGGATCTGAAGTGGAACAGCCGGGACTTGAACTGACGCCCCTAAGGGATGCTGGCACTGCAGGCAGTGGCTTTACTCACTATGCCACAGTGCTGGCCCCCCAGCATATTTCTTTTTAATTGATATGGAATTCATTTTGATTTTTTTTACAGGCAGAGTGGACAGTGAGAGAGAGAGAGAGAGAGAGAGAGAGAGAGAGAGAGAAAGGTCTTCCTTTTGCCGTTGGTTCACCCTCTAATGGCCGCTGTGGCCAGCGCGCTGCGGCCGGCACATCACGCCTATCCGAAGGCAGGAGCCAGGTGCTTCTCCTGGTCTCCCATGGGGTGCAGGGCCCAAGTACTTGGGCCATCCTCCACTGCGCTCCCTGGCCACAGCAGAGAGCTGGCCTGGAAGAGGGGCAACTGGGACAGAATCCGGCGCCCCGACCAGGACTAGAACCTGGCGTGCCGGCGCTGCTAGGCTGAGGATTAGTCTATTGAGCCATGGTGCCGGCCTCATTTTGCTCTTAATATGAGTTTGAAATCTAATTTTTCTCTATATAAATAATAAATATTTCATTAGCCCTTTTTCTTTTTATTTCCCAGAATCTTTTTCTTTAAGATATACAAACTTCATGTATTTCATAAATACAAATTTATGAACATATGATAGTGATTCCTCCTACTATATCCATCCTTCCACCCTACTCCCACCCTTCTACCTCCTCCCTCTCATATTCCCATTCTTATTTTTTTATTAAGATCTATTTTCAATTAAGTTTGTAACAGAAGATTAACTATACTAAGTAAAGAGTTCAACAAGCAGAATGAAAAAAAAAAAGTTCCTTAACAGTTTTTTTATTTCTCTTTGATTTCTTTTATGACCCATTGTTCATTCAGGAGCATGTTGTCAGTCTCTATATGTTTCCATATGTTCTTCAGTTTTTTTTAAAGGTTTCATTTATTTATTTGAGAGGTAGAGTTCCAGACAGTGAGAGGGAGAGATAGAGAGAAAGGTCTTTCTTCTGCTGGTTTACTCCCTAAATGGCCGCAATGGCCGGAGCCATGCGGATCTGAAGCCAGGAGCCAGGAGCTTCTTCCCAGTCTCCCACTTGAGTGCAGAGGCCCAAGCATTTGGGCATCCTCTGCTGCTTTCCCACGCCACAGCAGAGAGCTGGACTGGAAGAGGAGCAACTGGGACTAGAACCGGTGCCCATATGGGATGCTGGCACCACAGGCAGAGGATTAACCTACTGCACCACAGCAGTGGCCCCTTGAGATTCTTGAGTTGTTGATTTCCAGCTTCATTCCATTGTGGTTAGAGATGAGGCATGGTATGATTTCAATTTTTTTTTTTTTTAATTTGCTGAGACTTACTTTATGGCCTGACCTGTGTTCTACCCTAAAGAAAGTTCTATGCACTGGTGAGATGAATGTGTATTCTACAACTGTAGGATGAAAAGTTCTGTAGATATCTGTTAGATCCATGTGGTCCATCGTGTTGATTAACTCTGTTACTTCCTGCTGATTTTCTGTCCAGTTGATCTGTCCATTGCTGAAAGTGGGGTATTGAAGTCCCACATAACGATTGTATTTGAGGCTATGTCTCCCTGTAGCTCCATTAACATTTCTTTTAAATAGTCAGGCACCCTATAATTAGGTGTGTATACATTTCTTATTGCCACATCTTCCTGATGAATTGATCCCTTAATCGTTGCATAGTGCCCTTCTTTGTCTCTTTTAACAATTTTTGTGTGAAAGTCTATTTTGTCTGATGTTTGAGATGGCTACACCAGCTCGTTTTTGGTTTCTGTTAGCATGGAATATCTTTTTCCATCCTTTCTCTTTTAGTCTGCATGTATCTTTGTTGGTGAGATGTATTTTTTGTAGGCAGCAAATAGATGGATTTTGTTTTTTAATCCATTCTTCTTATCTGTATCTTTTAACTGGAGAATTGAGGCCATTTACATTCAAGGTGACCATTGATATATAATGACTTTGCCCTGCCATTTTTCCATAAATATTCTATTTTTTACTGTGAATTTCCTTTGTACTTTTACTAGGAGATTTTCTGCTTTCACCTTCTTTCAAAGCGATGACCATGTTTCTATGTTTCCATGTGTAGCATATCCTTAAGCCTCTTTTGTAAGGCTGGTTGAGTAGTGACACATTCTTTCAATTTTTGTTTGTTATACAAGGTCTTTATTTCACCTTCACTCATAAGTTAGGGCTTTGCAGGGTAAAATATTCTGTTGACAGTTTTTTTCTCTTAAGACTTGGAATATAGCTCACCATTCTTTCCTACCCTGTAGGGTTTCTGATGAGAAGTCTGCTGTGAGTCTAACTGGAGATCCTCTGAAAGTAATCTGGCATTTCTCTTGTGCACACCTTAGAATCTTTTCTTTATGTTTTACAATGTGTTGTGGTGAAGATCTTTTGTGGTCATGTCTATTAGGAGTTTGTGCTTCCTGTACTTGGACGTCCCTTTAGAACATGAATATAGTATTCATGCATGCTGCCACAAGAATCGTACAAAGGATCTATACAGTTCTCTGTGTAAGCACAGATCCCTCATCACTTCTCAGCCTTTTGGCTAAGATCAAGTGTGGAGCACAGATCCCACAGCAATGACCCTCACCAGGGAATCAGGGAACCCCGAGTATGTGGAGCCACATGTGACTGCCCAAAGTCCTAGTCACATCCTGCCACAGTGTTTTCACAGTCCCGACACACAAGCCTCCCACAGTCATGAGCACCCAGCCCCCTCTCAGTTCTCCCAGCCAGACTCAGGCATCTCCTCTCAGATGGTTGCTGGGCACATGGACAAGAGCTGGCGCAGTAGTTACATATGTCCAAAATGGCTCCCACTCACTCTCGGCTGATTACAGGACACTGGTGCTGGGTCGTCAGGGAGAGAAAAACATGTCTCCCCTTTTTTCTTCTAGGTTGGCAGGGATACTGTCCCCTACAGGGCTCTAAGTCAGACTTATGCCAGGCTCTTTCTGCAACTTTAACACTGGTGGCTTGGGTTGCTGTGGTCTGGTCTCACCTCACTCTCCAAAGCTGGTGCTGAGGCTCTCAGCTGCTGGAGTCCTGAGTTGTGTGTGTGCATACCCTCCACATAGATCCACAGGATCCCTCTAATTTGCATGGAGTTTCCTCTGCCATTTTCTCTCTCTTTCCTGAGATTGTACTCTCTCCACACGTTTTAAACTATCTTCCCTTAGACTAAAGCAATAAGCTGCCTCCCTATTATGCCATCTTGGTGCCTCTCCTCATTAGCCCTTTTACCAACTGATTTGTATTGTCAACTTTATCACATAGACTAGAGTCTGTTTCTAAGATTTGTATGCTATTTCACTGGCTTATTTCTCTGTCTGTATGCCAATATACTACACTGCCTTAATTATATGGCTTTGGGGCTGGTGTTGTGGTATAGTAGGTTAAGCCTCCACCTGCAACACAGGCATCCCATATCAGTGCCGGCTTGTGTTCTGGCTGCTCCACTTCTGATCCAGCATCCCTGCTGATGGCCTGAGAAAGCAGTGGAAGATGGCCCAGGTGCTTGGGACCCTGCATCAGAAAAAAGACCAGAAAGAAGCTTCTGGCTCCTGGCTTCAGATCAGCCCAGCTCTGGTGGCTGCGGCCGTCTGGGGAGTGAACCAGTGGATGGAAGACACCTCTCTGTGTCTCTCCCTCTCTATATCTGTAACTCTGCCTCTCAAATAAATAAAATAAATCTTTTAAAAAAATGCTTTATTCTAGTAAATCTTTAAAATCAGTATTGCCAAACTAGAAATTATCTTTGCTGTTTTACAATCTTTAACCTTCTCTAAGTTTTAAAATAATATTTTTAAGATTCGTGATTGATAACACTTGTATTTTAATTGAAAATTTATTAAAATTACTATTGTGATTTAGAAAACTGATGATTTATCTATGTTGATCTCATTTCCTGCAATCATGCAAAAGTCTTTCTGATACTAGTAGTTTATTGGTATTTAGAACTCTTATGAAATTTTTGTATAAAAAATAATATCATTTGCATTATGATTATATATTGCAGTATTTTAATTTTTAAACCAGTTATCTGTTGTTCTTATTCTTTTTTATTGGTTGGAAACTGCTGACCATATTAGTGGAGGGTTAAGCTTATGATTATAAATTAAAAGTACATCATTGTAAAAATTTCTCAGTGAATGAGATCCCAGCAGAAAGAACAGGCCATCAAAGAAGGAGGCACCTTTCTCTGAAGGGATGCCTATCCTTTCTGTGGGGATCTCACAACTAAAACCAACACCCATACGGGATGCCAGCACCACAGGCAGAGGATTAACCCCCTGCACCACAGGACCAGCCCCTCTACTTTCATTTCTAATTTTAATATTTATATCTTTCTTTATTATTAATCAAACTAGCTATAGATCTAACAATTTTATTGATCTTTTCAAAGAAACAACTTTCAGTACCCTTGATTCTCTTTCTATTCTCTATTTCATCTATCATAATTATTTATAAACAATCTTTACTGTTAGCTTCCTTCTACTAGTTTTAGGTTAGTTGTATATAATTAATATCCTGGGTGTTATAAAGAGCTCATTCTCATCTGAGGTACATGACCACATAGAAGAAGATTGCCAAATTAGAATTATCTACCAGAAAGAAAATGAGTAGTTATAACTGATAGACAAACATTAATATCTACCATTTACCAACAAAACCTATTACATAGACTGATTCATATTAGCATGCATTGCATGATTACTGAATTAATTAGTAGACAAAAATCCTGTGTTATAGAATATTAAGAAGCCTTAATAGTTGTCTCAAAATGAAAGATCAAATATTTCCAACAAGTCATGATAATTGAAAATATGGGATGAAAAGATTTTAACAAAAAATTTAATAGGAAAGTGTAAACTCTTTACCATTTTTGATGACCTTATTCTAGCATAAATCAAATCTTGTACTCCTTGTAAAGCACTTTAGGCTCTTATGAGTTAGAGAGACCCTATGATCCAGGAAATAGATCATGTATGGATTACTCAAATCTAGTAATGCAAATTAAACACAGCTTTAGAAACTATACGAGTAAATTTTACCTAGGAGCAATAAATAAATTGTTTTATGCTTTATTTCTGAACATTATCATCTGCTTTGTTTTTTCTAACAGCTAATGGGAAGACTGTTCTCAGTAAGCTAATAGATGAAGTGCAAGCTGTTACAGGTAAGTGAAAAATATTCTGAATCTAAGCATATAAATAATTATGCCAGATTATAGTTAATAATTTTCATGATTATTGTCTCATCAGGCATGTTTCCTTTTTATTAATGAAGGCATATATTTAATTTCCATGAGTCATCTCTATTTTAATAACTGTGTAAAATCTTGATAGCAAGTCTATAATTCTATGCAGTATTTTTCAATAACATTTCTTAATAATTGAGTTTAAATGATAAAAATATAGGTTAGCACTGTTGATTAAGTACACTCCAATAAAGATACAGACAGATATTTACATAAAGACTTGCATGAATTCCATCCAAGTGTTAAATTATACGGATAAACTATCTAAAATATTTCCAATTTATAGTGGCACTTTACATATATCCATATATTTCTCTGTGTACTATATTATCTTGTCCACATGAGATGATACCTGTATAGTGGCTTTGCTTTTAATCCAGGAATTCAGACCAATGCAACATAAGAAAAGATTATTTATTTTTACATTTTAAATCTTTAAATAATTTTTTAAAATCTCACATTTTATCATTCTCATTTGGAGGAGAAGATGTTGATATCGATGATGTAAAAGATGTTGTAGAAAACATGGGGATAGAACTTACAGAAAAGGAATGCATGGAGCTGGTGGAAAAATTATCAGCTTATGGTGAGCATGTAATATGTTAAGGTAACTGTGATTTATTTTTAGCTGGAGGCAGTTCTGCTGAGTAGACACTCGTCAATATTTGAAATTATTTTTGGTTGTCATAACCACAGCCTGGTGGAAGCTGTACCACTGGCATCCAGTGAACAGAGGTCGTATATTAGTAAACATCCCAAAATAAATAAACATTCCCTCACGATATTACCCCAAAATGACCGGAGTGTGCTGCTATTGAAAAAGCCTGCAGTTAACTTTCAAGGGAACTCAGGGTTTGTACTTCTGTGGAGCACGTCTGTCCCATCCTACACTCCAGGGAAAGCTTGTCAGAGAACTTACAACTTTCCTTACCTGGAGAAGAAATCTTCAACTGTATAATTTACTTCTTTATTTGAAAAGCAAGAAAAAATACAGCATATAGATCTATGCTGAGAAACACCTGTCATTACTCTTAGTTCTATTGGAATACTTAAGTCTAAGCAAAGAAACTTAAGAAAAAGGAACTATGGTGGTACTTTGGAAATCAAAATATGAAAAGTAAAATGAAGGATTAAGAGACTGTACATTTCAACACAAGAAATAGTACTACTGACCTTACATGTCAAAGAGAAAAAGTAGTCATAATATTAAAGTTCTATATTTCATATTATTTTTTCAATTTTTTTTGACAGGCAGAATTAGTGAGAGAGAGAGACAGAGAGAAAGGTCTTCCTTTTTCGGTTGGTTTGCCCCCAAAGTGGCCGCTACAGCAGGCACACTGCGCTGATCTGAAGCTGGGAGGCAGGTGCTTCCTCCTGGTATCCCATGGGGTGCAGGGCCCAAGCACTTGGGCCATCCTCCACTGCCTTCCCGGGCCACAGCAGAGAGCTGGACTGGAAGAGGAGCAACTGGGAGAGAACCAGCACCACAGCTGGGACTAGAACCCAGAGTGCCGGCACCACAGGCAGAGGATTAGCCTAGTGAGCCGCGGCACTGGCCCTGTATTTCATATTTTAATGAAACATGGAAAAAAATTCTGGATACTTATTTCTGAAATTATTTTTATACCAGATCCATAACAAGTTTCTCTTTGAACAGAATTGTTTATTTTCTTACAGCTGATAGAAAAATCTTTCAGAACAGATTGCTAGAAGGCTTAAAGGCGCTTAAAGGTAAGAGAATCATAATGAAAAAGTGAATGAATTTGAAATCCTGGTGATTTACATTTAATTTATTTCCCAGATATTTAAATTTGAATCTCCCTTCTGTAATTTATGTTGCTACCTTTTTATTTTTTTGCAATTGGTAAAATGTCTGATTTTATTCTAGAAAACATGTATAGTCCATTTTAGCTAATAAGTTGTAGTCAGCATAAGATAAAAGTAGACTAATGCTAAAATCAGTCTTGTAAGTCATCAAAGCAATTTAAAAATCATTTTGATTTTTGATGGAAAGTCAGTATATTGTTATTTTGTGATAACATGCTGAGGGAAGCAGTATACTATGCAATCAGTCTCGGAAAATCAGTAAAATCAAATTTTAAAAAAAGATGAAACTAACTGTAAAAACGAAGCTAAAAAGCAAAGTGCAAAAATAAGTCCTAAATTGTACAGAATGCAGTGAAAAGGCCAATGTCAGAAAAGCTTGCTTGCCCTTATCAGCCCAGTTAGCCTTTCCAGATGACCTTTTCTACTTCCTTGGATTCACACGCTACAGCCTTCACAGGTAATTTGCACCTCATTTATGAAGCCTTTCTTATTACTGAGCTCTGCAGTGTCTTTTTCTCAAATAGACTGTAAAGTCATTGAGGACAAACACTATACCTTCCTTCCCTTCTCTGGGATCCCAAGTGCTTTCCATAATTCTGTTTTTACAAAAGGAAGTGCTAAATCCTTTTCATGCTCCTTGAGGGAATGTGTATTGTACTGGAGACTATCCTACTAATTTGACCAAGGTCAGTCAAATGATTGATAAATGGTGAGGCATACATTAATACCCTAGTCTGTCTGGCTCCAGTTAGTTCTGGAGTCAGACAAACCCAGATCCTGGCTCTACTATCTAGTTATAATATATATATATATATATATATATATATATATATATATAAAATAAGAATATATTAAAGATTTATTTTATTTATTTGAAAGAGTTACAGAGAGAGGTAGAGACAGAGAGAGAGGTTTTCCACCCAATGGTTCACTCCCCAGATGGCCGCACTGATCAGGAGCCAGGAACAAGGAGCTTCTTTCAGGTCTCCCACATGAGTGCAGGGGCCCAAGGACTTGGGCCATCTTCTACTGCTTTTCCAGGCCATAGAGAGAGCTGGATCAGAGAGGAGCAGCCAGGACTAGAACCGGTGCCCATATGGGATGCCGGCGCTTCAGGCCAAGGCTTTAACCTGCTATGTCACAGTGCTGGTCCCTAGTTAGATATATTAACATGGGGAAAATATGAACTCATTAAGTGTATGCTAAGAGCCAAGCACTATATAAAATTTATAGTCTCATCCAGTTTTCAGCAATATTAAAAGGAAGATTCTGTTTATTGTTTCCATATCACAGAAGAGTATACCAAAACACAGAAAGATTACGTAGACTGTCCAAGGTCACATAGTAACTAGCAGAATTGAGACACAAATCTAAAGAGTTTAATTACAAAACTCATCTATGTATAGCTCATGTTGCCTGCATAGTAGTAATCAATATTAATTTAACATGCGCTAGGCCAGATATCCATGTACTTTTGGAATTGTTTAGAAAGTTTGAGTCTGTGTAGATGTATATTTTTCCCTGAAATGTACTTTCATTAGATTCTTAAAGTTATTCATGACTCCTCAAGATTAAAAGGACATTTATCACTGTGGCTTGGGGAAGGTGGATAGGATATAAAGAATTGTAGAAGATATCCTCTTCTTTCTAAGAGATCAAATAGTGGATATAAGATAAGGTACAAGGCATATTCAGTTCTAAGCAATGGGCTTAGAGAAAGGCAATTCTAGCTAAAGCAATAAGGAAACACATCACAATTCTATAGAATGCTCTGTCATTCACCTTCTAAAAATTGTGATTAAAATCTACATAACATAAAATTTAGATTTTAACTAATGTTAAGGGTACAAATCAGTGGCATTAAGTATATTCACAATGTTGTGCAAACATTGCATTTTTACCGTTGATTTCCACAACCTCTCATCACACTAACAGAAACTGTAGTGATTAAGAAAACTCCACATTTCCTCCCCTCTCTAGACCCTGGTAACCTCTATTCTAGTTTCTATGAATTTACTTCCTCTAGAGACATCATGTAGATGGATACTATTTAACTATATATGTTGGATTTTAGAGTAATGTCCCATATTTCTTTGGGATTTCCCAAAATTTGAGAGGAGTTGAAATAATTAAAATCTACATTTGTACCATAAAAAGAAATAAGACTTCTCTTCATTCAGGAAATTTCATCAACAGTAAAATCATTCAGACTAAAACAATTGCCATTCTATTACTGCTTGAAAAACTTGAATTTTTCTTTATGGTCACAGTTTAGAATTAATGTGTTTGGCCCTTACTCTTGCCTTTCTTTTTTAAGGAGGTAAAATTGATGTCAATAAACTAGACACAGTTCTGGGAAACATGGGGATGAGTCTCACAGACAAGGAACTTGAAGAGCTGACACAGGGCCTCCCAGTTAATGGTAAGCATCTAGACTACCATTCAGTCAGAAGATATTAATGGTAAAAAGCACAAATTCTGCAGCCAGATTCTGTGGGGCTGAATTCTGGACCTTTTGCTTAATAGGGCAGTTGTCTCCATGTTTCTGTACCTCACTTTCTTCATCTATGAAAAGGGTACATTAATAGCTCCTACTTTATAAAGTTTGTGAGGATTCAGTTATACCCACAACTGGCATATAGTAAGTGTTCCATAAATGTTCTCAACATTGTTGTTATTATTGTTATAATCATTGCTACTATTATTAAGCTCCCCTGAAAGTTTAGGCTAATGGGACTATGTATATGAACCTATTCAAAATGCTTCCTTGAAATCAAGCCATTTAGAGAAACCATGAAAAGAATGAACAAATCCTTTCTCTTGGGATGTACATCAACTTTATGGTGGTAACTTCTTGCACTGTGAATTATACACATTGCTGAGAATATCACCAGAACTGCTGAAAGGCCAGAAGGAAGCCAAAGAAAAAGAAAACAAATGGGGGAAGAGTCAGAATACAGGACCTGTGGCAATGAAAAAGAATGAAAAAAAAAATAAATAATAAAAAGAATGAAAAAGAATAAAGTCAATGAGGGAGACACAGAGAACATAATGAACATAATGAACCAGCATAATGATTAAAATTCTGTCCCCACCCCGAGTGAACCAGCGGATGGAAGACCTCTCTCTTTCTCTCTCTGCCTCTGCCTCCCTGTAACTCTACCTTTCAAATAAATCTTTAAAAAAATTCTGGCCCTCCTAAAAGTGCTTCAGATTTGCAGAAATCATGTTTCTTCCAGCTAATTTAAAATGCATAGAGAAAGGTAAGAAGACGTAGTGTACCATCCTATTGGTTAAAAAAAAAAAAAAAGTACTTCTGAAAATTACTGTAAGAATTTCTGTGTAAGGCAGCCAAATTCTTTTTTTTTTTTTTTTTTTTTGACAGGCAGAGTGGACAGTGAGAGAGAGAGACAGAGAGAAAGGTCTTCCTTTGCCGTTGGTTCACCCTCCAATGGCCACCGCGGCCGGCGCGCTGCGGCCGGCGCACCGCACTGATCCGATGGCAGGAGCCAGGAGCCAGGTGCTTTTCCTGGTCTCCCATGGGGTGCAGGGCCCAAGCACCTGGGCCATCCTCCACTGCACTCCCTGGCCACAGCAGAGGGCTGGCCTGGAAGAGGGGCAACCGGGACAGAATCCGGCGCCCCGACCGGGACTAGAACCCGGTGTGCCAGCGCCGCTAGGCGGAGGATTAGCCTAGTGAGCCGCGGTGCCGGCCAAGGCAGCCAAATTCTATTATACAAGATTTGGTACTGGACATCAATTCCCTATTCATAAGCTAAAAATAAGCTTGAACCTTTAAGAAATGTTGAATAATACTGAAGTGTGTGTATTCACAAAGAAATTCCTTTTGGAAGTATAAAAACTAGAATTTGCTAACCTGAGAAGATTCTTCCCAAAAACAAGAAATGTTGGGGCCGGCACTATGGCATAGCAGATTAAAGCCCAGGCCTGAAGTGCCAGCATCCCATATGGGCACCGGTTCTGGTCCCGGCTGCTCTTCTTCTGATCCAGCTCTCTACTATGGCCTGGGAAAGCAGTAGAAGATGGCCCAAGTCCTTGGGCCCATACACCCATATGGGAGACCCGGAGGAGGCTCCTGGCTTCTGGCTTCAGATTGGCGCAGCTCCAGCCATTGCGGCAATCTGGGGAGTGAACCAGTGGATGGAAAACCTCTCTCTCTGTCTCTACCTCTCTCTGTAACTCTGTCTTTCAAATAAACAAAATAAATCTTAACTAAAGAAAGAAATGTTTCACCTGCACTATTTCCTGCCCATGCACTCCCATTGAGAAAGCTCTTTTTTTTTTCTTTTTCCTTTTTTCTTTCTTTTTTTTCATCTTACTCAAATGACAATAGTGGCATCTTGGCCATGTCTTACTTTCTGTTTGTCAGAAACAAACTCTTTTATGGAAGACATTTTATTAATTTACTTTTTTATTTTCCCATATCTTTGGCCTCATAATACAACATGTATTTTACTCCCTTATTTTCTTTGTTGCTTGGAATTACACTAATATACAGACAATAATGATTCTGGAAATGAGAAACCAACTCTTGCTTTTAAGACCTTCTAGCTCAAAATTCTCATTTGAGATTATAATAGATTTTAACACTGTGCTTACTAGTTACATTTTCTCAATAACATAGTTTCTATTGAAAAATTTATATCCTGCTGCTAGGCAAGCAATATCCAGAAAATAAATAAGAATAAAATACTTTTTCTGATTTCTTCTGTCTAAAAACATAGTACAAATTTGAGGAAGCTAATTCCATCTCTAATGTTTCCATTTTGTGTCTTTGAAAATTGATATAACAAGTCATTGAAAATCCATTATATATAAAACTCTGTTAACTCCCAGTATGGCTTAAATCATTTATAACTTGTACATGTAATTCAAAAAGACAATGAAATATTTTCAGTTTAATTATAATACTGAATAAGTAGTGGGTATGCACCAACTTTATATGAGCGGAAATCTTCCAAACTTTAAATATTGAAATATAGTATACCCTTTTTAAAAAATATAGTTCCCATAACCTAGCTAAAAAATAGAGAATCTTCTTTTTTTTTCTTTTTTTTTTAACTTTTATTTAATGAATATAAATTTCCAAAGTACAGAATATTGATTACAATGGCTTCCCCCCCATAATGTCCCTCCAACCCGCAACCCTCCCCTTCCCCACTCCCTCTCCCCTTCCATTCATATCAAGATTCATTTTCGATTCTCTTTATATACAGAAGATCAGTTTAGCATACATTAAGTAAAGATTTCAACAGTTTGCTCCCACACAGAAACATAAAGGGAAAAATACTGTTTGAGGTACTAGGTTATAGCATTTAATCCTCATGTACAGCACACTAGGACAAGATCCTACTGGAGGAGTAAGTGCACAGTGACTCCTGTTGTTGACTTAACAAATTGACACTCTTGTTTATGGCATCAGTAATCACCCTAGGCTCTTGCCATGAGCTGCCAAGGCTATGGAAGCCCCCTGAATTCACTGACTCTGATCATTTTTAGACAAGGCCATGGTCAAAGTCGAAGTTCTCTCCTCCCTTCAGAGAAAGGTACCTCCTTCTTTGATGACCCATTCTTTCCACTGGGATCTCACTCGTGGAGATCTTTCATTTAGGTTTTTTTTTCCCCCAGAGTGTCTTGGCTTTCCATGCCTGAAATACTCTCATGGGCATTTCAGCTGGATCCGCATGCCTTAAGGGCTGTTATGAGGCCAGAGTGCTGTTAGGACATTTGCCATTCTATGGGTCTGCTGTGTATCTCACTTCCCATGTTGGACCATTCTCTCCCTTTTTTATTCTATCAGCTAGTATTTGCAGACACTATTCTTGTTTATGTGATCCCTTTGGTTCTTAGTCCTATCATTACGATCAATTGTGAACAGAAATTGATCACTGGGACTAGTGAGAAACAGTGACTCGATCAGCTCTTGTCCTGACGGTTGATGTACAATGTAATACTTTATCCATTTTAGTATTTTTTTGTTCTATTACTATTGGTTGAACTCTGTAATTAACACACAATTATTCTTAGGTGTTTAAATTTTAACTGAAAAGTGATCCCTGTTAGGAATTTGGAGAACATTATGCTGAGTGAAATAAGCCAATTCCAAAGGGACAAATACCACTTGTTCTCCTTGATAGGTGACAACTAACTGAGCACCAAAAAGGAAACCTGTTAAAGTGAAATGAACACTATGAGAAACGGTGACTTGATCAGCCCTCACCCTGACTGTTGATGAGCAGCTTAATATGTTATCCCTCTTAGTATTTTTTTTTGTTTGTTCTACTTAATACTTTTGGTTGAATACTGTAATCAATACACAATTCTTCTTAAGTGTTGAAACTTAACTGAAAAGTGATCGCTGTTAAATATAAGAGTGGGAATAAGAGAGGGAAGAGATGTGCAATTCGGGACATGCTCAAGCTGACTTACCTCAAACAGTAGAGTTAGAAACATACCAGGGGATTCAAATTCAATCCCATCGAGGTGGCATGTACCAATGCCATCTCACTAGTCCCAGTGATCAATAGAGAATCTTCTAAGATCAAAATGCTTAAAAGCATCTTATGGAAGGTACTATCTAAATATATATTCTTTATGGCTGAAAGTTTTAATATCTTGAAACAAGAAAAGTCAGTGTTACTTTGTTAATATAACAGAATTGGGAAATTAAAAACCAGATAACACCAATAACGGGGGAAAATAGGTTGAATTCTGGAGGAAATGATTATTGCTCAATTATTCTGCCTCCCTTTAATGTTTTAAAGTAATGCAATCTATATGCTTTCTTGCAGTTGATGGGAAAGTTGATATGAAAAAGGTGATGAATAAAGCAAAAACTTTCACAGGTTGGTGATAAATTACTAACACGGGCTCCAAAGTACAACAATTTATATTTTCCCATGAAAATGATTTTTTCTCAATATCCTGCCATTAGATCCAGTGGAAAGTTTGATCTTGGATTACAGTTTGAAAACAGAAAGAAAAACAATACAAAAATACCTATAAGACTGAATATTTTAAGAAATTCCACATTCTATACAGTTTTTCTTTCTAATGTATTTACCTCTATGAAATTCTCAGCAGGCACAATAAATGACACTGTGAATTTTTGAAGAATTAACATGTTTACAGCAATATTAACAAAATCATTTAGTATCTTCTTTATGAGATTATTTATATTAGCCACCTATGTGGATTAAGTGAATAGTAATAAAACTGACTTTTTTCCCCTATAATTTAAAGAGAACTTCTTCTATTCTGATTGAAGAAACAGCTAAAAAACTATTTTCTCTAAGACAGTATAATGGTTGAAGATTGTATTTTGCTTTTGCTGTTCAATTTAAGATTTAGGATTATCATTAATATGTACACCTCTCACCATCTCTTAACTTTTTACAGGTGAAAAGATCGATATCAATAACCTGGAAAAAGCACTGGAAAACATGGGTATCAAACTTTCTGAAAGAGAGCTTACAAAGCTGAAGATAACACTGCCAGTTAGTGGTAAGCTTCAAAATGCTGCGGGAACCCTCCTAACAATTAGATAGTATAAGCCAAGAAGGGAAATTTTAAAGCTTAAGAATTTAATACCTAAAAATTTGAGAAAATTTAAACGGGATTATTTTTAAAATCCTCTTGCATTAACTGAAGACTATTCTACAAAATAAATGATTTGGGCCGGCGCCACGGCTCACTAGGCTAATCCTCCGCCTAGCAGCGCCGGCACACCGGGCTTTAGTCCCGGTCGGGGCGCCGGATTCTGTCCCGGTTGCCCCTCTTCCAGGCCAGCCCTCTGCTGTGGCCAGGGAGTGCAGTGGAGGATGGCCCAGGTGCTTGGGCCCTGCACCCCATGGGAGACCAGGAAAAGCACCTGGCTCCTGGCTCCTGCCATCGGATCAGCGCGGTGCGCCGGCCACGGTGCGCCAGCCACAGCGCGCCGGCCGCGGCGGCCATTGGAGGGTGAACCAACGGCAAAGGAAGACCTTTCTCTCTGTCTCTCTCTCTCACTGTCCACTCTGCCTGTCAAAAAAAAAAAAAAAATGATTTGTACTCTTGGGAAATCTGAAAATAGAGACAGCACGTTTGACATAATGGTTAAGACACCGCCTGAGACACTTGCAGCTATACTGGGATAGCTGGGTTTGATTCTTGGCTCCAGCTCCCTATCCTAGCTTCTTGCTAATGCACACGGAGGCAGCAGGTGATGGCTTAAGAAATTAAGTTCTTCCACCCCTGTGGAAGAGAGGGATTGACTTCCCAGCTCCCAGCTCCAGCATTGGCCCATCCATGCTGTTGAAGCAATAAACAAATGAATGGGAGCCTTCCCAAACTCTCCCTCCCTCCCTCTCTCTTTCTGTCTCTCAAATAAATATTTTAATGTGAAAATCATAAAAGAGATTGATACAGTGTCTCATATTAAAGAATAAAGAGCCAGAGCAACTTGCTGCTTCGTGGGCATGAATGATATTAATGGAGCAATTGGTGACATCTGAGTAAGTTCTTAAATTAGTTAGGTGTACTGTAAGATTGATAGAAGTTAGGCAATAATGATAAATATGGTAAAATGTTCACATTTAGGAAATATTGGTGTAGAGTACGTGAGAATTCTCTCTACATTTTTGCATCTTAGTGTAAGTCTGAAATTCTATCACAGTAAAAATCCTGTAAGTTTCATATAGTGTCATAGATTTTGGTTTGAGGATCACTGAACTCTCAATTGAAATACTGCCATGATTTTATTATGATGAAAATTTAATCCAGAATGAAGATCAAAGTGTCATGAATCTTTATGTGTCAAATAGCATAACAATAATTGAACTGCTTCTGTTTTCTATTTTTTTCCAACCAATTTTGGTATTTTATACTTTTCTAAAATATAAGCCAATTCATACATGGAATATGACACAATAGTCTCTTAAATTTTAAAAGTTTTCTATAGATTCAGTTATTTTCCATCCTCCATCCTCATTCCTCATTTGTTATATTTGTACTATGCTTTATCTTTTTCTCACTTTCAGTTCCCAGCAGTTTATCAATGTTATTGTTTGTATTTCACTTATTTTCCCCCCTAGAAACCAACTCTTAGACTTACCAGTTCCTTTTCATCTGTAATTTATATTTTCTGCCTTAATTTCTGCCAGTTTGTTCCTTTTTCTACCTTTGGGATGTTGCGCATTTTTTATTGTTCTTCATGTTGAATGATTGGTTCTCATCAGCCTTTGTTGCTTTAGCCTTATTCCATTGGTTCAGATATGTCATTTTTAAAATTATCATTATGATTAAATAGCTTACAAATTACATTGTGACTTTTTTCTCCTCTATACAAATGTTGCTGAAAATAATTTTGACATTCTAAATGACTTGATTTTTTTCTTCCTATTATTTAAGCTTTTATTTTGTCATAATTTCAAGCCTATACAAAAATTTTAAAAGTGGTTTAAAGACTTCCTACATACGATTTCCAGATTTGACATTTGTTTACAGATTATCCTTTTAGCCTTATCATGTTCTCTCTCTCCCAAATACACATATACCTATGTATACACACATTTTCTGAACATTTACCTTTAAAAATCCAGAAATTATACATGTTTTAAGTTTATAAACTTGACCTCACAGTGACTTAAAAGTTTTGAGAAAATAAAAGCACATAGAAAGCTATAAAAACATTTGAACGGGCATGAAAAAGAAATGATGAAGAATTTTTTTAAAGAACTCTTTCTTAAAATAAAGATTTTATTGAGGCCAGTGCTGTAGCTCAGCAAATTAAAGTCATGGCCTGCTTCACCATCATCCCATATGGATGCCGGTTGGAGTCTCAGTGCCTCCACTTCCAATCCACCTCCTTGCTAATGTGCCTGGGAAAGCAGTGGAGGATGGCCCAAGTGTTTGGACTCCTACCACCATGTGGGAGACCTGGAAGAAGTTCCTGACTCTTGTCTTCAGCCTGACCCAGCCATTACTGTTGCAGCCATTTGGGGAGTGAACCTGCAAAGGGAAGATCTTTCTTCTTGTGTCTCCCTCTCATTCCTCTGTAACCATGACTTTCAAATAAATAAATAAATCCAGGTCTCCCAAGTGGGTGACAGTCACCCAAGCACTTGAGACGTCTCCTAGTGCTTTTCCCAGGCCATTAACTGGAGGGTGGATCAGAATTGGAGCAACTGGGATAGGAACCAGCACCCATAGGGGATGCCAGCATCTCAGGTGGGGACTTTCCCTGCTATGCCCCAATACCAGTCCCTAAAGTGCTCTTTTGAAAATAAAAAGACAACCCAATGGGAAAATGGACATTGGACACAGGATATCAACATGCATATGTGAACAGTCATGAAATGCTTGAAATACCCCGCCTCCTTTGTAAGCAATGACAAGATGTATTTTTCAATGTGAAAGGATTCTACTAAGACTCTCTTCATGGAGCAAAGTGTAACTAGTTTTGTACATTTAAAAATTTAAGCATTCCTTAACTTTGTTGCTACTTAAAGGTAAAACAGAACAAAATCTTCTAGGACAACTATTAGTCTTTTTACAATATAAGAAATACGTTCTTTTTTTATGAATTCCCTGACCGATTTCATGGTGTCATAAATCAAGTCCCACTCTGTTTCTTTAACAGATGATGGAAAGGTGCGCCAGAATAGGGTACTGAAGGGTGTAAAGTCTTTGAAAAGTGAGTAAGAATCATTGTGTACTGTACTTTTATCTAAAGTATTCAAAGTTTGCATAAGATTTTTAGTCCTATCTCCTTCCTTAGCTTCTTTTATATATTATGCTTTACACAGAAATGGTTTATATTCTTTCATATTCATAAGAAATATCATACTTGGAATTTTCCCAAGTTTTCTTCCACAAGAAATAATAGTTATCTAGATGTAAATATTCATATACAAGTATAAGATAGCAAAATTGAAATGGAGGATTAGATGCACTTCAGCATATATAGGAAAGTTATTCAACAATAGACACAGACAATCTGGGAGTCCAGCCAATAAAATCAATACTTCTTTTTGTAAATAAGAAGTTTTAGAAGTCATAGATGAGTAGACTCCAGGTCCAACTGCAGTTAAACCAGGTAACCTTCTTAAGAACTTACTGCGTAGGCTTGTCACCAACACAGATTTTAAGGAAATCTGTTTCATTTCCATTGTTACTATTGACTTTTTCTTTATTCTTAGAAAAATTAAATGGAAATTATGTTCTTATGAATATTCCAATGACAATATAAGATGCAAATTTTTGTTGTCTCTTGCTATAAATGTTATATGTAATCATTAAGTATATTAATTATATAAACATGTTTTTCATGTTTTACATTTTCAGTCTCATGTTCCTTTTCTGTTTTTCTTAAGGAGGAAAGGTTGACATAAACAACTTAGGCCCTCTTCTAGAAAATATGGATATCAAACTCACTGAAAAAGAACTTATACAGCTGAGAGACGGCCTACCTATAGAAGGTATGGTTAGTAAATACCTCTGTCAGTCCTCAAAGGGAATTTTTTTTTCAAGTCTTACCCTAAGAATCGCTAAAAACTAGATTGAACTAGTGATAAGATACATGTTTAAAATCTTAAAGAACTCTAACATTAAGAATAAGACATAGGCCGGCGCTGCGGCTCAACAGGCTAATCCTCCGCCTAGCGGCGCCGGCACACCAGGTTCTAGTCGGGGCGCCGGATTCTGTCCCAGTTGCCCCTCTTCCAGGCCAGCTCTCTGCTATGGCCTGGGAGTGCAGTGGAGGATGGCCCAGGTGCTTGGGCCCTGCACCCCATGGGAGACCAGGAAAAGCACCTGGCTCCTGCCTTCGGATCAGTGCGGTGCGCCGGCCACGGCGGCCATTGGAGGGTAAACGAACGGCAAAGGAAGACCTTTCTCTCTGTCTCTCTCTCTCTCTCTCTGTCCACTCTGCCTGTCAAAAAAAAAAAAAAAAAAAAGAATAAGACAGATACCAACTATAGCTTCTATCAGTCAACATTGTTTTAAAATTTCTAGTTACTTCAATGAAATTATATTAGGAAACAGTCAATATTATCTTTAGTTTCAGATTAGACAAGTATATGTCTAGAACACCCAGGGAAAAAGTAAAAGAACATTAGTGCAATTATTGAGGGGCAGTTATTGTGGCTCAGTGGGCTGAGATGCTCAGTGGGTTGGGATGCCTATTTCCCAGATAAAAGTGCTGATTCAAGTCCCCATTTCTCCACTTCCAATCCAGCTTCCTTCCTGATAATGTGTCTGGAAAGGCAGCAGGTGATAGTCCAAGTACCTGAATCCCTTCCACCCATGTGGGAGGCCAGGATGTATTTCCTGGTTCCTGGCTTCAGTTTGGCTCATTGCCAGTGTTTGCACTCATTTGGGAAGTGAACTAGTGAATAGAAGATTTCTCTATGTGTCTCTCCCTCTCTCTCTGGCAGTCTCCTTCAATACATAAATAAATAAATATTTTAAAATAAAATTATTGAATCTTAAATATTCCATTTTGATTCAGGTGGCTCAATACATGATAAAGATGCAAAACTCAATTACTTCTCCTAAGCTAGAAATACCCAAATAGAAATAGAAGAATGAAGTAACTGATTTATAACATCAATAAAGACTATAAAATATCTGGAAATAAATTTACCAAGAAATAAGACCTGTATAAATAAAACTTTAAAATTGTTTGTAAGATTTAATTATTTATTTATTTGAGAGGCAGAGCTACAGACTGAGAGAGGGAGAGACACAGAGAGAGGTCTTCCATTCCCTGGTTCACTCCCCAAATGGCCACAACAGCCAGAGCTGAGCCAATCCGAAGTCAGGAACCAACAGCTTCTTCTAAGTCACCCACATGGGTTCAGGGGCCCAAGCACTTGGGCCATCTTCCACTGCTTTCCCAGGCCATTAGCAGGGAGTGGGATCAGAAGTGGAGCAGCCAAAACTCTAACCGTTGCTTATATGGGATGCCAGCACCACAGGCAGAGGCTTAACATACTATATACCACAGTGACGGCCCCGAAAACTTAAATATCTTAAGGAACATAAAACATGAATAATATTCTCGTATGGCAAATTAACACACAGAAAGAGATTGTTAATTCATACTTACATGAGTCAGAGATATTACTCTATATCACATTTTTAATAATGTCAGGAATAAAACAATCAAAAATCAAATAGAGACCTGAGATGTCAGGGGCAGCTCCATTAAGTCCTTATATCTATTGTTGGGCATACCTTTCTGGCCCATAATAAGGGAAGTCTCCATGTAAAGATTACAGGATTATTTCACACAGAAAAAACTTCTAGGGGCTGGCTCTATGGCATCCACCTGCGGCACAAGTATCCCAAATGGGAACCAGTTCAAGTCTAGGCTGCTCTACTTCCAATCCAGCTCTCTGCTTATGCCCTGGAAAAGCAGTGAAAGATGGCCCAAGTTCTTGGGCCCCTGTACTCACATGGGAGACCTGAAAGAAGCTCCTGGTTCCTGGCTTCAGACTGGCCAGCTCGGGTAGTTGCAGCCATTTGGGGAGTGAACCAGCGGATGGAAGACCTTTCTCCTGTCTTTCCCTCTCTCTGTCAGTGACTCTGCCTCTCAAATAAATAAATAAATATTTAAAAAAAAAAAAGCTTTTAAATTACTAAAAACAACCAGATAAAAGTTCATGGAAATTAAATTAAATGATAGGAAACACCTATAAATAACTATTTTGAAAGCAAATGATTCTTCAATCAAAAGATATAAAGTGAGGCCAGTGCCGTGGCTCAATAGGCTAATCCTCCGCCTGCGGCGCCGGCACACCAGGTTCTAGTCCCAGTCGGGCCACCGGTTCTGTCCCAGTTGCCCCTCTTCCAGTTCAGCTCTCTGCTCTGGCCCGGGAGTGCAGTGGAGGATGGCCCAAGTGCTTGGGCCCTGCACCCCATGGGAGACCAGGAGAAGCACCTGGCTCCTGGCTTTGGATCAGCGCGGTGCACCGGCTGCAGCGTGCCAGCTGCGGCAGCCATTGAGGGGTGAACCAATGGCAAAGGAAGACCTTTCTCTCTCTCTCTTTCTCTCTCTCACTGTCCACTCTGCCAGTCAAAAAAAAAAAAAGATATAAAGTGGTGGAATAGCTGTGTCTATATTTCCACTAAACCAGGGTCTTTTTGCTTTTTTACTTGTTAAATTTCTTGTTTGGTGAAGTACTAAGCCTTTTTACTATAATATAATTTTAAAATGTTATCGCAACCTTCCCCCATATCAAAACAAAGAAGAAAAATAGAGGGAAAGAGGGCAGGAGGGACAGAGGGGAAGGGAGAGAGGGAGGAAGGAAATATTATGTTGTTAGAATTGTATCTGCAAATCATATTGAATCTGTTAAAAACTAAATAAAAATTAAAATTAAAAAAATTTTTAAAAAGGGGGAAAAAAAGAACAGAACCCAATGATATGCTTCTGATAAATGATTAAAACCAGTTTTTGAGGACACACCCAGACCAAAAGTGAAGGGATGGGTGCAAATAGAAACCAAGAGAGAGTAAGAGTAACTATACTTATGTCAGGCAAAATAGACTTTACAACAAAAACTATAAAAAGAGACAAAGAAGTCATGGGATGGTTTGCGGGTAGGATGGTGGTTATGGGGGGAAAACCGCTATAATCCACAAGTTGTACCTTCAAAATTTATATTTATTAAATAAAAGTTTTCTAAAAAGAAAAGAAAGAAAAAAAGAAACCATATTAAGAATTTTTCTGCCAACAACAATGGTTGAATCTAGCAATCAAGCAGTAGTAGTATCGGAAAATTCAAAATGGAAATTAAACAACACACTCCTGAGCAATCAATGAATCAAAAATTAATTACAGGGGTTCAGCATTGTGGCGTGGCAGGTAACGCCACCACCTGCAATCTGGCATCCTGTATGGGCCCCAGTTCATGTCCAGATTGTTCTGCTTCAGATCCAGCTCCCTACTGATTTTTCTGGGAGAGCAACAGAGGATGGTTCAAATGCTTGGGCCCCTGTATGCACATGGGATACTTGGAGGAAGCTCCTGGCTATGGCTTCAGCCTGGCTCAGCCCTAACTGTTGTGCCCATTTGGGGAGTGGACCATCAGATGGAAGATCTCTCTCTCTCTCTAACTCTGCCTTTCAAATAAATAAATAAATGAAAGAGAAAGAGAAAGAGAAAGAAAGAAGGAAAGAAGGAAAGAAAGAAAGAAAGAAAGAAAGAGAAAGAGAGAGAGAAAGGGAGGGAGGGAGGAAGGAAGGAAGGAAGGAAGGAAGGAAGGAAGGAAGGAAGGAAGGAAGGAAGGAAGGAAGGAAGGAAGGAAGAAAAGGAGGAAAGGAGGAAAGAAGGAAAGAAGGAAAGAAAGAGACTAATACCAGTGCTTCCCAAACTCTTCCAAAATATTAGGGAGGGAGTACTTCTGAATTTATGTTTTAAGGCCAGGATTAGCTTCATATCAAAATCAGTCAAGGAGCGTACAAGAAAATAGTATTACAGGTCAATATCCCTAATAAGCATAGATGCAAAATCATCAAACAAATACTAGGAATCCAAATTCATCAAAACTGGAAAAAAAGTATTCCTGCGGAGAGCGTTTGGTCTAGTAGTTAAGAAAATAGTTAAGATGTCCACATCCATATCAGAGTACCTGGGTTCAGTAATCAGCTCTGCTGCTGAGTGTAACTTCCTGCTAATGCAGACACTGAGAGGCAATGCTGATGACTCTGCTGACTGGGCTGCTGACACCCACAGACAGACCTGCATTAAATCCCTGGATTTTGTCTTTGACACACCAGGTGGGGGATGTTGTGAGCATCTGGGGAATGAACCAGTGGATGAGAGCTCCCCCAAATAAATAAATAAAATAAATCATTTGCAGTGATTAAGAAGGATTAATACTAAGGATGTAGGAATAATTCAGCATAAGCAAATCTTTAACTGTGATACACTACCTAACAGAATGTAGGACAAAAAACCACCTGACCATTTCATAAGTGCACAAAACACATTTGAAAAAATTCAATACTATCGCATGATAAAAATTCTTAACAAATTGGATATAGAAGGACTGCATATTTTATAAAGGTCATATATTACAAGCCACAGCTAACATTATACTCAGCAGTGAAAAGTTGAAAGCTTTTATTCTAAAATTATGTACAGGACAAAGATTTTCATTCTTGTCATTTCTATTCAATATAGTCCTGCAAGTAATACCCAGAGTAAATAGGCCAGAGAAAGAAAGAAAAGCCATATAAATCAGAAAGACAGTAGTTAAATTGTCACTGTTTGTAGATGATATGGTCTTATATAAAGAGTACACTAGGACTCCACAAAAAAAATAAAATAAAATAAAAAACCTGCAAGAACTAATAAAAGAATCCATGGCTGGTGCCACAGCTCAATAGGCTAATCCTCCGCCTACGGCGCCGGCACATCAGGTTCTAGTCCTGGTTGGGGCGCCGGATTCTGTCCTGGTTGCCCCTCTTCCAGGCCAGCTCTCTGCTGTGGCCAGGGAGTGCAGTGGAGGATGCCCCAGGTCCTTGGGCCCTGCACCCCATGGGAGACCAGGAGAAGCACCTGGCTCCTGGCTTCGGATCAACGTGGTGCGCCAGCTGCAGCGGCCATTGGAGGGTGAACCAACGGAAAAAGGAAGACCTTTTTCTCTGTCTCTATCTCTCACGGTCCACTCTGCCTGTCAAAAAAAAAAAAAAAAAAAAAAAAAAGAATCCATAAAGTTGCAGGATTAAATATCCACATATAAAATAGTGGCATATATGTAACTATTAAAAAAGAAATCAAGATGCCAGTATATGTTAGCGTTATGGAGGACTACATAAAAAATTTAATATTTCCCTGAAACATGAAAAGTGGGTTAAATGATGGAATAGTGTTGGGAAATAAATTTCAATCACTTATAACAACTAATAAATATTCTTTCATATTGACTATTCAATAAATACAGGAATATGTATTTAATTTACAATTATGGAACATGCAACCAGGATAACTATAAATAAAGTAGCAAAAATACAGTTATTTTTGAGAAATTGAACCCAAGGGTAAGAGATTGGAACTGGGTGGAAGGGAGAATTTCTGTCTGTATTTTGTATTGATTTTTAACTCCCTTTTAATATAAGTGGAACTTTATATAATAATGAAGTAAGTCTAAAATTCAAATTAAAGAAAAATAAAATCAAATGTTATTTGATCGATACCATTTCTGAATTTATAAACCCTCACTGACTCCATATAATCTAGTGATAAAGACTAAGCTCCTTTAAATATCTTACAAGTCCCTCTCTCATTGAGGGACCCACTTAGCTCTATTGATTGAATGTACTTTCCCTAATCTGTTCTGCCATGTTGAACTGCCTATAGTTCTCCATACATTGCATATGTGTGTACTGTATATATTGCACTTAGATTCTTTTTTCATATTCATCAGCCTTTCTTCCACGTAGAAGACCCTTTCTAGCCTCTCCTTCTCTCCTTTAGTTAATTCAAATATTTTCATATGCTCAGATTCTCTTTGCTTTAGATTACATACACTTACCATATAGGTTGCATTAGTGACTACTGTCAGAGCTCAACAGCAACACCTGAAGTAAGGGTTATCAGACAGCTGACCAATGCTAATAGGTCAAAAAGAGCAGGAAAGATGACATGCCTTTACTCTCCCAATACATCTTTTTGCAAATATGATGATAAGCTTAAATTCTTGAAATCTGGAGATTTAATATGTGTGGGCAAAAATATATGAATGGAATTTATCTAGACTTTTATCCAAATATACATCCTTCACATATGTTTTTCTGATCTCATGATTGCCTGTCTCAATTGGCTCTCTTCGTAGCTGATGGAAGAGTTGATCTGAATAAGATAATGGATAGAATAAAAGCAATTACAGGTGAGTGAGAAAAATTTCGATAACAATTACATTTTTTCTTCATGCCTTAATTGCCATGCTAATTCTAGCATTGTGCCCTTTATTTGTTTAGTGTTTTATATACAATAGCCCAGAAATTGGGGTGTTTTCTGATACACTTTTTGGTAATACACTTGCTTTTTCTTATTTTAAGGCAGTCAAAATCTATAATAAAAGTTGAAATGAATCTTTGGAAAAGAGCCTAGTGGTCACTTAAAGGAGAGATTTTAGATTCTACATGTTGGTAGAATTATTAAAATAAGCCATTTGCAACTTACTAATTGGAGAGATACATTAATATTGATTTATTGTTGTTATGAGTGTGTTAGTTCAAGCTCTTCAAGAAGCAGACAAGACAGGATTAACTGTGCAAGGACGTTATTAGAAGAAATTATGTGTATAAGAAAAAAGGGAGGGAGGCAGGAAAAGCTGGGAAACTGTCAGACTACAATGGAAATCTAGTCCCAGGTGCAGAAAAAGAGAAGGAGATTGAGAAGGAGGAAGAGGAGAAAGTGGATGAGGAGAAGGAGGGATGGGGTGGGGGAGAGATATTGATTGGTTAGAAACATCCCAGATTTCCATTGCAATCTAAGGAAGGTCTAGAAAGACATTCAAGGAATCATCTAGATGTCAACCATCCCATATCTCCTAGGAACAGGTCTCTCGATATCTCTGCTGTAATCAGTCAGTGACCAAGAGAAGCCTGTGGCAGTGGCCTTAGTGCAGATTCGAAAGTGAACATCAAAGCAGTAACTGCAGCCCCTGGTCAACTATGTTTTCTGTAGTTGGAAGTCCTACAGGCACATGAGGCTACCACTGAGAGTGACCTCTCTTATCAGACTTTTGAAAACAAATTGTGTTTATTTGATAACATTGTCTCTGTTCTTGCCCCATCCCATCCTCATTAGTTTAATTATACCCACTTTGTTGTACTTAAATGGCATATATGTCATTATTTTAATCTTTTTTTATTAAGGAGGGAAGGTTGATGTCAATGATGTGAAAAGTGTTCTGGAAAACATGGGGATAGAACTCAAGGATGAGGAATTCTTGGAACTGTTGAAAAACCTGCCACTAGATGGTAAGAGTTTCAAATACCAACATAACCAAAAAGAGCTTTTTCTAAAAACTTATCTCTGCTTTCTAAGCTTCAGAATACAAAAAGTTTATCTCCAAAGTAGAATGAACATTTACACTTGACATGAGTCCCTGTGTATTTATACTTTCAGATTGGGAAACAATGTCCACATTAGGATGAATCATATCATTAAGGGTTAAACAAAGAAGAAGAAATGGTTAATCTGGGATTTGTAGAAAGAGGAACAGGGTTGATAGTTGATATTCTGCAAATAAAGGCAGAATTTGGGCAGAAATTTTTTAAAAGTATATGTGTTTGAGTGTAATTTCTCATGAAAATTTTTGAAAAATCAGTTTTCCTAGGAGTAGTCTAGTGATTCTCCATTTTTTTGTGACTTGAATCATGTCTTTTCTTACAGATGATGAAAAAATCTTCCAAAACAGGTTGCTGGAAAGTGTGAAATCTCTTAAAAGTGAGTGAAAAACATAATGATTATAAAGACAAATATAGGATTCTCATATTTTACCGTCCAATGTATTAAATCAATAAATACTATCATATCTCCTGAGTACAAAGATCCCACTAAAGATCAAAATAACTGATCTTCTGTTTTTACATCTAAGAATGAAGTTCTCCACACTCTCAATATTTTCCAAATTTTTCAACAAAAGAAACAAAACTTTAAGTTTATATAATAAAAAGTGACAGAAAAGATTAGTAATAATTTAGAGAATTTAATTTGAAGAAGATAAAACTAAATTGAGAATTCAGCCATCAAAAGTCAACCTACATATTGTTCATAAGTAAAGAATATTTGCCCCAGAATTAAAATTCATTTACTTCTATATTGGTTTATTTTAAATTTATAGATAAATTTGCATGTATTTAACTCATGCAATATGATGTTTTGAAGTATATATACATTTTGGAATGACTATATCTAGTTAACATATGCATTATCTCATATAGTTATCATTTCTATGGTGTGAACTCTTCACTCTGTTAACATTTTCCAAGAATAAAATATATTGCTGTTAACTATAGTCACCATATTGTACAATAGCTCTCTTGAACTATTTTTCTCCTATCTACATGAAATTTTATGTTCTTTGACCAACATCTCTCCAAACATTCCTCCAACTACTCAGCTCCTGATAACTACCATTGTACTCTCTAATTCTGATCAACTTTTTTAATCTTTAATCTTTTAATCTTTAATCTTTCTGTGCCTGGTTTAATTCACATAACTTAATTTCCTCCGGAGTAATTCATATTGTTGCAAATAACAGGATTTCCTTCTTTAAAAGGCTGAACATTATTCCATGGTATATAAAGTATATACCACCTTTTTTATCCATTTATCCATTGATTGACACTTAGATATAATGCTATAATAAACATAAGCATACATGGAAGTGGAGTGTGAATCGTCATACTGATTTCATATCTTTGAATATGTATATGCCAGAGTAGTGGGATTGCTGGATCATGTTAGTGTTATTTTTAATGCTTTGAAGAATGTCCAAATTGTCTCCATAATGGCTATAATCCTTAACATTTATAGTATTTAACATTTTGTATTTTGTAGGCTGGACTCTATATTCAAAAGAGTGACTCGAATTTTAACTTCATAGTTAACTTTTTTATGAGTATAAAGTCTCTAGTCTCCTTCCTAAAATTAGTGTTTTCATAACTATGAGAATAAATTCTAATGTCTCACTATAAAAAATTATAGGTAAGGGGCTGGCATTGTGGCATAGCGGGTAAAGCCGCCACCTGCAGTGCCAGCATCCCATATGGATGCTGGTTCAAGTCCCGGTTGCTCCACTTCCCATCCTTCTCTCGGCTATGTCCTGGGAAAGCAGTAGAAGATAGCCCAGGTCCTTGGCCCCCTGCACTCACATGGGAGACCCAGAAGAAGCTCCTGGCTCCTGGCTTTGGATCAGTGCACCTCCAGCTGTTGCGGCCAACTGGGGAGTGAACCAGCAGATGGAAGACCTCTCTCTCTCTCTCTCTCTCTCTCTCTCTGCCTCTTCCTCTCTCCCTATGTAACTCTTCCAAGTTAAAAAAAAAAAAAGATAGGTAAACAAAGTGATGTTTATGTTAATTAGCTTGATTCCAATTTGTGTACATATATCAAAACATCATATTATATACCATAAATATTTAGTAGGTGTCAATTTAAAGCAATATTAATTTAAAAAATAGATTTTTCTCACATTTTACAACAAACATTACTAGCCCTAGGGTTTCTAAATAAGTTTTAAAGGATACATGACCTCCCTGAAATTATAATCACCTTAGCATTGCATACAGTTCAAAAAATTCGCAATAAGGGGGCCAGCATTGTGATCAGTAGGTTAAGCTGCATCCCATATATGTGCGCCAGTTCAAGTGCCGTCTGCTCCACTTTGTATCCAGCTCCCTGTTAATTGTGTGCCTGGGAAGACAGCAGAAGATGGCCCAAGTGCTTGGGCCCCTGCTGCCCACACGAAAGACCCAGATGGAATTGCAAGCTAATGGCTTTGGCCTGGCCCAGTCCAGGTTTTTGTGGCCAATTGGGGAGTAGACCAGTGGATGGAAGATTCTCTCTCTCTCTCTCTCTCTCTCTCTCTTTCTCTCTCTCTCTTCCCCTCTCTATCTCTTTCTTGCTTGCTCTTTCTCTTGTCTCTCCATCTCTCTCTCTCTCTGTAACTCCTGACTTTCAAGTAAATAAATAAATCTTTAAAAAATTTAAAAATTCACAGTGAGAAATTGTGTTTCTTGGAGTTTTATAAGTTTTTAAGGGATTGTCTCCTTAGGTGGGAATGTCAGTGTCAATAATTTGAAGCCTATACTGGATAATATGGGAATCAAGCTAAAGGATAACGAACTTAAAGATTTGACTCAAAATCTCCCTGTTGGTGGTAAGCAAGTTTTCCATATATCATAGTTGTGCTATGAGAGTTTAAGCATAAGAACCATTGGCAATAGAAATCCTAGGAAAAGTAACACTAGAAATAGTGGTCTAATCTGACACAATCAAGAAGGTATAAATGACAACAAAGCATACAAACAGCCAGTTATCAAAGTCAACCTTAAAACACTGCACTTTGTATGTATATCTTATATATTATTATGTCTTATATATATTTATATATATATTCTTATGTCGTATATATATGTCTTATATATTCTCATAACCAATGTTATGTTCAGTAATTGGTAGTCTTCCACACTTTGGACAAAAAAAGAAATGTAGCTCTTGAGATAAATTTGAATTTCTTCCTAACACATGTGAGTTTGAGATATTATAGAACTGCAAGTAAAATTTACATGATTCAAATGTGACTTTATATAAGATGCTTAGGATAGTTTCTAGCAGATAATGTATGAAGATTATTACCTTTATTCCCATACTCTCTTTCATAATATTTTGTGTGTTTTTATGTCACGTGACTCTGACCTTCTCTTACAGTTGATAAGAAAATTTCTCTAGAAACATTGATGAATAAATTGAAAATTTTTACAGGTGAGTGAGAAGTGAAATCTGGTATTTCAACCTTTCATATTTTTTATTTTTCAATGATTTTTCTAGTATCTTATGAAATCTAAAGTTTTATAGTGAAATAGAATGAAATATCCAAGGCTCCTCAGATTGATAAAAATCATGAAGATTTTTTACAGTAAGACATAAGACTGAAAGTCAACTTGAAATTCCCTGGTCTCTGCTGTTTTTGCCAATGCTATCCTTTGTTTCACCAATGTTTAAATAAACATTATCTAGAAGCATATAGAAAATGTCATGATGGAGCTTAGAAATAATCAAGATAATATATTCACTAAAATAAATAATTCTCACCAAAACAATCAAACATTTTTGAAGAATAATTTATATAAGAATTAGAATTATCTTAATTCACTAATCAGATTTTATTTTGGAAGTTGTCTTTCCCAAACCTAGCAAAGACTCTCATTCTCTCATTAATGTATATTAAGCCAATAAATATAAAACACACCCAGTGATCCTACAGTTGACACTTCACTTTGAAAACTAGGGTGTAATTAACTTGCATAAAACATATTTTCTGACTTGAGATAATACCATAGGATCTAAAATTCATATGTCTTCTATCTTCTCTTTTAAAAGGTGAGAAGGTTGATTCTAGTGGCCTGAAAAGTACCCTGAGGGACCTGGGGATTGAGCTCACAGATAAGGAACAAGAGAAGCTGCTGGAAACCCTATCAACTGATGGTGAGCCATCATAGAGATTCATTAAGGGTTTCTAGAAACATCATTTGTTTCTGTGGGAAAATCTCTAACTCTTTTTCTGCTTGTTTTCCTCTAAAATGTGAAGTAAGAAAAACACTAAATAAATTAAATCCTAAATTATATAGCAACCTTATCATTGTCATTTGGAGTTTATATTCTAAATTAAGAAATCTATAGACAGAAGTTGACATTAACAGAGAAACATTATTATCCTTAGGCCTCTAAATTGCTTATAGTATAAAAGGAGAAAAAGAAAAGAGAGAGAATATGAAATTTATCATAAAATTAAATATAGAAAAAAATAAAAGAAAGGAAGCTATACTTCTGTTGGAACAAGTAGACTCTCTCAGGTACTAATAGCAATATTTGTAACAATCAGAAACATTTCCCTAACTTAATTAATTACATCAAATGAAAGAATAACAGTTAGAGACAATTCTAAAAATGTTCTTTCTGGAATTATTTATACCATTTGAGTAATATAATTTTAGCTTTACCATTAAATGAATTGTGGTTTTTCTTATAGCTTCTGGAAAAATATATCAGAAGAGGTTACTGAAGGCTCTTAAGTCTCTCGAGGGTAAGTAGGTAACTCAGTTAAAAGACAGATTATTTGACATTTCTCAACTTAACACCATTAAATTATGGCTCCTCAATTTTGTAGTTTCTTATTTCTGGTTCTCAATCTATCTACGCTTGAACTAATAACATGTATCTTATGTTACAGAAAGTTCCATACATTCTCATTTTTTTTTCAACTTTATCCCCCTCCCCCATCTTGTCACTAATAGGTATTTAATTTCAGCTATTTAATTGACTTTATATACTTGGCAAGTCTGTTTATTGAAAATTTTATTACATAAAATTACTTTTTTGTCTTGTTTTATTTTGATGGAATTTATGGTCACTGCGACAGTTAAAGCCCAATTAAGGAAACAGTTATTATGTGTGACAGAATAATGGGCTTATTATGAGGACAAGACTATGCAATTGTGAAAGCTGGTGAAGAAATCTTTTTTTAAGTCTGCTGCCTTATTTTAGTGGTGGGCCTGATGTTCTGAAACCATGGTAGTAGCAAGGCCAGAAGACAAAGGAAAGCTGTACATGAAAGGGTGGGAAGGACAGAACAAAATATAACTCATGGGGAAAATTTGGAATCCACGTCCATCTCACTTCCCCTACCCTTAAGAGTATGAGTGACCTGCGGAAGAAAGTGGTACTGCTGCGTGGCCATGACTAGGACAATGAAGCAGATGTGGCAAGAGCAGGAGGTTCTGTAGGCCTCGCTTCTTCCCAGTGACAACCTGGTGAGCCAGGAGACAGGAGCATCGTGAGCTGTAGTGGCACCTGGACCCCTTACCCTGACTCAGAGTGTAACAGCTGCTTCCCTTGTGCCTTTCAAATCTCATGCAAATTTTTCTGAGGCATCCAGAACTGTACAGGGAAGGTAATTTGTAGGAACATAATTATTGTTCAGTTGATTTGACACAGTAAAACTACCATCATCTCTCACCTTGGTGATTTAACACTCTTAGATCCCTTTTTAGCCTTCCTTATCTTTAAAATAAAAACAGAACAACTGTCTTTCATTCAACCAAAACTACACTAATCCTTTCCTTAGTAGATGTTACAAAATCCTTGGACCCCTTACCTACCTAGGTCATGTTTATTTCTTTTCTAGCTGAGTCACATTCCTCCTGTAATTTAAACACTGTGATATAAGGCTAACTACTGTAACAAAACTTATATTGCTAGCAGGGCAATGGAAGAGGAAGAAAAAATAATTCATTAAAACATTAAAAATATTTATATAAAAGTAAGGTAGAAATAGTCATGAGTATTACAGTCCCTGAGCAGTCTGGGCCATTGATCCTGTGATTGCATCTATATCATTTGTTGCACTAACCATCTTTTCATATTATCTCTGTCCTTATCAGTGTTTTAGTTCTCCTACCTCCATGCTTAGTGATTGATCCTTTTATTCTTGAAGGGTAAGGGTACTTAGCATCCTGTGTGAATTGAACTGCATTGTGTAATTTTCAATTAACTTAAACAGGACAAGAAAATACTAAGACAAGTCCTAGAGTCCTAGATTCCAGACAATTTTTTTTGTATTTCTATTGTATGAAGGCAGCCCAGTTTCCTTTTTTTTTTAAGATTTAGTTATCTGTTTTTACAGCTAGAGACAGGGAGAAACACAGAAAGAGAGAGAGAGGACAGAGAGAGATCTTCCATCTACTGGTCCACTCCCCAAATGGCCACAACAGCTGGAGCTGGGCAGCTCTGAAGTCGGTAGCCAGGAGCTTCTTCTGGGTCTCCCACATGGGTGCAGGGACCCTAACACTTGGGCCATTCTCTGCTGCTTTCACTGGCTCATTAGCAAGGAGCTGGTTTGGAAGTAGAGCACCCAGGACTTGAACCAGCACCCATATAGGGTGCTAGTACTGCAGGCAGCAGCTTTACCTGCTACGCCGCAGCGCCTCCCCTCTTTTGCAATTTCCTTTTGATGGCATGCTCTGTCACTACAATCAGTATGATTATGTGTTGATTTATGGAAAAAAGGGAAGCCAAATTGGTACAGATTCCATTTTTTGTTTTTCTTCCTTAGCCTACTATAAGGAATCCTTTGTGAAATCTCGTTTTAGGTAGAAAGAAGGCAGTATAGGAGAAGTGGGCATGATGAGCAGGGTTCTCAAAAGACTCTACAGCATCTTTATCACCTTAAAAGGGTTGTCTTAAATTGTCCTAGACAACAGGACCTTTGAAATTTCCACAAACTGGCAGGATTTTGGAATTTTGTTTACTTTAATTTTCTACCTTTTGACATGCCTGAGTCTTACCAAGTTGTTTAGAGCAGTTGTTACTTCTTACTCACCAAGTCCAATCAGCATTTCATCATAGGCATAATAAATTAACATGATACCTTGTGCAATAAAAAAGCAATCAAGACTCTATTGACTAGATTATAACCTAGGACTTCAGAGTTGATATAGCCCTGAGATAGGATAGTGGGGCTATATTGTTGGTCCTGCCAGCTGAAAGAAAAGTTCTCGTGGGTTATAAGTTTAAAGGGGGAAAAGGATTTACCTGATCTAGTAATCGCATACCAAGTACCAAGAGAGTTGTTGATTTTCATCAGTAACAAAACCACATCTGGAATATATCTGCTATTGGAAAGAACTCCTAATAAAATATAATAATAAATTATCATTCTCCAAGGTCTATCTTCTACAAAGACCAAATAGGCAAATTGAATGGAAATATGATAGAAATCACTATACTTGCCACCTTCCAATTTTTGATGGTGGTACTAATCTCTGCTATGCCTCCAAAATGTGGTATTGCCTTTGGTTTATGAATCTGTTAAATAAGAATAGTTCTGAGGGCCAGCATGTGGCATAGCGGGTAATGCCGCCATCTACAGTTCTGGCATCCTAGATGGGCATCAGTTCGAGTCCCGGCTGCTCCACTTCTGATCAAGCTCTCTATTATGACCTGGAAGGGCAACAGAGGATGGCCCAAGTGCTTGGGTCCCTATGCGTACATAGAAGACCTGGAAGAAGCTCCTGGCTCCTGGCTTGGATCAGCACAGCTCAGGCCATTGCGGCCATCTAGGGAGTGAACCAGCAGATGGAAGACCTCTCTCTCTCTCTACCTCTGCTTTTCAAATAAATAAAATAAATCTTTAAAAAAAGAATAATTCTGCCATAATGTCACTCACTCCACCAGTCAGGGGACATTTGAGGGAATTTTGTCAGTTGCTCAGTATATGTATTCCAACTCTGTATTTGGAGTTGGGGGAGGGAGGGAGGGAGGCGAAAATCAGAGTTTGATGATCCTCCAGACCCACTTCATGATAGAACCGAGCCAGAGCCCCATTATGATGACCATCTCATCTTTATAAGCCCCTAGATGGTGTGCCTCAGTTGCATTTTATGCTTCCAGGAATTAGTGCTGCTTCAGAGCCAGTTTACAATACCTCCCGAAAAGTCTGCTTTTATCTCTTTGTCCAGTGCCCAATTGTATGAGTAAATATCTACTGATTTTATCTTCAAGGAGACCCTGTTTTCCATTCAACCAAGGGGTTTTGTTTTTTGTGAACTGGCTCAAGGCCTGGAAATTGATTAAGAAGCTATGATTCTATTTTGTTATTGTTCAAGTCAAACTTTTGTCAACCCTCCCCCCTCCCAACTAAGGCTTTATTTGCTTAATCAAACCAAGAAAGACTTTATTAAGATGCCCATTTATTTCAGCTGTAGGGATAGTGACAATTTAGTCAATGTCAGCTATTTCAGAGATAAATCTTTCTGATCATAGCCTTGACTTTTTTGCCTATTGTTGTAATTATATACGTCTTGTGTCTTTGGCAGTGAAATGCCACCAGTTTGGCCCCTGCCAATTCAGGATTCTGAATCCAGAGATCTCAGTTATGGCAGCATCTCCTACTATTATTTCTACTCTACAGAGAATATCTACCACCTTAGAGGTTGTCAAGGGTGCTGGTACTCTGGTATCTTCTAGACCAGAGGTCAGAAAACTATGGCCTATTGGCCAGTGCAGCATGCTAGCGGTTGTGAAAATAATGATACAGTTTTATTGACACATAGCCACTCTTTTCTGTTTCTATTCTATCTGTAGCTACTTTTACACCACAATGGCAGAGATATGGTTGCTAAAGAGACTACATGGCCAGCAAATCCACAGCTGTAGCCCTCCTCTAGACATTCCAAGAAAACATAGCTAGAAGGTGGATTATCAGGTCTTACATGATAAATCTACTCCAACACTTTAATGTGCCTACACTTTTATACACTCTTTATAGCTAAGCTGTTCAAGACCCTACCCAATAGCCAAACATAGCCTTAGAGCACTTAAAATGTGGCTACTCCAAATTGACAATTGCAGTAAGTGTAAAATATATACTAGGTTTCAAAGACCTAGCACAAAGCTATGTAAAATAGCTGGTTAATAATATTTATTTAGTTATGTTTTAAAATTATAGTTTTCTTAGCTATATTGGGTTAAGTGAAATATACTGTTAAAATTTATTTACCTATATTTATTTTTATTGTGGCTACCAAAGAATTAAAAACTATATATTTGTCTCAATTTAAAAATTTAATTGTAGTTTTATTGGACAGCACTACTATGTAATATACAAAGTAATTTTAGACATTTGAATTTTTTTAAGATTTGTTTCTTTCTTTATTTTTTAACTTTTATTTAGTAAATATAAATTTCCAAAGTACAGTTTATGGATTACAATGCCTGCCCCGCCCATAATTTCCTTCCCACTCACACTCCTCCCATCTCCCGCTCCCTCTCCCATTCCATTCACATCAAGATTTATTTTCAATATCTTTATATACAGAATATCGATTTAGTATATATTAAGTAAAGATTTCATCAGTTTGCACCCACACAGAAACACAGAGTGTAAAATACTGTTTCAGTACTAGTTATAGCATTACTTCACATTGGAAAACACATTAAGGACAGATCCCACATGAGGAGTAAGTATACAGTGACTCCTGTTGTTGACTTAACAATTTGACACTCTTGTTTATGGCATCAGTAATCTCCCTAGGCTCTAGTCATGAGTTGCCAAGGCTTTGGAAGCCTTTTGAGTTCGCTGACTTCGATCTTATTCAGACAGGGTCTTAGTCAAAGTGGAAGTTCTCTCCTCCCTTCAGAGAAAGGTACCTCCTTCTTTGATGGCCCATTCTTTCCACTGGGATCTCACTCGCAGACATCTTCCATTTAGGTCTTCTTTTTTTGTTTTTCCAGAGTGTCTTGGCTTTCCATGCCTAAAATACTCTCATGGGCATTTCAGCCGGATCCGCATGCCTTAAGGGCTGATTCTGAGGCCAGAGTGCCATTTAGGACATCTGCCATTCTACGAATCTGCTGTGTATCCCGCTTCCCATGTTGGATCGTTCTCTCCCTTTTTGATTCTATCAGCTAGTATTAGCACACACTAGTCTTGTTTATGTGATCCCTTTGGTTCTTAGTCCTATCATTATGATCAATTGTGAACTGAAATTGATCACTCGGACTAGTGAGATGGCATTGGTACATGCCACCTTAATGGGATTGTATTGGAATCCCCAGGCACGTTTCTAACTCCACCATTTGGGGCAAGTCGATTGAGCATGTCCCAAATTGTACATCTCCTACCTCACTTATTCCCACTTTTATATTTAACAGGGATCACTTTTCAGTTAAAATTTAAACACCTAAGAATAATTGTATGTTAATCACAGCTTTCAACCAATAGTACTAGAACAAAACAAAGAGAAAATACTAAAATGGATAAAGTATTACATTGTACATCAACAGTCAGGACAAGAGCTGATCAAGTCACCGTTTCTCATAGTGTCCATTTCACTTCAACAGGTTTCCTCTTTGGTGCTCAGTTGTCACCGATCAGAGAGAACATATGATATTTGTCCCTTTGGGACTGGCTTAATTCACTCAGCATGTTGTTTTCCAGATTCCTCCATCTTGTTGCAAATGACCGGATTTCATTGTTTTTGACTGCTGTATAGTATTCTATAGAGTACACGTCCCGTAATTTCTTTATCCAGTCTACTGTTGATGGGCATTTAAGTTGATTCCAGGTCTTAGCTATTGCGAATTGAGCTGCAATAAACATTAAAGTGCAGACAGCTTTTTTGTTCACCAATTTAATTTCCTTTGGGTAAATTCCAAGGAGTGGGATGGCTGGGTTGAATGGTAGGGTTATATTCAGGTTTCTGAGGAATCTCCAGACTGACTTCCATAGTGGCTTAACCAGTTTGCATTCCCACCAACAGTGGGTTAGTGTCCCTTTTCCCCCACATCCTCTCCAGCATTTATTGTTGGTAGTTTTCTGAATGTGTGCCATTCTAACTGGGGTGAGGTGAAACCTCATTGTGGTTTTGATTTGCATTTCCCTGATTGCTAGTGATCCTGAACATTCTTTCATGTGTCTGATGGCCATTTGGATTTCTTCTTTTGAAAAATGTCTAATGAGGTCCTTGGCCCATCTCTTAAGTGGGTTGTTTGTTTTGATGTTGTGGAGTTTCTTGATTTCTTTGTAGATTCTGGTTACCAACCCTTTATCTGTTGCATAGTTTGCAAATATTTTTTCCCAATCTGTTGGTTGCCTCTTCACTTTCCTGACTGTATCTTTTCAAGTATTCTTTATTTATTTGAAAGTCAGAGTTACACAGAGATAGAAGGAATGGCAGAGAGAGAAAGGAAGAGAGAGAGAGAGAGAGAGAGAGAGAGAGAGAGAGATCTTCCATCCACTAGTTCACTCCCCAACTGGCTGCAATGGTCGAAGCGGCACAGATCTGAAGCCAAGAGCCAGGAGCTTCCTCTAGGTTTTCCCATGTGGGTGCAGGGGCCCAAGGACTTGGGCCATCCTCTACTGCTTTCCCAGGCCATAGCAGAGAGCTGGATCAGAAGTGGAGCAGCCGGTCTCGAACCGGCACCCATATTGGATACCGGCATTGCAGGTGGCGGCCTTACCCACTACGCCACAGTGCTGGCCTGGACATTTTAATGTCACTTAATGTAGGCCACTTTTAGGTCCAAATTTCAGTCAAATAACTGAGAAAACTTTTAGAACCATTCTAGCCACTTGTGTTAACCCAAACAATCCATAATCTCTGCTTGTGGTATATGTATATCATCAAATTCAGCTCATTCTTACATTGTATTTTCCTACCCTAATCCAACACTCTTGGGATCCTCTCTATCTATATAAATTGGCAAAATATTATAATTATTTAAGAGAGAGTAACTTTTTTCAAGTCAGACTTTGTTTCTTACTAGTAGGAGCCTGCCAGAAACCTTGATTATGTAGGTCTAGAAGCAAGGAGAGATTATGAGGAGAGATCATGAAGAAAACCAGCAGTCTCATGCAAAGCCTCCCTCAGGGATGCATTGAACTGTTTCTCAGGCAAGAGGAAACTAATTTGTTGAGAAGAGGAAAAGGGACAACTTTCACCAGCAAAATAAGTTTGACATAAATTAGAGGTGCAATGTTACCTGATTCATCAGAATCTGCCTATGTTGCTATTCCAAGAGACCCTAAAATTTGAAATTTTCATTTAATTTGAATTTTAAGTTTGGTTAAACTTTGGGTTTTGTTTTAAAAATTTCAGTCTTTTTTTTCTTTTTTAATTCCAAAGACATGGATTTTTTAATTTAAAAAAGAGATGAATTTCATGTATTTCATATATACAGTTTTAAGAACATGATACTTTCCACGTTACCCTCCCTTACTTACTTACTCTTACCTTCTCTCCTTCTTTTCCTATTTTTCTTCTAACTTTTATAATGATATACTTTAAATTTTCTTTATAATTTCAAGCTTAACCCTCCACTAAATAAAATATCAGTAAGTAGTAAATTGGAAAACTACTATTCTTCAAGAATATAGATAAGGGCTATAAATAATCAAATTTCAAAATGTTAATTTTGCTCATATACATTACATTTTTCAACTCTGTATAATTAGTCACCAGAAATCAGGGAAAACATATGATATCTCTCTTTTTGGGATGGGCTTATTTTATTAAGCATATTGCTCTTCAGTTGCATCCATTTTGCTGCAAGACAAGATTTCATTCTTTTTTGTGGCTGAGTAGTATTCCATCATGTATATATACCATAATTTCTTGATCCAGTCATCAGTTGAAGGACATCTGGGTTGATCCCAAATCTTAGCTTAGTGAATTGAGCTGCAATAAATATGTGAGTACAGATAACTCTTTCATATGCTGATTTTGTTGTCTTTGGATACAATCCTAGGAGTGGAATGGCTGGGTCATATGGTAGATCTATTTTTAGATTTCTAAGGAATCTTCTACTGTCTTCCATAATGGTTGTACAAGTTTACAGTTCCACCAGCAGTAGATTAGGGTACCTTTTCCCCACATCTTCACTAGCATTTACTATTTTTTTGTTTTTGTATAATAGGCATTATAACTGGGATGAGGTGAAACCTTGATTTTCTTTTTTTTATTTGCATTTCCCTATTGGTCAGTGATCCTGAGCATCTTTTCATGTGTCTATTTGCTATTTGTATTTCAGCCTTTGAAAAATGCCTTTTCATATCCTTAGCCCATTTATTAACGGGGTTGCTTGTTGTTATTGAGTTTCTTGAGCTCCTTATAGATCCCAAATATTAATTATTTATCAGTTGCATAGTTTACAATTTTTTATTATGTCAGTTGCTTCTTTACTTTATTGTTTCTTTTGCTATGCAGAAGCTCCTTAGCTACTATAATCTCATTTGTCTATGTTTGCCTTTATTGCCTGTGCTGCTGGGGTCTTATCTAAGAAGTCTTTGCCTATGCCAATGTCGTAGAGTTTCCCCCATGTTTTCCTCTAGTAATTTTGGGATTTTCAGGTCTTAGGTTTAGATTCCTGATCTATTGTGAGTTGATTTTTGTATAGCATGTAAGGTCGAGGTCTTGTTTCATACTTCTGCATGCAGAGATCCAATTTTTCCTAACACCATTTGTTGAAGAGACTGTCATTTCTCCGGGGATTGGTTTTTAGCTCCTTTGTCAAATATTCATGATTGTAGATGTGTGGATTGATTTTTGGGGTCTCTAGTCTGTTCCATTGGTAGACTATTCTTGTGCCAATACCAAGCTGTTTTGATTATAACTGCCCCTTAATATGTCTTGAAATCAGATATTATGATTCCTCCAGCTTTATTTTTATTGTTTAGGATTGTTTTAACTATTTGGGGTCTCTTGTGACTCCTATGACTTTTAGGGTCAATTTTTTTTTTCAGGAAATACAGGTTTTTTTGGCTGATCATAGAAACCTTCAGATCCCATATTCAGACCTTGACCCAGATGTTCCAAAAACTGGGGAAAAAGTCTATAAAAGTTGCTGCATCTGTAGGTGGCAGTGGGCCTGCAGTCATTGAAAATCAGCAAGAATGGCAATTGGGAGGAAAAAATTGGACATGAAGTAGAGAATGAGGAAAAACTGTAACTCCCAGTGACAAACTGGAGTACCCATCTGTATCTCCCCACTTCCAATCCCCATGATGGGTTACTCACAGAAGAAACTGATGTCTTTGACATGAAGCTGTATATTTGATCCAAGACTCAGAGAAGCCAAAGGAGGAGATACGACAGGAGTTCTAAGAGCTATAAGCCTATTTGCTCCCAAGCCAATGAAGTGAACCATTAGATAGAAAATGACATCATGAACATGTGATGGTACCTGGCATCCTGCACCGCCTTTCAGAGTACAGTGTCTGCTGTTTCACTTTTGCATTCAAAATCCCATAAATATGTCTCCCTGGCAAATTCAGCCTCAAAACAATATAGGAAAGGGAACTTTTGGATTAACTAAGTTGATGCAGTGTGAAGCCATCAAAGTAATTAACAATATTATTGATAATATTACTCATGTAAAATTTTGATATAATACTTGTTTATGTTCTCACATTTTATTTTTCCTTAGGAGGGAAGGTTCATGTTAATAACCTAGACAATACTCTAGAAAGATTGGGAATTGAGCTCACAGAAAAGGAACTTACAAAGCTGTCAGAAAACCTACAAGTTGATGGTAAGCATTTTAGCTATCTTCAGACCATCTTTTTATCTTTGCCTTATTATCAGATATATTTTAAGAGTAGATTTAATTAGAGAAAGGTACATGCTAGAAAAATTGGATAAGAGTCCAAGTAAGAAGAAATCTAGGATCTTCACAATGATTAAACTAAAATCAGCATAACTGATCTGTTCCTATGTGTACCAAGAATTGCTCAATGTACTATTAGGACCATAAAATACATAGATTGCTAAGAGAGTAATTATTGGGTTATGAAAAACTATAGAGAACTCAACAAGGCCCATTCTTCTATCCATCCCTCTTTCTGTTGAAATCTTTTTTTAACTTTTATTTAATGAATATAAACTTCCAAAGTACAGCTTATAGATTACAATTGCTTTTCCCCCCCATAACTTCCCTCCCACCCTCAACCCTCCCCACTCCTGCTCCCTCTCCCCTTCCATTCACATCATTTTCAATTATCTTTATATACAGGAGATCAATTTAGCATATATTAAGTAAAGCTTTCTTCTGTTGAAATCTTAACTCTGAAATGAATTCACAGAATTCTTGATCAACTCCAGTGATATCTTCAACTGTGATTTATAAAGGTTTCCAAAACACTGTGGGGAGTACATTTTCTTGACCCGGATTCTAAGATATGAGAGCTTCCTATTAAGAGAGATAGCATTAATTCTGTGAGGTCCAGAAATTTAATAGATTGCAGGTAAAATGAAAATATAAGGAATTTATGTGCTTTTCCAGAAAATACATGTCTTAACTTTTTCTGAGTTTCTGATATTATCTTCATTAAACTTTTTCTTGTAGTTACTGGGAAGACGGATCTGAAAGAGGTGATGGACAGAGTAAAAGCTACTACAGGTTAGCAAAAAATTATAATTATGAGATGTTTAGTATTTATAGTAATTATATTTTATCATTATCCCTTAATCATTATGTCAGTTATGTTTGGCATTTGCCTCCTTATTTGCTAAATGCTTAAAGTCAATTGCTAGCATTATACTTGTTTTCTAGTATATTTTTCATTTATATATTTTGCTCTTTTCTTTGTACAACAGCCAAAATTGGTAAAATAATAAAGTTTTTGTAAACACCCAGATAATTTATTTTTTATTTTTTTAACTTTTATTTAATGAATATAAATTTCCAAAGTACAGCTTATGGATTACAATAGCTTTTCCCCCTCATAATTTCCCTCCACCCACAACCCTCCCGTCTCCCCCTCCCTCTCCCCTTCCATTCACATCAAGATTCATTTTTTTTTTTTTGATAGGCAGAGTGGACAGTGAGAGAGACAGAGAGAAAGGTCTTCCTTTGCCGTTGGTTCACCCTCCAATGGCCACCGCGGCCGGCACACTGCAGCCGGCGCACCGCACTGATCCGATGGCAGGAGCCAGGTACTTATCCTGGTCTCCCATGGGGTGCAGGGTCCAAGGACTTGGGCCATCCTCCACTGCACTCCCTGGCCACAGCAGAAAGCTGGCCTGGAAGAGGGGCAACCAGGACAGAATCCAGTGCCCCGACCGGGACTAGAACCCGGTGTGCCGGCACCGCAAGGCGGAGGATTAGCCTAGTGAGCCGCGGCGCCGGCCCAAAATTCATTTTCAATTATCTTTATATACAGAAGAACAATCTAGCATATATTAAGTAAAGCTTTCAACAGTTTGCAGCCACACAGAAACACAAAGTGTAAAATACTGTTTGAGTACTAGTTATAGCATTAAATAACAATGTACAGCACATTTAGGACAGAGATCCTACATGAGGAGTAAGTGCACAGTGACTCCTGTTGTTGACTTAACAAATTGACACTCTTCTTTATGGAGTCAGTAATCCCCCTAGGCTCTTGTCATGAGTTGCCAAGGTTATGGAAGCCTTTTGAGTTCACCGACTCTGATCATAGTTAGACAAGGTCGTAGTCAAAGTGGAAGTTCTCTCCTCCCTTCAGAGAAAGGTACCTCCTTCTTTGAAGACCTGTTCTTTCCACTGGGATCTCACTCACAGAGATCTTTCATTTAGGTGGTTTTTGTTTTGCTTTTTGTTTGTTTGTTTGTTTGTTTGCCAGAGTGTCTTGGCTTTCCATGCCTAAAATACTCTCATGGGCTTTTTAGCCAGATCCGAATGCCTTAAGGGCTGATTCTGAGGCCAGAGTGCTATTTAGGACATCTGCCATTCTACGAGTCTGCTGTGTATCCCGCTTCCCATGTTGGATCATTCTCTCCTTCTTAATTCTATCAGCTAGTATTATCAGACACTAGTCTTGTTTATGTGATCCCTTTGATTCTTAGTCCTATCATTATGATCAATTGTGAACTGAAATTGATCACTTGGACTAGTGAGATGGCATTGGTACATGCCACCTTGATGGGATTGTATTGGAATCCCCAGGCACGTTTCTAACTCCACCATTTGGGGCAAGTCAATTTAGGATTGAGCATGTCCCAAATTGTACATCTCTTTCCTCTCTTATTCCCACTCTTATATTTAACAGGGATCCATTTTCAGTTAAGTTTCAACACTTAAGAATAATTGTATATTAATTACAGAGTTCAACCAATAGTATTAAATAGAACAAAAAAAATACTAAAAAGGATAAAGTATTAAGTTGTTCATCAACAATCAGGGCAAGGGCTGATCAAGTCACCGTTTCTCATAGTGTCCATTTCACTTCAACAGATTTCCTTTTTAGTGCTTGGTTAGTTGTCACCGATCAGGGAGAACAACGATACTTGTCCCTTTGGGACTGGCTTAATTCACTCAGCATGATGTTTTCCAGATCCCTCCATTTTGTTGCAAGTCGATTGACCGGATTTCATTGTTTTTGACTACTGTATAGTATTCTATAGAGTACACGTCCCATAATTTCTTTATGCAGTCTACTGTTAATGGGCATTTAAGTTGATTCCAGGTCTTAGCTATTGTGAATTGAGCTGCAATAAACATTAAGGTGCAGACAGCTTTTTTTGCTCGCTGATTTAATTTCCTTTGTGTAAATTCCAAGGAGTGGGATGGCTGGGTTGAATGGTAGGGTTATATTCAGGTTTCTGAGGAATCTCCAGACTGACTTCCATAGTGGCTTAACCAGTTTGCATTCCCACCAGCAGTGCGTTAGTGTCCCTTTTTCCCTGTATCTTCGCCAGCATCTGTTGTTGGTAGATTTCTGAATGTGAGCCATTCTAACTGGGGTGAGGTGAAACCTCATTGTGGTTTTGATTTGCATTTCCCTGATTGCTAGTGATCCTGAACATTTTTTCATGTGCCTGTTGGCTATTTGGATTTCTTCTTTTGAAAAATGTCTAATGAGGTCCTTGGCCCATCTCTTAAGTGGTAAACACCAAGATGATTTATAACGATGAGACTATGGTAGGTGTTTGGCAGAGTAGTTGCTTGGGATTCCCACATCCTGTATCAGAGTGCCTGGGTTTGAGTCCTGGCTCTGTTCCTGATTCTAGCTCCCTGCTAATGATACCCTAGGAGGCAGCAAGGAATGGCTCAGGTAGTAGCGCCCCTGTCACCCATGTGGGAAAGCCAGATTGATTTTCCAGCTCCTGCCTTTTCCCTCCTCGGCCCTGGCTGTTGCAGGCATTTGATAAGTGAACTAGCAGATAGGAGATATCCTCTATCTCTCTCTGTCTTTCTTTCCATCTCCCTCTCTCTCTTTTTCTCTCTGCCTTTCAAAAAATGAGACTAACAGATCTACATTTGGTGATAAATTATTTAAATAAATCATTCACAATATTCTAATTCAGTAGAGAGATGCATATGTGGGTTTCATTGGATGCAGAGTCGCCTTGCCACTATCATCATGCGTATGCCTTCTTTTATTGGCACATAGAGACCAAAGGGTTTTTCTTTGAATATTCTAGTCAGTATCCATGTACAGGCTTCATTGTTCTCTGCTCTTCATGCATTACTCACTCATGCTACAGAGCCATAGATTAGATGAAATTTAGAATCATTTGCTGAAACTTTAAACTCATATATGTAGTAATACAAATATTTTATAGGAGGAGAAATTGATGCCAGAGATGTGAAAACTGTTCTGAGTAACATGGGAATAGAATTTACTGATGAGGAACACTTACAACTGGTGAAAAATCTGCCTGTCAATGGTAAGCATTTCAAATGCTGATATTCATAGTTTTTAAGCTGTTTTTGAAAACTTCTAAAACTATCTTCAATTCTCAAGACAGAAAAAAATCCATCTCTAAATAATTTGCGTATTTATTTATTATGAGGGAATTTGCATATATGCAGTTTAATTTTTAGTTTTAGAATAGCACCTCTATGATGTTGAATTACGCTATCAAAGGGAAAATATTTCTAGGGTTACCCTTATTATTTAGACAACTATAGGTGATTGTGAGAAAAAGGAAAGGGTGATATTAAAGTAAAAAAGGATAAAAAGTGAGAGATGTAAGCACTCACACACATGAGTTGTGAATGTTGTCGAATGCCATTTGTGATAAATTTTTGGATAGCTTCACCATATTATAAAATTTTCTTAGATTTGTCTTAATGGAAGAAATTATCACAGAATATAATAAAAGATTCATTTTGCTGAAATAATATTAGAGAATAGTCATGCCATTTCTTTATAAATTGAATTTTACCTTTTTTTATAGATGAAAACAAAATCTTTAAGAGCAGGTTGTTAGAAGCTGTCAAGTCTCTTAAAGGTAAGTGAGAAGTATAATGAGACTGCAACTATGAGACTCTTAGATTTATAAAACATTGAATTTATAGGTTATTACATCTCTCATAAAGTTATAAATGTGCATTTATGCATATAACAAAGTTATACTTTTTGAGGAGCCTAGTCTTAGTTTATCTATGCTCATAGATGAGTTTTATGTTCTGTCTTAGAATAAAAGTTCCATACTCACGATTTTCTAAATTTTACAGAAATGAAAACATCAAATTTCAAGTTTGAATAATGAAAAGTTACAGAAATGATTAGCAATGATTCAGAGGATTTAATCAGCAGTAAATAAAAATTGAACTTAGAGTTTAGTAATCAAAGGTCAAACCCACATGTTGTTCAGAAATGAAGACTGTTTACCTCCAGAACCAGAGTTCCCTGAACATATATAAAAGTCATTTTAAACTTTGTTTTATGTAGGCGGATCCTCAAGACAAATCTCAAGGGAAATGGCTTCAAGTCTAACTTCAGAATTGACTTTTAATGGGCTTAAACTATATGGTCTCTGTGCTAAAACTGTTGACCATTCATTGATTTTTTTGCTTTAAAACAAATATTCTGAACCTGAGGTTAGTAGAATTTGATAGAATCCTTGAATAGGCATTAGTGGGTAGATAACTTTCCTGAAATAGTATGCAAATGTTGTTGTACTGCTTACGAAATTCATAATTGGGTGTATATTTCAAGAGAAGAACTTCCTTTTTAGGGTCATTCAGTATTCTTTGTTACTTTCTTTAGGTGGGAAAGTAAATGTCAACAACCTTGACACCATCCTGGACAATCTGGGAATTAAGCTGTCAAATACAGAACTAAAAGATCTGACTCAAAACATGCAAGTTGATGGTGAGCATGTTTTAAGATACCATGTGTTATAGTTGTTTTAGTGCTGCTTTAACAATTCCACAGACTGGGTAATATGTAAAGAGCAGATTCCAATCCCAAAAAGACAAATATCTTATGTTTTACCTGATTTGTGGTAACCAATATACGGAGTACCAAGAAAATGTAATGTATAGGAGTCAAACTGCCATTTTGAGATTTGATTATCGTTTATAACTCTTATCTCTGCTCTTGAGGAATAGTGGGTTTTCTACTTAGTACTTGTTTAATTCTTTATTTGCTGGATGATTGACCTTGTGATTATAAAGTGAGTTGAAAGTATGTCTTTGTAAAAATTAAAAATAAAAATAAGAAAGAAAGAGAGAGGTTAGGAACGAGGGAGGGATGGTAGGGAAGGTGGGGTGTCTCATTATGCTCTTAAAACTGCATATGTGAAATACAAAGGCTTAACCCACTACACCACAACACCTGCCCCTTGAGTTTTCTATAATAAAATTATGTCATCTGCAAACACTGACTGTTTGACTTCCTCCCTTCCAATTAGGGTATCTTTTATTTCTTTCTCTTGTGTACTATGGTGAATAAAAATGATAAGAGTAGGCATCCTTGTCTTGCTTGACGTTAGCTATTAACTTGTTATATATGACTTTTATTATGTTGAAATATGTTCCTTCTATATGTAATTCAGTCAGAATTATCATGAAGTGATATTAAACTTTAATGTTAAATGTTTTATCTATTGAGATGACATTTCATTTCTGTCTTCAGCTATGGATATGGTATATCACATTTATTGATGTAAAATTGTTGAAACGTCCTTGAATCCTTGGTATGAATACTGCTTGATCATAATGAAAGATCTTTTGAATGTGCTGTTGGATTCAGTTTGATAATATTTTGTTGAGGATTTTTGCATCTGTGTTCATCAAGGATATTGGCCTGTACCTTTCTTTTTTTGCTGTGTCATTGCCTGATTTTGGTATCAAAATAATGCTTTCCTCATAGAATGAATTTGACAGAATTATCTCTTCTTCTGCTTTTTGAAGTAATTTAAGGATTGGCATTAGTTCTTAAATGTATTGTGCAATGCAGCGTTGAAGCTCTCTGGTTCTGGGCTTTTCTCATTATTGAATTGCCTAAGTAGTTTCTAATGATTCAAATGTGATAAGGTATGTGTGTCCAATAATTTGTTCAATTCCACCAAATTATTAAATTTATTGTCGTATGTTGTTCATAGTAATTTCTAATAATCCTTTTGTATTTCTGTGGGGACAGTGGTAATGTTTCCCTTTTCATTTCTTATTCTATATAATTGAGTCTTCTCTGTTTTTCTATTTTTTATCAGTCTTTTCAAAGAACAGGTTTTGGTTCCACTGAATTTTTTTCTAATTTTTCTATTTTTTATTTAATTAGTTTAACTTTGATTTTTTTAAAAGATATTTAATTATTTGAAAATCAGAGTTACAGAGAAGGAGAGAAAGAGGCAGAGAGAGAGAGAGAGAGAGAGAGAGAGAGAGAGGTCTTCTATCTGCTGGTTCATTCCCCAAATGACCACCACGACCAGGACTGGGCCAGGCCAAAGCCAGGAGCTTTATCTGGGTCTTCTACAAGGGCGCAGGGTCTCAAGGACTTGGGCCATCTTCTGCTGCTTTCCCAGGCCATAGCAAGGAGCTGGATTGGAATTGGGGCAGCTGTTACTCAAACCAGCACCCACATAGAATACTGGCATTGCAGCCAACAGCTTTACCCATTACCCAGCCACAGAACCAGCCCCTCTGTTTTTTCTTGATTAGTCCAGCTAAGGATTTATCAAACTTGTTTCTCTTATCACAGAACAAGCTCTTCATTTCATTGATATTTTTATTGTCTTTTAGTCTCTATGTCATTTATTTGAACTCTGAGTTTTATTATTTTTTTTCCTTCTACCAATCTTGAATCTTATTTGTTCTTGTTTTCTTAGTTCGTTTTTTTTTTTTTTTTTTTTTTAGAAGAAGAGTTTATTGTCTAAGGCACTGGGAGCCCAACAGGCTGGGGAGAGGGCCAGGGGGTAAGAGAGAGGAGGAGAGATCAAGAGAGGGCACGTGTTCAGGAACAGCTCCTGTTAGACCTTTGCTGGGCGGCGTCAGGGAAAGTACAGAAATAGGTTGTTGATTTGAGGTTGTCCTCTTTTTAACATGTGGGCATTGATTGCTATAAACTTCCTTCTTAGGGGCTGGACCCCCGGCGCCGCGGCTCATTAGGCTAATCCTCCGCCTTGCGGCGCCGGCACACCGGGTTCTAGTCCCGGTCGGGGCGCTGGATTCTGTCCTGGTTGCCCCTCTTCCAGGCCAGCTCTCTGCTGTGGCCAGGGAGTGCACTGGAGGATGGCCCAAGTGCTTGGGCCCTGCACCCCATGGGAGACCAGGAGAAGCACCTGGCTCCTGCCATCGGATCAGCGCAGTGCGCCGGTCGCAGCGGCCATTGGAGGGTGAACCAACGGCAAAAGGAAGACCTTTCTCTCTGTCTCTCTCTCTCACTGTCCACTCTGCCTGTCAAAAAAAAAAAAAAAAAAAAAAAAACAACCAAAACTTCCTCTTAGTACTACTTTTGCTGTATTCCAAAGGTTTTGATATATTGTATTTCCATTCTCATTCATTTCAACAAAAATTTTAATGTCTTCCTTGATTTCTTCTTTGATACACTGCTTATTCAGGAGTAAGTTGTTTAATTTCCATGTATCAATGTAGGTTCCAATATTTTTTCTTGTTATTGATTTCTATTTTAATTGCATTGTGGTCCAAAAAGATACATGATATTATTTTTATTTTTTCAAATTATTGAGACTTATTTTGTGACCTACCATTTGATCTATCCTGGGAAAATGTTCCATGTACTATTGAGAAGAATGTGTGTTCTGCAGCTGTTGGAAAGTTCTGTAGATGTCTGTGAGGACAAGTAGATCTAGGGTGTAGTTTACTTCAACTGTTCCTCTGTTGATTTTATGTCTAGGTGATCTGTCTACTTCTGAAAGTGGCACGTTATAATCATCTATCTCTACTCAAGTCTATTAATATTGCCCCACTTCCTAGTTTCTTTTTACTGCTTTTGATTTAAAATATATTTCAACTGATACTTCAGCATTCTTTTGTTATATTTGCATAGACTATCTTGTTCCATTCTTTCAGTTTTAATCTATGTATGTCCTTAGAAGTAAAGTGAGTTTTTTTTATAAACAACAGTTTGTTCCTATTTTTTAATCTGTTCTAGTCACTCTATCACTTTTAATTGGAGAATTTAATTCATTGATGTTTAGAGTAATTATTGATAGCTAAGCTTTACTACTGCCATTTTGATACTTGTTTTGTACTTTGATTGTAGTTCCTTTCATTCTTTCTCTTACAATCTCCACTTATGGTCAGGTGATTTTCTATAGTGGCATACTTTGATTCATTGCTTAGCTCTTTTGTTTGTCTATTATAGGTTTTAGATTTGTTGTTACCATGAAGCTTACAAAAAAAAAAAAAACTTTTGGTTATAACAAGTGATCTGGAAATGATGACAACTGAACATGGATTATAAAAATATGGAAGAAGACATTGACAAAGAGATAAGAAATCCTAGGGGCCAGTGTTTAGCCACAGTGGATAAAGCCATTGCCAGTGATGCCAGCATCCCATATGGATGCCGAATCTAGGCCTGGCTGCTCCACTTCTCATCCAGCTCCCTGCTAATGGTCTGGGAAAATCAGCAGAAGATGGCCTAAGTATTTGGGCCCCTGCACCATGTGGGAGACCCAGATGAAGTTCCTGGTTTTAGCCTAACCTAGCGCAGGCTTTTGTGATCATCTGGGGGAGTGACCTCATGGATAAAAGATCTCTCTCTCCCTCTCTCCCTCCCTCTCTGTAACTCTATTAAAATAAATAAATCTTTTTCTAAAAAAAAAAAAAAATGAAGTTCTAGTATAGCATTCTACATTCGTGCTACATTTGTCTGTCATTTTAAATTTTTGATATCACTTTTGATCTCTTTCTGTATTGCCTCTTAACATTTAAATGTAGTAGTTATAATAATATTTTATTCTTCATTGTACAACTATAAATGGATTATACACATCTTTATATTATTAGAGCATTCTGAATTTGTTTGTATAGTTACTCTTACCAGTAAATATTCTACCTTGTGATATTTTCATATTACTTGTTATCATTTCTTTCAGTTTACTGAACTTCCTTTAGCATTTCTTGTAACATAAGTCTAGAGATGATAAAAATCTCTGGTAATTTTTTTTAATTTTTATTTATTTACTTAAAGGCAGAGTGGGGGCTGATGTTTTGACGTTGTGAATAAAGCCACCACCTGTGATGCTGAAATCCCATATAGGTGCCTGTTCGAGTCCCAGCTATTCAACTTCCAATCCAGCTCCCTGCTATTATGCCTGGAAAAGCAGCAGAAGATGGCCCAAGTATTTGGGCTCCTGAACCCACATAGGAGATCCTGAAGAAGCTCCTGGTGGCTCCTGGTTTCTGACTGGCCATTGCAACCATTTGGGGAGTGAACCAGCAGATGAAAGATTCATTTTCTCTCTCTCTCTCTGCCTTTCAATCAAATAAAAATCTTTTAAAAAGGCAGAGTGACAGAGAGGGGAGCAACAGAGAAAGGATGGAGTCTTCCATCCACTGATTCACTCCCCAAATGGCTGCAATGGCAAGATCTGGGCCACACCGAAACCAGCAGCCTGGAACTTATCTAGGTCTCCCACATGGGTGGCAGGGGTCCAGATACTTGGACCATCATCTGCCACTTTCCCAGGCACATTGACAGACAACTGGACTGGAAGCAGAGCGGCTGTGATTGAACCAGTCCAGTTGCTCTAATATGGGATACCAACACTGCAGACTGTGGCCCAGCCAGCTTTGCCGCATTGCCAACCCCCTTGGAATGTCTGTATCTCTCCCTTACATCTGAAGAGTAGCTATGTAGAGTATAGTATTCTTGGCTGGCATTATTTTTTCCTTCAGTACTATAGAAGTCTCATTCTACTTTCTCCTGGCCTGTAACGTTTCTACTGAGAAGACACTAATCAGGTGAATTGGGACTTTTTTATGTGTTATTTGCTTTTTTTCTTCTGAAGCTTGAGAATCTTCACTGTATCTTTAACCTTGGAGAGCTTGATTGCGATATGTGTTGTCAGTATTCCTGAATACTTGTATCCTTCCTGTACTGGCTAGTTGTATCTTTCTCTAAGTTTGGGAAGATTTCTCTCTTCTCTTTAAGCATGCTTTCTGCCCACTTTGGCATTTTCTTGTCTTTCTTGATTCCCAATAACCAGAAAGAATCCATATTTTTCATAATCTGTCTTTGTTCCTCTTGATTTTTTCCCTTTTTTCTCCTACAACTCTGTATTTTCTTTTTTTAACTTTTATTTAATAAATATAAATTTTCAAAGTACAACTTTTGGGTTATAGTGGCTTTTCCCCCCATAACGTCCCTCCCACCCGCAACCATCCCATCCCCCACTCCCTCTTCCATCCCATTCTTCATTGAGATTCATTTTCAATTATCTTTATAAACAGAAGATCTACTTAGTATTTACTAACTAAAGATTTCAAAAGTTTGCACCCACACAGATACACAGAGTGTAAAATACTGTTTCAGTACTAGTTATAGCATTACTTCACATTGGACAACACATTAAGGACAGAGATGCTACATGGGGAGTAAGTGCACAGTGACTCTTGTTGTTTATTTAACAATTGACACTCTTGTTTATAGTGTCACTAATCACCCGAGGCTCTTGTCATGAGCTGCCAAGGCTATGGAAGCCTTTTGAGTTCGCTGACTCCGATCTTATTTAGACAAGGCCATAGTCAAACTGGAAGTTCTCCCTTCCCTTCAGAGAAAGGTACCTCCTTCTTTGATGGCCCATTCTTACTGCTGGGATCTCACTCACAGATATCTTTCATTTAGGTTTTTTGTTTTTGTTTTTGTTTTTGTTTTTGTTTGTTTGTTTGCCAGAGTGTCTTGGCTTTCCATGCCTGAGAAACTCTCATGGGCTTTTTAGCCAGATCCGAATGCCTTAAGGGCTAATTTTGAGGCCAGAGGGCTGTTTAGGACATCTGCCGTTCTGAGTCTGCTGTGTATCCCGCTTCCCATGTTGGATCATTCTCTCCTTCTTAATTCTATCAGATAGTATTATCAGACACTAGTCTTGTTTATGTGATCCCTTTGACTCTTAGACCTATCAGTGTGATCAATTGTGAACTGAAATTGATCACTTGGACTAATGAGATGGCATTGGTACATGCCACCTTGATGGGATTGAATTGGAATCCCCAGGCACGTTTCTAACTCTACTGTTTGAGGCAAGTCAGCTTGAGTATGTCCCGAATTGTACATCTCCTCCCTCTCTTATTCCCACTCTTATATTTAACAGAGATCACTTTTCCGTTAAATTTAAACACCTAAGAATAATTGTGTGTTAATTACAGAGTTCAACCAATAGTATAAAGTAGAACAAAAAAAAATACTAAAAGGGATAAAGTATTACATTGTACATCAACAGTCAGGACAAGGGCTGATCAAGTCACTGTTTCTCATAGTGTCCATTTCACTTCAACAGATTTCCTTTTTGGTGCTTGGTTAGTTGTCACCGATCAGGGAGAACATATGATATTTGTCCCTTTGGGAGCATTTTTATTTTAAAGCCACCTTGATTTGATCATAGGTGACTCCACACTTAACAACCTAATCCAATCCTAATCACTTTCTCAGGCTCTACCTTCAGAAATCAAAATTGTTAATTCGCCTCCTTGACCCTTTAAGATGATTCTGGGGATAAAGCCTTTAATACATGGGGCCAGGACCAGCACCGTGGTGCACTGTGTTAATCCTTTGCCTGCGGAGCCTGCATCCCATATGGGCGCCGGTTCTAGTCCTGGCTGCTCCTCTTCCAGTCCAGCTCTCTGCTACGGCCTGGGAAAGCAGTAGAAGATGGCCCAAGTGCTTGGGCCCCTGCACCCGCATGGGAGACCAGGAAGAAATACCCGGCTCCTGGCTTCGGATAGGTGCGCTCTGGCCGTTGCGGCCATTTGGGGAGTGAACCAATGGAGGGAAGATCTTTATCTCTGTCTGTTTCTTTCACTGTCTATAACTCTACCTGTCAAATAAATAAATAAAATCTTTAAAAAAAAATACATGGGGCCTTAGGGGATACCTAAAATATCCAAACCATAATACCTAGAAAGTGTGTTCAACAACTATTTCTTAAGTATATAAGGAATTATGATGGTGCCTAACCTATAGTGTGTACAGCTTTTAGTTATTTCTATGATTCTCAAAACAATTTGAGAGTCATTATTATAGCTCAATATGATTTTGATCTTCTCCTATAGTTGATAAGAAAATTCCTCTAGAAGCACTGATGGAAAAAGTCAAAGACTTTACAGGTAAGTGAAAAGTTATTATAAAATTAGGATTTTAATTGACTGCATTAAATTTTGCTTTTTCCTTATATTTCCTAGTACTCAGTTCTTGACTTGTAATTTCAGGTTATTTTTCCATATTAATTAATGTTCCATGTATTGACATAAAATTATCTACATTTTTGGAATAAAATTACGGGAGTATCTCTTGCTTTCAAATTCTTCAATCTGTTTTATGCCAATAATATAATTCACTTTAATAAGCACAATATGTAAATACAGAGCAAATCAGAGTGAAGCTTAGAAATTATTAAGGAAATGTATTTATTGTAGCTTCATTGAATAATTTTTGTTTAAAAATTAAAATATACTTTTTTGAAGAAAAAATTATGTAAACACCTATTTTTAATTGGCTTATCAGATTTTTATCCTGGAAATTATATTTCACTAACTTCAGGAGGGATATATATATATATATATAATCAAAATAATTTGGCCTAACATATCCATTGATTCTATAGTTGAAAACATTTGATTTTTACTTAAACCTGAAAACTAGCATGGTATCATTTATCATAAGGTAATATTATTTTTAGAAATAATTACTGCTATCTGAAATAATGATATGTACCCAATCTCTTATTTTTAAAGGTAAGAAGATTGATTCTAGTGACATAAGAAATGTTCTGGGAAACCTCAGTATTGAGCTTACAGAAAAGGAACTAGAGAAGCTGTTGAAAACATTGCCGGTTAATGGTGAGCCATACTAACGTCTGGGGCTGCTTCTGGGGAGGCAGAGTATCTGTGGATCAGTATGGATTTTTAATTCCTTCTAAAACATGATCGATTATAATTTTTAAAAACTGAAATTTAAGGGGCTGGCTCTGTGGCACAGGGGGTTAGAGTCACAGTGTGCCAGCATCCCATATGGGTGCTGGTCAGGCTTGTGGCTGCTCCTCTTCCAATTCAGCTCCCTGCTAATGCACCTGAGAAAGCAGTAGAGGATGGCCCAAGTGCTTGGGGCTCTCCTACCCATGTGGGAGACCAGGAAGAAGCTCCTGGCTCCTGGCTTTGGCCTGGCCTAGCCCTGGCTATTGAGGCCATCTGTGGAGTTAATTAGCAGCTGGAAGATCTCGCTCTTCTTTACTCCTCTCGCTCTCTTTACTTCTCTCTCTCTCTGTAACTCTGTCTTTCTAATAAATAAAGAAATCTATTTTAAAAACCTGAAATTTAAGCTGCAAATAAAAATCACCAACTTGAGAGTTTAGCCAAGCAACCTTGCAGTTTTAAATTGTCTTCCAGGCTAGTAAATATTTACTGCTACCCCTCAGGCCACTAGTGGTCTCATATTATTTTAAAAGGGAAAAGAAAGAGAGATAGATAAGAAAATAATAATAGAAATTAAAGATAGAAGTAAGAATTTTTTAAAAAGGAAAACTATGATTGGTTATAAGCTCACAGGAGGGGATAAGTATCACATTGAGAAAGACTTCCTTCATTTTGTTGTCAGATTAAAATATTGGATAAAATATTTTAATAGCTTTATTGGGATATGATTCATATACCATACAATTAACTCAAAGTTTATAGTTCAATGGATTTTATTATATTCACAGAGTTGTATATCCATCACCACAATTAATTTTAAAATGTTTTTGCCACCCCTGGAAGAAAAACCACATCTGTTGGCAGTCAGCCCTCAATTCCTCCATCTCATTCAGCCCAGGGCAACCAGTAAACTACTTGCTGCCTGCATCTATTTACCTAATCTGAACTGTTCCTATAAATAGAACCATATTTGGTCTTTTATTATTATCTTCCTCTGCTTAGCACAAGTGTTTTAAACATTTCTCTGTCATATTATGTATCAGTACTTCATTTTTTTCTTGCTAAATAATCTTTTGTTTGAATATACTGCATTCGTTGGCTGATGAGCATTTTGTATTGCTTCCACATTTTGCCTATTAGGAAAAATGTCCCTGTGAGCATTCATGTACAAGTCTTTGTATGGTTGTATGTTTTAATTTTTCTTAGGTATATACATAGCCGTCAAATTTCTGGATCATACAATAACTCTAAGTTGAACCGAGGAAAACAGGTTGTTTTCGAAAGTGGCTGCATTACTTAATATTCCTACCAAGAGACTATAAAGGTTCCAGTTTTTCCTCATCTTTATCAACACATATTATTATCTGTTTTTTTTTATTTGGTTATATACTTTGTATTAACTGGTACGTCAGAATGAATTTCATTTGTGTTTCCTTGATGGCTAATAATGTTGATCATCTTTTCATGTGCATACTATAAAACAAAAGTTTTATAATTTAGCTCTTTTAACAAATATCTTAATAATAATCATACACATTTTAGGTTATGGATATTTCAATACATGCATATAATATGTACTACTCAAAACAGAAAAATCAATATTTCCCCATCTTTTATCTTCCTTAATGATTGGAGGCTTGGATCTTCTTTCTTCAACTTGTTCATATAATATCTACTAAGTATTGTAAGCAACAGTCTCCTGACTATGTTATATAAAACTAAGGTCTGCCAGCAGCAGCCCAGCTTCCCTCCTTCACCACCCGCAGCTGCCACCATGATTGAATGATAGATAGCTCCAGACCTAATGACAGTCTCCAAATTCCTCCATCTCTACCATGGGCACCAATGCCTTGGCATTCGAGAAAGAGAATGGCCCAGAACAGTTTCCCATCAACAAGCACTATTTTGAATTAGTCAATTTTGGGAATACCAACTACTATAATTCAGTTCTTCAAGAACTTTATTTCTGTTGTTCATTCCGGGAAGAAGTTCTAGCATACAAGAGTCAGCTTAGAGAGGAGAGCTTTCTCAGGTACTTAGAGGACCTCGTCCATAGCATCACGACTCAAGAAAATGGTAGGAGTTATCCCTTCAAAGTTCATAGCAATATTATGAAGGGGGGAAATGAGCTTTTTGACAACTACAAGTAACAAGATGCCCATGAATTCTTAAATTGCCCACTAAATACAATTGCTGGTATTTTACAAGAAGAGAGAAAGCAGGATAAACAAAATGGTCACTTAATTGATGGAAATATTGACAGTGAAAATAACAACAGCACACCAGATCCAACAGAGGGTTAATGAGATTTTCAGGGAACATTAACTAATGAAACCAGATGTCTTACTCATATAAGCTAAGATGAAGATTTTTTAGAACTTTCTGTTGAGGTAGAACAGAACACATTAATTACACGCTGCTTAAGGGGTTTTGGCAACACAGAAACCCTGTGCAGAAAATACATATAGTACTGTGAAGAGTGTCACAGCAAGCAGGAAGCACACAAATGCATGAAAGTTAGAAAACTGCCCGTGATTCTAACTCTACACCTGAAGAGATTTAAATACATAGATCAAGTTCATCGATATGTAAAACTTTCTTATCAGGTAGTTTTTTCCTTTAGAACTTCATCTGTTTAACACATGAGGTTACGCAAACAATCTTGACAGGATATACGATCTTGTTGCTGTTATAGCTCACCCTGGAAGTGGTCCCAATCGAGGCCATTATGTTGCAATAGTCGAGTCATGATTTTTGGTTGATGATGACATTGTAGAAAAAAATAGATGTACAAGCTATTGAAGAATTCTATGGGTTGACATCAGATATCTCATAGAACTAAGTCTGGTTACATCCTTTTCTATCAGTCATGGGACTGAAAGGAAGCTGTAATGAAGAGATACTTCTGCCTCATTTCTTCTCTGGTTATTTTGGAAAGAATCAAGCACTGATTAAAAAAAAAAAAAAAAGGAGAAATGCAGGAACTCAGGGACCATAGCACACTTTGCACACAAGAAAGCAGACCATGGATTCGCAAGCCCTTCCTATCATGGTAGTTGATTTCTTTGCTCAGGTATCATGCTGTCCTTGCAGTTCATACAGCAAGGAAATGAAATCAAAAATACCAGCTCCTCTGGTAAAACAGCCTTCCAGTTATCAAAATGCATTTTCTCTTTGTTAATTGCACCAATAGTTTCTTGAAGTCCTTCAGGGTGCAGTAGAAAAAATTGGAATCTCTGTTGGATTGTATGTTTAATGAAGGAAACCATGTTGAGCATCCTGCATAGGTTTATGTGTGTTTGGTGTGTAGAGCAGTACAGTCAGTGGCCTTTTCCAAGCATAAACTGGAAATACTTTTGGACCCAACACTTACAGTTGCCTTCCTGGTGTACAAGATAAACATGTTTTGCTTCTCTGAAGAAGTTTGTAATAATGCACAGTATATATAAATGTACGGAACAATTGGTCAAAATGGATTTTTGTTTTCCCAAGGGGAAAGACTGGCTTTGTAAGTATAATATTCTTTTTCAGGAGGAACTGATATCTCTGGCTAACTATTTTTATTCTCGTAGTTTATGTGTCAGTTTTTTTATTCAGTTTTAATTTAAATGAACTAAAACAAAAACTCCTTAAAATTCCCTATAGTTGCTGGAATAATAAAAGAAATTTTGTTGCAGTGGTGGTACACCAATCTTTGGAATCCTTAAATATTTTAATGTTTTAAGCTGAGGCCCTGCTTGAAAAATTCATGTCATAGCAGTTATTTTCAAATGTCATTTTTTACCCTTCAAAGAAGTAATACTTTCATTCATTATAACTGTAGCAGTGTGGATAGCCAGCTAAAAGATTACATGTTAATGAAATTGACAAGTAATACAAAAAAAAGCTCCCTACCCCCCACCCTGCCTTTATGAATCTTATTGGAAATGTGTCCAGAAATTTAACCTTGTGTTTGTTAGAACTTCATTCTATTGGGAAGTTTTAAGAAGTAATCTATGTGATCTAAAATGTACATAAACTGTTGCAGTTGACATTTTTCCATGCATCAGTAGGTTGTCTGAGAGGCTGACTGTAACTTGCAGAAAGTACTTGAAAACTGTGTTCAAAATAATAGCAATTAAGCCTTGGATATTCATATTAAACTCTTTTCAGGCAGTACTTTTTTAAAAATTCTGTAATTTTCTAATGTTATTTACTTAAAATGTTGAAAAACAACAAAAATGTTTTTGTTCTGCTATTATTAACATTTATTATCTGTATATTTTAGCTCAAGAAATTACTTCACCTATTTGTTCTGTAAACAAATATTTAACTTGGAAGAAAATTATGATATTTAGTACTTATTAAAAGTATTTTGATAAATTGCTTTTTAAGATACAGTTTCTGGTTAAGCCACTATGGAAGGCAGTCTGGAGATTCCTCAGAAACCTGAAGATAACTCTACCATTCAACCCAGCCATCCCACTCCTTGGAATTTACCCAAAGGAAATGAAATTGGCAAACAAACAAGCTGTCTGCACATTAATGTTTATTGCAGCTCAATTCACAATAGCTACGACCTGGAACCAACCCAAATGCCCATCAACAGTAGACTGGATAAAGAAATTATGGGACATGTACTCTATAGAATACTATACAGCAGTCCAAAAAAAATGAAATCCGGTCATTTGCAACAAGATGGAGGAATCTGGAAAACATCATGCTGAGTGAATTAAGCCAGTCCCAAAGGGACAAGTATCATATGTTCTCCCTGATCGGTGACAGCTAACTGAGCACCAAAGGGGAAACCTGTTGAAGTGAAATGGACACTATGAGAAACAGTGACTTGATCAGCTCTTGTCCTGACTGTTGATGTACAATGTAATACTTTATCCATTTTAGTATTTTTTTTGCTCTAGTACTATTGGTTGAATTCTGTAATTAACACACAATTATTCTTAAGTGTTTAAATTTAATGGAAAAGTGATCCCTGGTAAATATAAGAGTGGGAATAAGAGAGGGAGGAGATGTACAATTTGGGACATGCTCAATCAGACTTGCCCCAAATGGTGGAGTTAGAATCATGCCAGGGGATCCCAACAATCCCATCAAGGTGGCATGTACCAATGCCATCTCACTAGTCCAAGTGATCAATTTCAGTTCACAATTGATCATAATGATAGGACTAAGAACCAAAGGGATTACACAAACAAGACTAGTGTCTGCTAATACTAGCTGATAGAATCAAAAAGGGAGAGAACAATCCATCATAGGAAGCTGGATACACAGTAAACTCATAGAATAGCAGATGTCCTAAATAGCACTCTGGCCTCAGAATCAGCCCTTAAGGCATTCGGATCTGGCTGAAGAGCCCATGAGAGTATTTTAGGCATGGAAAGCCAAGACACCCTGGAAAAAAAAGAAAAAGAAAAAAGGAAGACTTAAATGGACGATCTCTGCAAGTGAGATTCCCAGTGGAAAGAATGGGCCATCAAAGAAGGAGGTACCTTTCTCTGAAGGGAGGAGAGAACTTCCACTTTGTCTATGCCCCTGTCGGAATAAGATCGAAGTCAGCGAACTCAAAAGGCTTCCATAGCCTTGGCAACTCATGACTAGAGCCTAGGGAGATTACTGATGCCATAAACAAGAGTGTCAAATTGTTAAGTCAACAACAGGAGTCACTGTATACTTACTCCTCATGTGGGATCTGTCCTTAATGTGTTTTCCAATGTGAAGTAATGCTATAACTAGTACTGAAACAGTATTTTACACTTTGTGTTTCTTTGTGGGTGCAAACTGATGAAATCTTTACTTAATATATACTGAATTGATCTTCTGTATATAAAGATAATTGAAAATGAATCTTGATGTGAATGGAATGGGAGAGGGAGCAGGAGATGGGAGGGGTGTGAGTGGGAGGGAAATTATGGGGGGGAAGCCATTGTAATCCATTAACTGTACTTTGAAAATTTATATTTACTAAATAAAAAATTAAAAACGATACAGTTTCTAGAGCCTCATCCTGGCTGGAGTTGTTTTGTACAAATTATACATAGCTTGCCTGATCTACAACTGAGCATAGAGACACAACTGATAGTGTGGGGACGGTCAGAGCAGTGGAGGTGGATATACTTTCTCTTTTGAGGGATTCAACCAAATTGTTGTGGAATTTAAAGCTGTATTTCTGCAGCTTTCAATGCAGAGAAAAGGGTAGAGCAAAGCGGAGTCATTTGTGACATCAGCTGAGCCACAGCATGGGTGAGAATGATAGATTAAGTCATTGTGTGAGCACAACGTATCTTCTTTTTGCATGTGAATTTCTGGCTCTCTCAATACCATTCATTGAAAATATTACGTGATTGCTAGCACCTTTCTCAAAAGTCAGTTGACCATAAATATGTATCTCTGAATTGATTTCTGTGCTTTTCATTCTTTAATTAACTTATATGTCTGGTGTTCTGCCAATACCCCACTGTCTTGAATACTGTAGATTTGTAGTAAGTTTTCAAATTTACAAGTATGACCTTTCCACTTGTTTTTCTTTTTGGCTTTTTTTTCAGGATTATTTTGGCTCTTTGGCCCCTGCTTTACCATATGATTTTATTATCAGCTCATTAATTTCTGTAAAAAAATCAGCTTATTGATTTGTAGATCAGTTTGAGAAGTTTTACCATCTTCATCATTAAGTTTTCTGATCCATTAACATGAGATATCTTTTCATTTATTTTGGTCTTTTAAGTTTCTTTCTACAGTGTTTTATGACTTTTCAAGTGTAAGTTTTTCATTTTTTGTTAAATTTATTTTTGAGCGTTCTATTCTTTCTGATGGTATTATAAATGTACTTGCTTTCTTTCGGTTTTAATTTCTTCATTGCTACTCTAAAAGATAAATTGCTTTTGATCAATGGGTAAAATGTTTTAAATATCCTGTGTTTTAAATTATTCAAGTTGTTTTCTGAATCTCTTGATAATTTTACCATTATATGAATTTTTACTTTCCTTATAGATGCTGGAAAGGTGTATTATAATCGGTTGCTGAAGAGCATAAAGTCTCTGAAAGGTAGGTAGGAACCAAATTATAAGGCATATTATATAGGTTCTCCAGACTTTATATCATTCAGTTTGAAAACTTGGCCCCATATAATCTATCTTTTATGATTCTTTATCTACTATTATTATGCATTATTTAAATTTTATTTATTTATTTATATTTGAAAGAGTGACACAGAGGGGGAGATGGACAGAGAGCAAGAGCAAGAGAATTTCCATCTGTTTCCATTATTTTTTGTTTATTTGAAAGGCAGAGTTAGAGAGAAAGAGGAGAGACAGAGACAGAGATACTCCATCTGCTTGTTCACTCCCCCAAATTGGCCAGGGCTGAGCCAGGCTGAAGCCAAGAGCCAGGAGCTTCTATCAGGTCTCTCACATGGATGCAGGGGCCCAAACACTTGGGCCATCTTCTGCTGCTTTCCCAGGCATATTAGTAGGGAGCTGGATCAGAAGTGGAGCAGCCAGGTCTTGAACCAGAAGCCATGTGGGATGTCAATGTCACAGACAGAGGTTTAACCTACTACTCCACAACACTGACCTCAGATTGATTCTTCAGATAGCTATGATGGCTAGATGTGGGCCAGGTTGAAACCAGGAGCTTCAGACGCATTCTAGGTCTCCCACATGAGTGGCAAGGATCCCACAACCTCAGTCATCACCTCTGTCTCCAAGAGTGCATGTTAGCAAGAGACCAGACTTGGAAGAAGAAACAGGATTCAAAGTCAGGCAATCCCATATGGAATGTATGTCTTAACTTTGCAAAATACCCATTCCACATTTTCTCTTGACAGGAATACACTCATAATCTGAATTGTTTTCAGCTTTTTGTAAAAGGAAAAATCAAGACCAGTAAAACAAAATAAAGATGTGACAATTATTATTAATGAGCATTGATCGGATATAAAGATAACTAATAAATCAGGAAATTTTGTTCAAAGAAATTAAGTTGGTATCTATGGTTCTGCTTGTTTAAGTCCCTTAACATTGTTTACTCATGTCCCTGCATGTTTAGTCATGTAGGCTTGTTAACAAGACTGGTTTAAGGGAAACACATTCAAAATCTGACTCTTGTATGAGCTTTCTACTTGAGCATTCAAGTGGACAAATATATTTGGGGTTTCAGCACTGTTAAAATATAATGAAACACGCAGCACGGTGGCATAGTGGGCTAAGCCTCTGCCTGTAGTGCCAGCATCCCATATGGGTGTCAGTTTGTGTCTCAGCTCTCTGCTCTGGCATGGGAAAACAGTGGAAGATGGCTGTAGTGCTTGGGCCCCTGCACTCGCGTGGAGACCTGGAGGAAGCTCCTTCCTGGCTTTGGATCAGCCCAGTTCCTGCCATTGCAGCCATCTGGGGAGTGAACCAGCAGATGGAAGACCTTTCTCTCTGTCTCTCCCTCTCTCTGTCTGTAACTCTCTCAAATAAAAAAAATAAAATATTTAAAAATATATATAATGATACAAAGGCATATTCATCCTTCATCAATTTTACTTTAAAAATGTATGGTCATTAAACTTAATGCTAAAAATGTATTTTTCTTATTTTGCTGTTAAATGACCGCTTTTCAAGTATTACTTTACTGCCTATTTCCTCAGAAGGGAAGATTAAGAAGAATAACCTCCATTCTACTTTAAAAAGTATCGGAATCAAGCTCACAGAAGAGGAACTTGCTGAACTGTCAAAAAACCTACATGCTGATGGTAAGCACTTAAAATATATTTAAGCCATTTATATCTTTATTTTCTATGTGATATTTTGAAAAATATGTCTCAAAGACACATTTTAAAGCCTTGGGGACAGCCCAATACTAAAGTTAAATAATTAATTTAAAATCAGTATCATATTTCCTGTGGAACCAAGAATTATTAGAGGCTAGCAGGATCATTATTAAGTAAGTACTAGATTACTATTGCTTTTCAGCCTTTTGGCTAAGATCAAGTGTAGTAAGAAAGTACTAGTTTACTAAGCAAGTAAATTAGAAGAAAAAGTAGAGGAAACACAGAACTGATGTGCTTACCTGTTATTTGTTCCTCTGTCCATTTCAATCTGCTATATAACCCTGCCCCTTGTGGTAAGCCTGCTATCACCAAGTTAGTTAAATAGTGATCTCATTATAAAATCCTCTGAATGTGAGGGGCAGTATTGGGGCACAGCAGGTTAGACTACCGTCTGTGACACTGGCATCCCATATTGAAGCACCAGTTCAAGTCCCAGCTGCTCTGCTTCCGATCCAGCTGCCTGCTAATGTGCCTGGGAAAGCAATGGATGATAGCTCAAGTACTTGCACGCCTGCCACCCACATGGGAGATCCAGATGGGGCCATTACAGCCATCTGGGGAGTGAACCAGAAGATGAAAGGTTCTCTTTTCTTTTCTTTTTTTTTTTTTTTAAGATTTACTTCATTTATCTGAAAGGCAGAGTTACAGAGAGAGAGAGAGAGAGAGAGAGAGAGATCTTCCCATCTGTTGGTTCACTCCCCCAAATGGCAGCAATGGATGGATCTGAGCCAGTATGAAGCCAGGAGCCAGAAGCTTCTTCCGGATCTCCCACATGGGTGCAGGGGACCAAGCACTTGGGCCATCCTCCAATGATTTCCCGGGCGCATTAGCAGGGAGCTGGATTTGAAGTGGAGCAGCCAGGACCCGAACTGGTGCCCCTGTGGGATGCCAGTGCTGCAGGCCAGGGCCTTAGTGCAGCTCCAGCCCTATATTTCTCCTTCTATGTTTCCCTTTCGCTCTGCTATTCTGCCTTTTAAATAAATAAAAGATAAAGTCTTAAAGAAGATTTTCTGGACATGATTTCAGTCTTATTTTAGATTTTCGTGGTACCTTTATTATATGGTGGATTCTTTTTTCTTGAAATTAACACTTTCTGGATGGTCCACTCTCATGAGTTTCCTCAATCTTGTCTACCTGACTTTCCACTCTCTTTTGCTTCAACAGCTTCTCTTCTCTCAATGGCCTCTTAAAAGCTTGGATTTTCAAGGTTTTTTCATTAGCCCAATTTATTATAATTTTAACATTCTATGAAAGATCTCATCTATTTTCATATCAATTACTCCTATATAATTAAAGTTCCCAGATATTAATCTTTGGACCCCCCTCTCACTTTAAATGTCTGTACTTAGGTTTTCCCTTGATAATTTTTTATATTTTAATGTCCCAAAGTAAATTGTCTTTCTCATTAAATTCTGCTTCCACAATTTTTATCAGAATATCACCAACCTAGTCTTCTATCTTATAACTGATTTATACTTTTTTCCTTAAGTCTTTTTAAGTCATTTATTCTCCATTATAATATTTGATAATTTTTGAAATCTAAAGCTTTCTCAGATTCCACCATGCCCTTCAGTATGTCAGTTTACTGCCTAAGTTCAGACCTCTTTTCATCTCTACCTTGGAGATTATAGTGGCGTCCTAATTAGTCTCTTATTTCCTTCAAATTTGTAGCTTTATCTCCTCCAAATTTGTATTTGGCTGATAAAATGGTCCATCAAATTAAATTCTGACAATACCACTCCTTGGAACTCTGTTTCCACAGCCCAAAAGATGAACGCTACTATTTTATAATGATTTATGAGCACCTCGAATTCAAATTGTCTCTCTGGCTCCATCACTCTTCTCTTTTCCTTTCATTTTAAATGAAAGGAAGCCATATTAAATTGTTCATATATAACCTGCTGTCCCTAAGTTTTCATTTCTCTTAGCCTAGTAGTTCGAAAGCTTAAATGCACTTCAGAATCAGAGACCTTGTTAAACCACAAATTGCTATGCCCACTCCCCAGAGTTTCTTTTTTTAATTAATTTATTAATTTGAAATGCAGAGTTAGAGAGAGAGAAAGAGAGAGAGATAAAAAGAGAGAGATCTTCCGTCTACTGGCTTACTCCTCAAATGGCTACAACAGCCAGGGCTGGGCCAGGCCAAAACCAGGAGCCCGTAACTACATCTGGGTCTCCCACATGGGTGGCAGCATCTCAGGCACTTGGGGCATCTTCTGCTGCTTTCCTGGGCACGTTAGCAGGGAGAGGGATCAGAAGTGGGGTAGCCAGGACTCCCTCTGGTGTTCATAGGAGATGCTGGTGTTGCAAGGCAATGGTTTAACATGCTGTGCCATAGTGCTGGCCCTGGTCCCCAGAGTTTCTAAAGCAGTAGATGTAAATAGTAGAATTTGCACTCCTAACCAAATTTTCAAGTGAGGATAATGCAGTTGATCCAGGAACCATAATTTGAGAATTAGCTTCTTAACTCATCTTGTCCATATTAAAAAAAATCCTTTTCCCTACATCTTCTGATTAATTCCTATTAATTCTTTTACTCATCTCAGATATGGCTACATTACACCTGTAGCCAAACAAGAATATCTTACGAACATCAAGGGAAATTCACTTTAAATGTGAAATAGAAGAACCTCAGTGGCCAGGTTGAGCACAATTTCTCTGACCATGGTCTCCTCTAGGTATTCTTTTTTTTTTTTTTAAGATTTATTTACTTATTTGAAAGTCAGAGTTACACAGAGAAGGAGAGGTAGAGAGAGAGGTCGTCCATCTGCTGGTTCACTCCCCAAATTGGCCACAATGGCTGGAGCTGCACCAATCCAAAGCCAGAAGCCAGGAGCTTCTTCCAGGTCTCCCATTTGGATGCAGGGGCCCAAGCACTTGGGCCATCTTCTGCTGCTTTCCCAGGCCATAGCAGAGAGCTTGATTGGAAGTAAAGCAGCTGGGACATGAACCAGCTGGGATTCCGGCACTGCAGGCAGCAACTTTACTCACTATGCCACAGCACCGGCCCCTAGATATTCTTATTAATATGGCATGTATCCTTAAAATCTAAACCTCTAAAAGGGTGTCAGTTACAATTCCCCAGTGAGTCAACTTCAGCTGGACTTTATGACAGTATTTTAAAATTTATATCTGTTTTCTGAGCTTATTCCACCAGTTACATGTCTTCACTGAATGTTTACTTACAGAAAATGAGAATGTTGAACTGCATGATGTGATGAAAGAAATAAAAGCCATTACAGGTGGGTGTAAATTTATCATAAACCTAATATTCTTATTTGCACAGTAATTATACTTTTCCATTAACATCAATTGCAATGTCAGACCTATTATTTTACTCCTTATAATGAATATTCATCTTGGTTGAACACTATGATTATTCTCTCAAATAATTATCAGATTTTCTCTAGGTTATGACAATAAAGGTTAAAAACTCATATAATTGGACCCTCAATTTCTCCTGAACTTCTAGGTTCACAAAAGTGAGCTACGCCTACTTACTAAAGGATAAATCCTCATTCCTTTCCCAAAAACTATGTAGAAGCCTCAACTGAGGAAATTGCTTCGACAGGCAGTATTTCCCTTCTTCCACCTTCTTTCCTGGATACTAGGCCTATAAGTAGATCCTAGTAGATCCTATAATCAACCATCTGGTAAAATGCTGGCTTGCTAAAATGGAAAAAAAATTAAATCCCCTGAATTTACAAGAACAAGAACATGTCTGGAAGAGGATTTCAATAATGCTGAATCAGAGTGAGGGTGAAATATAAGGCTGAGCAGGAAGAGTTAGTTGATATCGGGGCATTCTCCTGTAACCAAGACTTAAATGCCTTCCCAGAAGTACCTGGAGGTCAAATACATTGCTGAAATGGCTTCTAGGAGCTTGGAAAACAATGCTGCGTGTTAAATTGCGTGAAACTTACAGAACTTTGGTACAATGCCGAGAAGAAAATAAAATGTTCAGAAATATTAAGTGCTGAAATGAAATAAGATCTGAAAACCCACCAGATAACTCTGTTCCCTAAGAGGGCCAGTGAGTGCTACCTTTACTAAGGCAACAAGTACCTCTATCCAAATGGTCCTCCATCAAGTCTTAGGTTTCTATTGCCTATTAGAATCATGACTTTGGGGTGTAAGACTTGCCCAGACTGCAAACTATTTTCTCTGAGTTCTTAAAATCAGGTTCTAATACTGACTTCAGCATTATCTCTCAGCAAACAAAAGATTAGGGCTTCTTTAAGTGCTGCCATGGAAGTCTTCCTTACTCCGTATTTCAAGTTGCTAAGCAAGAGTCAGCCAGTTCCACAGTTCCAATTAGAAAGTTTTATGTTTGTCAAAATTTAGACACAATCACCAGAACCATTTCATTCCCCCTCCACCTGTATTCCTTTCCTATTAATTCAGCACAGGTGACTGTCTCTACAACTTCAATGTTACAGTATATCCAGTGTTATCACTTACCATCATTGAAATCTTTGTTGCTATCTGGCCATCAGGGCATACACTACCTTACAGTCTGCTTCCTAAGACCATTTCCAGTGCTAGTATTCCTGTATCTGGTTCTCAGAAGTAGACCCTGAGACTAGCATCCTTGTGCAAATAAATTATTACAGAAGTGCTACCACAGAAAAATTGCAAATTGGAGGAAGAAGCGCAAAAACGAAGAAACCAAGTACCAATCTCAGAAAAAGTCCTGACAGTTTCAGATGATCTTCTTGAAGATCTCTGTGGATTGCACCTCAGACTTATCTGAACCCGAAGGAAGGGAGCTGGGCCTTCATATTTTCCACCCGCAGTTATTGGTTAAACTGTCATACTTTGCTTTCCGTATGTGTGGGCAAAGCAGTCTTCAGTAACACGAGAGTCTTCTTGTGAACGAAAGCCACAGGTGCTAGCTGTTGGCAAATCACCAAAAACAATGCAGATGCATGAAGTGGTACATGAGGATCTGAAAAAATATACAAAGACAGAAATATGTAAGTTTACCTTTTATTTGAGTGAGAAACTAAGGGTTAATTCAGGAAATAGAAGACAAAAAATGCTATGGTTGTGTAGTAGAAGGAAGAAAAAGTAGGGAAAAAATAAGGTGAGTATATTTCACATTGATAAAAGTATCAACCTGTGTATGGATTTCCTGTAATTAACTTCTCCAGTGTAACCTAAAATTTTTTCTAATTAGGGGAAAATTGTCAAATTTTTAGGCGATGTCATTGAAAGTCTGTTCTGTTGTCTTTGTGGAGTATCACATCATTTTATCTGTGACCTGCATTGAAGCATTTCTTAAAGCTGCCAGAAAGTTAACAAAAGGTTGAATGTGTTGGTTATTTGTGCTGACATGCTTGATCTCCAGGATATATGAGGAAACTTCAAAAAGCTTGTGGAAAGTGTGTATTATGAAAAAACTATCCATATATTTCAAGAATGTTTTGTGCCAAAAAGAACTTATCTTTCAATTCCAAATTTCCGTGAAAAAAAATTTTTAAATTTATTTTATTTGAAAAGCAGGCCTGTGGGGGCAGGGGTGGAGGTGGGTAGTGAGAGAGATCTTTCATCTGCTGGTTCTCTCCAAGATGGTCTCAATAGCCAGGTCTGGACCAGGCCAAAGCCAGGAGACTAGAACTCCTTCTGGATCCCACACATGTATACAGGGACCCAAGCACCTGGACCATCCTCTTCTGCTTTCTCAGGCAATTAGCAGGGAGATAGATCAGAAGTGAAGCAGCAGGCACTCAAACCGGTGCTCACATGAGATGCCAGCATTGCAGTGTCTTAAACTGCTGTGCCACATGCTGGCCCCACAATGAGCTTTTAAAAGAACCTTCATATTGAGGCTGGTGCTATGGCACAGCGGATTAATGCCCTGGCCTGAAGCGCTGGCATCCCATAAGGGGGCCAATTTGAGACCTGGCTGCTCTGCTTCTGATCCAGCTCTGCTTTGGCCTGGGAAAGCAGTGGAAGATGGCCCAAGTCCTTGGGCCCCTGCACCTGCATGAAGACCCTGAAGAAGCTCCTGACTCCTGGCTTCGGATCAGCGCAGCTCCAGTCATTAGGGCCAACTGGGGAGTGAAACATCGGATCGAAGACCTCTCTCTCTCTCTCTCTCTCTCTCTCTCTCTCTCTCTCTGCCTCTCCTTCTCTCTGTGTGTGGCTCTTTCAAATGGGTAAACAACTCTTTAAAAAAAAAAAAAAGCCTTCATCAAAATAAAAACTTTTGTATTTCAAAGGACATTATCAAATAAGTGAAAAGACAACCTGCAGAAGAGGAAAAATATTTACAAATAATCTGATAAGCATTTTTTAAAGATTTTACTTATTTATTTGAGAGGTAGAGTTACAAACAGTGAGAGGAAAAGACAGAGAAAGGTCTTCCTTCCGTTGGTTCACTCCCCAAATCGCCGCAATGGCTGGAGCTGCACCGATCCGAAGCCAGGAGCTTCTTCCCAGTCTCCCATACGGGTGCAGGGGCCCAAGTACTTGGGCCATCTTCTACTGCTTTCCCAGGCCATAGCAGAGAGCTAGATTGGAAGAGGAGCAGCCGGGACTAGAACTGGCACCCATATGGAGATGTTGGCGCTGCAGACAGAGGATTAACCCACTGCACCACGGCACCAGCCCTCGATAAGAATTTAATATCTAGAATATATAACTCTGTCTCTATATACCACTCACTCTCTCTAGCTCTCAAATAAGTAAAAATTTGAAAAGATTCTCATTTTAATTCCATTTTCAATTTCCTTTATATACTTGATTAAATGAATTTTTGTATTTTATGTTGAAAAGTATAATCATTTTCAGGAATTTTTAAATGTGAAACAGATATTTTAAAGCTACGTTTCATGAATATTTATGACGTACAAGGATGGGCATCAGCATGTCCTTTAAAATGTTAATGAACAACTTAATATATTATCCCTCTTAGTAGTTTTTTCTGTCTGTTCTACTTAATATGACTGGTTTAATTCTGTAATTAATACACAGTTATTCTTAAGTGTTGAAATTTAACTGAAATGTGATCCCTGTTAAACATAAGAGTGGGAATAAGAGAGGGAAGAGATGTACAATTTGGGACGTGCTCAAGCTGACTTGCCCCAAATGGTAGAGCTAGAAACATACCAGGGGACTCCAATTTAATCCCATCAAGGTGGCATGTACCAATGCCATCTCACTAGTCCAAGTGATCAATTTCAGTTCACAATTGATCATAATGAAAGGACTAAGAGTCAAAGGGAGCACATAAACAAGTCTAGTGCCTGCTAACACTAACCGATAGAATAAATAAAGGGGAGAGTGATCCAACATGGGAAGTGAGATACTCAGCAGACTCATAGAATGGCAGATGTCCTAAACAGCACTCTGGCCTCAGAATCAGCCCTAAAGGCATTCAGATCTGGCTGAAAAGCCCATGAGAGTATTTCAGGCATGGAAAGCCAAGACACTCTGGCAAAAAGATCTCTGTGAGTGAGATCCCAGTGGAAAGAACAGGTCTTCAAAGAAGGAGGTACCTTTCTCTGAAGGGAGGAGAGAACCTCCACTTTGACTATGACCTTGTCTAAACAAGATAAGAGTCGGAGAACTCAGAGGGCTTCCATAGCCTTGGAAACTCATGACTGGTGCATAGGGAGATTACTGATGCCATAGACAGGAGTGTCAATTTGTAAAGTCAACAACAAGGGTCACTGTGCACTTACTCCTCATGTAGGATCTCTGTCCTTAATGGGCTGTACATTGAGATTTAATGCTATAACGAGTACTCAAACAGTATATTTCACTTTGTGTTTCTATGGGGGTGCAAACTGTTGAAATCTTTACTTAATGTATACTAAACTGATCTTCTGTAAAAAAAAAAAAAAATTATCAATTCCCAACTTGACTCTCACTGGGATTAAACATGACATAGGTCTGATCTGATTTCATCATCATTTAAAAAATCATCTATTATTTTTTCACTTTATGTTTCTGTGTGGCAGCAAACTGTTGAAATCTTTACTTAATGTATGCTAAACTGATCTTCTGTATATAAAGAGAATCGAAAATGAATCTTGATGTGAATGGAAGGGGAGAGGGAGTGGGAAAGGGGAGGGTTGTGGGTGGGAGGGACGTTGTGGGGGGGAAGCCATTGTAATCCATAAGCCGTACTTTGGAAATTTATATTCATTAAATAAAAGTTAAAAAAAAGTTAATGCTCAGTATATAAGTATGCATATATCTTCTTTGAGAAAATGTAAGAACCATAGTTTTTCTCAGGTTCTCAAAAGTTATGTGTCTCAAAAAAATTAAAGTGACTTTTTTAGAGTCACTGAATTTTTCTTACAGACCTCTGTCTTTCTGATTAGGGAAAGTTGACATAAAAAACCTGGAGACAATTCTAGGCAACATGGGAGTCAAGCTCACCAAACAGGAACTTGAATCTCTGACACAAAGCCTGCCAGTCAGTGGTAAGTGTATACGATACCATTGACTTCTGAGTGTTGTTGTATTAGGGGATTTTTATGAAGATGTTAAGATTGGATAACCCAGAGTAGCAAAGAAGATGAGAATACAGTGATCTGGACACTGGTAGCATCATCAATAGAAGACAAGAGCGAACTCAAAAGGCTTCTCATCATCAAATACAAGGATTGCCATTTTATGGGATCGAAAGTCAAATTTACATTTTTAAAATAAGTTTATTTTCAATACATATAGTTTTTCCTGTACTTCATATTCTTAACATATTCTGAGTAAATATTGAGTGACTGTTTAAAGCAATTATCAACATCTCCAGTAAACTTAGTAAGTGTTGTTGCTAGATGTTTTAGAAGTCAGAGGAGAAAGAGTGCCCTTCTGTTATTTTAATATCATAAGCTCTCATTAAATGAATTTCAAGTCCTGTTTTTGTTTCAGCTGATAAGAAAGTGGCTCTAAAAACTTTGGAGAATGAAGTGAAAGCTTTTATTGGTAAGAATTTGTTACAAATGATTTACAGTAAATCATTATTTACACCAAAATTTATAATTGTATTTTTCTAAAACTCTACTATTGACTAATACATATTTTCAATATTCATTTTGAAAAAATATTTGCATCTACTGAACAACAGATTAATCTAACATTATGTGAACTTTATCTGTAAAACAAAAGGACTGTTTGATAACAAACTTTATATTATTTGATATCTTTTTTCAATAAAATGATTTCACTGTTATTTACAGACTCAAAAACTAAACACAGTAAAATCAGAGTGAATAATTAAAGTGATCAAAGTAATAACTATATTATAAACATATAATCATATAATTTCAACAAAATAAGGGAAAATATGTCATATTTTATTAATTATGTATTTTGTTATTCTAACCATACTGGCCTCCAAATGTTTTGTATGACCAGATTTTCTTCTGTACTTTTGGTATTTTTCTTAGTATTAGGAATATACTTTATTTACAAATATTAAGGTATAAATTCTACTTTCAATTTACTACTTCATTATTTTTATCAGGAAACTTCACATCATCTTTCTTCTTCATTCTTGTATTAAGGAAAAGACTTTAACAGCACAAGTATACTTTAGATAATTTGAAGTGATTGATTATTCCTTAACATTTTACCCATGACTATTCTATCTTTTTAAAGGAGAAAAGATAGATTCTGATGACATACAAAATATTCTAAAAAACATGGGGATTGAGCTCACAGATAAGGAACAAAAGCATCTGCTGAAAGCATTGCCCATTGATGGTAAGCCTCATATGCCTTCCAGGGAATATGATATAATGGGTCTATATGGGCAGTTAGCAGTTTTTTAGTTTCATCTTTAGAATGTCATAAATTAATATAAAGTCATTTCTTGCTTAAAAATAAATTCCAGTATTACCTCTTCAAGTACAATTTGGGAGATGGTGCTATGTTGCCATATAGTTGTGCAGGTGACTAATATTACTCAGATTGGTATTGGATTTATTATATGAGCAAAGAAAAATTTTAGAGAGAAAATAGAGCATCAATGTAATAAAAAGAAGAAAGACATTATTAAATTTTTTTTAGTTTTGCAACATGGAAGAGCCTCCAATACCAAAGTATATGGGAAGCCACCTGTGACATTGACATCCTATGTTGGAGCACTGGTTCAAGTTCTGACTTTTCCACTTACAATCCAGCTACCTGTTAACAAGCCTGGGAAAGCAGTAAAAGGTGGTCCGAGTTCTTGTGCCCCTGTCACCCATGTGGAAGACCAAAGCAGAGTTCCAGGCTCCTGGCTTCACCCAGCCTCTACTCTGGCCATTGCAGTCATTCGAGGAATGGACCAGCAAACGAAAGATCTCCTCCTCTCTCTGTCTCTCCCTCTTTCTCTGTCACTCTGCCTTCCAAATAAATAAAATAAATCTTTAAAAAACAAAAACAAAAACAAAGAATTGATGGGTTCATCCCTATGGAGAATTTTCCAATTTTTAAATATGTATATTGTGTGGCTATAAAATATCACTGAAATGTATCTTCTAGGATAATAGAATTTATTGTGTTTTAGTGAATCTCCATATCAGTCTTCTAGAGCCATGAGTTGTACCTTTTCTTATAGCTAATGGAAAGGTGTTTCGAAACAAGTTGCTGAAGGAAGTGAAGAATAACAAAGGTGAGTAAGAAGCACAATGAGAAGGCATGTGAGGTATCCTCGGGGGTCAAATACAATACCTTATTTTGCTTCTTGTAGCACATCTATTTTTTCCCTGGTAATAACTTTTATCTTACAAGGATGTTCTCTACTGGCTTGTATTTTTCGAACCTCATCTGAATAAAATTATATGACAGAAATAAAAGATAGACATATATACAGAAAGATGAAAATATGGGAAGAGAGAGGAGTAATGCAGGAGGAAGAGAGAGAAAAGATTTGGGATTTATTCTAGAATTTGACCAGGAAAGCAATCTGAGAGTGGGAATTTCTACTTCTTTGTGGAGTTTATTGATTAGTGCTACAGTTACTTACCCTTACCCTGCCTAAGCTTCTCACAGGAAGGTGTTAAAATACAAAGAAACAAATTCTAATACTGCTTTTAACTTTCTAGATAGTTGGACAAATCTATTATAATTTTATTTTTTCCTTGAGAATATTAATACTTTTACTAGGTTATGAAGTCATTCTTTTTATCAGTATATATTTAATAACTAATCCTGTCAGTTGAAAATAACATGTTTATTAATATCTTTTTAATATTTTAGAATAATTTCTTTTTTCTCCCTTTTTTCATGTTCACAAGGAGGAAAGGTTAATGTGAATTATCTGGATGCTATTTTAGATAACATGAATATCAAGATTACAGAAAAAGAACTTCAAAAGATAAAGGATCTTCTGAGAGATGGTGAGCATGATAGAAAATATTGCGAGATGTTGAACTTACAGGATTAATTATGACTGATTCAAAACTGTATTTGTTGCCCAAAAGCATTTTCTTGTATTAAAGAAAAGACTTTATTTTTATTTTTATTTTTTTGGACAGGCAGAGTGGACAGTGAGAGAGAAAGACAGAGAGAAAGGTCTTCCTTTGCCGTTGGTTCACCCTCCAATGGCTGCCGAGGCCGGCGCGCTTCGGCCGGTGCACCGCGCTGATCCAAAGGCAGGAGCCAGGTGCTTTTCCTGGTCTCCCATGGGGTGCAGGGCCCAAGCACTTGGGCCATCCTCCACTGCACTCCCTGGCCACTGCAGAGAGCTGGACTGAAAGAGGAGCAACCGGGACAGAATCCAGCGCCCCGACCGGGACTTGAACCCGGTGTGCCGGCGCCGCTAGGCGGAGGATTAGCCTAGTGAGCCGCGGCGCCGGCTAAAGAAAAGACTTTAACAGCACAAGGACACTTTAGGGGCCGGTGCCATGGTTCACTTGGTTAATCCTCCGCCTGCAGCACCGGCATCCCATATGGGCACCGGATTCTGTCCCAGTTACTCCTCTTCCAGTCCAGCTCTCTGCTATGGCCCGGGAAGGCAGTGGAGGATGGCCCAAGTGCTTGGGCCCTGCACCCTCATGGGAGACCAGGAAGAGGCACCTGGCTCCTGGCTTCGGATCGGCGCAGCGCTGGTTTGTAGCGGCCATTTGGGGAGTGAACCAACGGAAGCAAGACCTTTCTCTCTGTCTCTCTCTCTCACTGATTGTGACTCTACCTGTCAAATAAATAGATCTTTTAAAAAAAAAAAAAAAAAAAGCACAAGTATACTTTAGACAATTTAAAGTGATTTATTTTCCTTAATATTTTACCCATGACTATTCTGTCTTTTCAAAGGAGAAAAGATAGATTCTGATGACACATAAAATATTCTATAAAACATGAGATTTGAGTAGCTTTCATAATAAAATAAACAAAGCTCTTTAGTTTTATTCCTTTAAACCTTGTACTTGTTCTTGATAGATCTTGGAGCAGGAGGTAGGGGTAGGGAAGGGGGAGTAAATATTGTCTAGTTTTACAGAAATAGAACCTGTGACCTGCTTTTCTCACTGATTCATTATCACTGACATCAACCCAGGGTGTAACCTAATTTGTTCAGCTGTTCCTCATTCCTCTATTCATGGATATTGAGAAGCTTTCTTTGTTCTTTTCTGTCACTCTGATAAACTACAGAACAATATCTACAGTGTTATCAATATTTTAAGATATACTGTATACCTTTATAAACATAAGAATAATCTTGGAGGATATATAACAAACTGTTGGTAACACTGGGGTCACAGAATAAAGAAGAGGTAAAAGTAACATTTTCCTGGTATGTGTGTTTGTGAAACTTGATTTATTTTCTTTTTTATGTAACTGGATATAAATGGTATGATAAAATAATTCAACTTTGGTTGAGTTCTTTTTCTTTTAATTTTTAATTAGCTTTTTAACAGATTCAATGTGCTTTGTAGAAATAGTTCTAAGAACACAATGATATTCTCTTCCACACTCTCTCCTTCTGACCCTCCTTCCTTCTCCCCCCACTTTTGCTTTTTAGTTTTTGAGGCAAAATTTTGAGAATGCTCATATACAATAAATTTTAAAGTAATCACAGACCATTAAAACTATACTAGTAAACATTCTTAACCATTGATTTCACAAAAATATAAAAGTTTTGCAACACTATATTTGAAGCAATACTGATATACACAAACATTTCTTCTTTTTGTTTCTTTTTAAAATTTTAGCTCCCACATATAAGGGAGAAATGTGATATTTATCTTTCTGGGTCCATCTTATTTCACTCAACATGATGTCCTCCAATTGTGTCAATTTTGCTGCAAATTTGTCTTTTTTAATAGCTGAATAATACTCCATTGTGTGTGTGTGTGTGTGTGTATCATATTTTCTTTATTCATTCATCTAATAATGGACACCTTGATTGATTCTGAATTTTGGCTATTTTGAACAGTACTACTATGAACATGGTGGTACAAGTATCTCTTTGAAACATTGTGTTCAAGTCTTTTGGATAAATGCCCAATAGTGGGATTGCTGGCAATTCTAGTTCTAGTTCTTTAAGAAATCTCCACACTCAGTAGTGGCTGTAAAAATTTACATTTCCTTACCAGAATTTGTTACTTTCTATCCTTTGGATAATAGCAATTCTGACTGGAGTGAGGTGATATTTCAATGAAGTTTTGATTTGCACTTTCCTGATAGCTAGTGATGTTGAGATTTTTTCACGTATTTGTTGGCCATTCGTGTTTCCTCTTTTGAGAGCTGTCCATTATAGTCCTTAGCCATTTCTCAACTGGATTGGTCGTTTTTGTTGTTGTTGCATTTTTTAAGTTGCTGATATATTTGGGATATTAATTCTTGGTCAGATAGATGGTATGCAAATGTTTTTCTCATTCTGTTGGATGTCTCTTCACTCTATTGATCGTTTCCTTTGCTATGCAAAATTTTCTGAGTTTGATAAAGACCCATTTGTTTAGTTTTCCTTTTTTTTGCCCGTGCTTTGGTTGTCTTGTCTAAGAAGTCGTAACCTTTTAGCAATGTCTTTAGTGTTTCCCCTGTTTTCTTCCAGCAACTTCATAGTCTCAGGTCTTAAATTTAGGTCTTTGATCCATCTAGACTTGATTTTTTAAAGATTTAATTTGTTTATTTGACAAGTAGAGTACAGACAGAGAGAGGGATAGACAGAGAGAAAGGTCTTCCATCTGCTGGTTCATTCCCAAAAGGCCACAATGGCTGGAACTGAGCCAACCCAAAGCCAGGAGCTTCTTCTAGTTCTCCCAAGTCATTGCAGGGGCCCAAGCACTTGGGCCATCTTCCACTGCTTTTCCAGGCCATAAGCAGAGATCTGGATTGGAAAAGAAGCAGCTGGGACACAAACCGGCACCCATACAGGATGCTGGTGCTTAGGCAGAGGCTTAGCCTCTACTACACCAAAACACTGACCCCTTGAGTTGAATTTGTAAATGATGAAAGATATAGATCTAATTTCATTCTTCTACATGTATAAATCCAGTTTTACCAGCACCATTTGTTGAAGAGACTATCTTTATTCCACTGTATGGTCTGAGTTTTGTCAAAAATCAGTTGGCTGTGTCTGTATGAATTAATTTTTGGACTGTCTATTCTGTTCCATTCATCTATGTATCAGTTTTTATGCCAGTTTCATACTGGTTTAATTGCCATAGCTTTGTAGTTTGCTTTCAAATCAGGTATTGTGATGGCTCCAGCTTGGTTTTTATTGTTCAAGATCATTTTGGCTATTCTTGGTCTTTTGCCTTTCCATGTGAATTTTCAGATTGCTTTCTCTAGTTCTGTAAAGAATGTCACTAGTATTTTGATAGAGATTGCATTGAATTTGCAGATTGTGTCTGCCAGTATAGAGTTTAATTCTTCCCAATCCATGAGCAAGGAATATCTTTCCGTTTTTTATGTCCTTGGTGATTTCTTTCATCAGTGCTTGGTAATTTTCATTGTAGAGATCTTCCACTTCTTTGGTTAAATTTATTTCTAAATATTTGATGTGTGTGTGTGTGGCGATTATGAATGTGACTTCTTTCTGAATTTCTCTTTCTGTGAGTTCATCATTAACATACACAAAAGGTACTTTTTTTTGTATGTTTATTTTGTAACCTGTAACTTTACTGAGCTGGTTTATCAATTCTAGCAACTTTTTGGTGGAGTGTTTAGGTTTTTCCATGTACAACATCATGTCATCTGCAAACATGGATAATTTGACTTCCTCTTTTCCAATTTTGATTTCCTTTTTTTTCTTTCCCTAATTGATCTCACAAAACTTCCAATACTATATTGAATAAGAGTGGCAGAAGTGGACATCCTTGTTTTGTTCCAGATCTGAGGAGAAATGTTTTCAGCTTTTCCCTATTCAGTATGATATTGGCTGTTGGTTTGTCACATATAGCCTTTATAATTTTGAGGAATGTTCCTTCTATATCTAATTTGTGGAAGGTTTTTTTTATCATGAAGAGGTGTTGAATCTTAGCAAATGCTTTCTCTGCATGTATTAACATGATCATGTGGAGTTTCTGAAGATTTATTTATTTGAAAGTCAGAGTTACACAGAGAGAGAAGGAGAGGCAGAGAGAGAAAGTCTTCCATCCACTAGGTTCATTCCTCAAATGGCTCTAATGGCCGGAGCTGAGCTGATTCAAAGCCAGGAGTCAGGATTTTCTTCTGGGTCTCCCACATGGGTGCGGGGGCCCAAGGACTTGGGCCATCTTCTACTGCTTTCCCAGGCCATAGCAGAGAGCTGGATAGGAAGTGGAGCATCCGGGACTCAAACCAACACCCATATGGGATGCCAGCACTGCAGGCCGTGGCTTTACCTGCTACACCACAGCGCCAGCCCCAATCATATGGATTCTATTCTTAATTCTATTGATGTGATTTATGACATTTATTGATTTGTGAATGTTGAACGACCCTTGCATTTCTGGAATAAATCCCACTTGATTGTGATGTATGATCTTTTTGATGTTTTTTTGGATAAAATTTGCTAGTATCTTGTTGAGAATCTTTGCATCTATATTCATTAAGGATATAGATCTGTAGTTTTCTTTTTGTGTCGTGTCTTGGTTTTGGTATTAAGGTAGTGATGGCCTCATAAAAAGAGTTTGGCAGAGTTCCATCCTAATCAATACTTTGAAATAGTTTGTAAAGTATTGGAGTTACCTCCTCTTTGAATATTTTGTAGAATTCAGTAGTAAAACTATCAGCTCCTGAACTTTTCCTTGATGGAAGACAATTGATTTACCACTTCGATCTCATTGCCTGTTATGGATATTTTTAGGTTGTCTATATTTTCTTTAGTTAGTCTTGGTACATTTTATGAATCCAGGAATTCATCCATGTCTTTGAGATTTTCCAGTTTATTAACATATAATTCTTCATAGTAATTTCT